CCATCTTATGTATGTGTGGCTGCGCTGGGAAGCCAAAAATGGATGCCAGGTAACGCGGTTTCCTGGATTCCGGGAACGACTTCTTTTTCGAAACCAACTGTTCAGGACTGGGACGCTTATTGGAAGATGGTGTAGGTGGGATTGTGGATTCTGCAGCCTGAATTGATTGGAGGGAGGCAGGCCTGTGGTAAGGCACCAAGTACCTGGCTGTGACCAATCGCCCCGCACTGTCGAGACACCCGAAAATGGCGGCCCTGCCCTGCCAAATTCGGCGGCTAGAACAGCAAGTTCTGTACTTAATCTGTAAGGCTCTTAGAGGTTCAGGGGGCTGCAGAGAGCTCCAAAGCTCAAAGAGCTCAAAGGAGCCACACCAAAAGAAGCCGAGATAGAACATTGGACACAAGGTTGCCCGTCATAATGACTTTAAGTGATGGCCTGGCTCGCACACGCCAGAGAGCGCCAATGCCAGAAAACACCCATCTGCCCGCTGATTCCTCCTGCCCAAAGTCAAGGAAGCCAATATCCAGACAACTCCAAAAAGAAGTTGCAGCCAATATTCTAGAGCATTCGACCAATTCCCTGTGTTCTATCTTAGTGCACTACTAATTAGTTGGAGTATCACGAGGTGAACGCCAGGACCGAAGTGCTCACTGTTTACATCACTATGCACGCACGATGCTTATCTTGTTCCCGAAATTTTAGCCTCGACGGCAGCCGCTGACGAGGTTGAGCTTCTTCATCCACTGATCGTACCCGAGCAAATGTCGGTTTTAGAACAGCCGCCCATCGTCCTGTACAGTCTGGTGAGGCTGATTCTCAGAGAGCAGCGTTTGAACCGGCATCTCCAGGGCGCCATTATTGACGAACATCCCTCCTGCACCTGACATCAGAGGTGAGCTGGTCGATCGACTTGACTCCCGCACCTCAGGTACCGGGTCTCTGCCAGTCTGGATCCGTTTGGCGTTATTCAGGGGCGTCGTGGGTGTGAGAGGCCAAAACAAGAGCATGACCGAGACTGTTTGCCTAGCCAGTTTGTTTAGCTGAGAGAACCATGTCGCATAGGCAAATGTGAAGGCCATTGTAACGACGGCGGTGGCGATAAACCATGCGATGGAGGGTTCGCTGCTAAGGATATCCACATTCATTCCGAAAATAGTTGCGATTGCGGACGCAGGGACAAAGACGAAGGCGAGTACCGTCAGCTTCTGAAGCCGACGGGCGTCATTGAGGGCGAGGTGGCTAGCCATGGTCGACAGCATGCCATCCATATCTGCGACCCACGCCTTGATCCGGCTTTCGAATCTCTCAACGCTTTCGAGTCCTGTTGGTTCGTCGCCACAGGAACGCAGAATGCCGTCTCGTAGCGTTGATAAGGTCCGACCAATTTCCGTAAGGACTTGCCTCCGTTTCAGCATCGAGTCCAGTAGATGCAGGTCGTGGTACTCGGGCATGTTGCTCTCAGAAAATGCTTCACAGACATGGTCCACGAGATCCTGCCATTTGTTGCAAACGAAGCTGACGCATGCTAACCTGGTTAGCAGCTCTGGGTTTCGTACTCCCTGTGCAGCCACCCGAGTGATCTCTTCTCGGATCTGGTCAGCGTTTGAACGCCATTCGACCTGGGTGATTTTGGCCATAGTTTTCGCCTTGCCATCATATTCTGCGAAATCCGGGAACCGAGGTTTCTCGTCACAGGGGTATAACATACACCCTGGAGACTTTGGTAGGTCTAGGGCTTCTTCCTCGGCAAGTGACGGGAAGAGAACCAAGTCTGTGGCTGGCTGTCAGACACACCAAGGTGAAAACACCCGGAACAACTGAGGTCATGCCAATCTGGGGTCACCCACCAACTGGAATCTTCCAAGACATGTTCTGAACAGTGGCAACGACCACTCGCTGCTCGTGACCAACTATATCACGCCAGAACCTCTTGAGCTTACCCCTCCTCCCGTTGAGAGAAGAAGCTTCATCAAATGTATGCCATTCCCCTCCCAGGAGTGACCCATATCTGTTGCGGATAAAATAGCTCTGAACGTAGTCCAGAACCATAACTCCAGGTAAAAGACTGCTAAATTCCTTATGACAACTCAAATATCTCTCAAAGACTCTAGGATCGATACTGAGGCGCCCACCAAGGGCCTGCATGCGAAGGATTGGCACGATCATGATCATTGAGCGGGGGTGGACAGAAGGAGAGAACACACCAAGAGCCCTTGTGGTTGCAGATCTTGCACCAATAATATCAGCCTCTGATAGGACATATCAGGCTGACGGCACAAAACGTTGCCAAGCGACAAAGATCATCTAGCGATTGTCCAACTCCAAGGTCAATGACGGTGGACCCGGCGCCCACAGCCTCATCTGACGACTGGAGTCCTAAGAGTTGATACTGCGAACGCTCCTGGTGTCGAGTAGACCGCGTGGCTTGGTTGATAAAGTCTCTCACTATGGCTAGTCTTGGTACTCTCCTTGGTTCCGCGAGCATGGCAACAAAATCACGGTACCTGTCTTCAACAGACACGTTCGCTGCGGTGATATTCGACATATTGAATACCGGACTAGTCGCTAAAACCGCGGAGAGTGATCAGGGGCGATGTGGACGTTAGAAGCTGTCGGCACAAAGCTTGAATCATCGTTGTTCGTCAGATACTGGTTAAGATCATAGTGAAAAGCGGTGATTGCGCCCTTGAATGGGGAAACTGGGCAACAAAACCTCATCTCCGCGACCTCACGTGCAATGCACCTTCCTGTCTCAGGTACTAAGGCCCAACCAAACCTCTCGTAGAGCTCTGACATGAGGCCCAATGCCCCACCTTATCCTCTGGCCGTTTCCCCGAGTCTTACTGGGCAATGCCGGCGGGGAATATACTCACACGTGTCAACGGGGGACTGAGTTGCTGTAGGTCCCACCCTGATAACGGGCCTGGTCGACCTAGTATGGGAATACTCAGACGGAGTTTCGGTGATATGCTTTTGGCTTGAAGCCACAGAAGTCGGATCCTCCCATTTTTGATCCAAGCTGTCCGAGCCCGCAAAGAACCGCAGCGGATGTCCGAGAGGATTTATCCATCATGGCTTTGTAGCCCTCTCCGTGCGCGCGCCTTCGTGGATAGCACTGCTGTAGCCCGGGAAAGCGCCGAAATACCTAGCCGACACTGGTCTGAACCTTCTCACCGATCCTCATGCGCATCAGAGGCCCTGCTATGCCTCCGCCGGCTACGCGCACGCGGCACAACATCTGGTTGACCCACGTCATCTCCCGACTCATGTCGCCCGGCGCATACATCCAGTACGCCTTGACCAAGAACAAGCCGGGGATCACGCTCGCGGGTCCGAACGCCCGACCGTGGTGGAGTATGAAGTACTCGATGCTCCGGCAGACATGATATGCCGCCCCGGTGGGCCACTCCTCGCGATGCCCGAGAGGCGGCAGCAGATCCATGGCAAAGTGCCGCAAGCACGTCACGGCCTCCTTCCCCACCGCAGAAAAAGCGCATGTGCACACGAGGTTGTCCCTTCCCACGAAATCGAGCGTCTCTGAAAGCCGCGCCAGCGTGGCGTAAGTAAATCACCAGTGGGCTTGGATGCTCATCAGGGCGATCCAGTAGTACAACATGTTCTGGCCCACAATGAAGTTGGGGAAGCGGAAGATGACGGGGAACAGGTTGCCGGTTCCAGAGCTGTCGAGCACGCTGTCCAACTGTGATAACTCAGGGTGATACAGCGCACCGGGCGCCACGGCTTTGAAGCGGTCGTACCAGGCCTCGAGGACAGCCTCCATCCTCTGACCCTCGCGGACGGACTCGAGCCCGTCAAGAAGGGTGCGTCTCAAGTCCTCCTTGGCCTCCACCCTCCGTTCCAGGGCCTGGCGCCGTACGGATAGGCCTGGGAGATCGAGCAGGATGTCGAGGAGCAAGTCGAACGGGGTCTTGCTCTCTGGGTGAGGGGCCCACGGAAGGTCACGCCAGGTGGACTGGGCGAGGAAGCTCGGCCTGCACCAGAGGATATTCTGAAAGACCTACGTCATCTAGGATCAGCTTGTAGTCAAGAACGGGACTTGACCGTCTGACTTACACTGTGCAGCCGCAAGAGTTGGAAGACGCTGTGGGCGAGTCCGGATTGATGGGCGGCTGGGCCCCGGATACGCATTAGCTCCATCGCGCCTTGGTAGTGCACCATGTATCCGTCGGGGGAATCACCAGGGCACTCTGAGATCTCGTACAGCATCAAGGCTAGGCAAGCAGCGAGGTTCTGCTCGTTGGCCCGCGTCGAGCCACGGCAGACGTCGCGGCGCATGGCTGACAGGCCCTTGGCGTACAACCGCTGGCTCTCACGAACAAGGGCAGAGTGGTTCGTTTGGCGACCCAGACGCGCTGTGCAGGCGGCCAGTAGCGAGTCCTCGAGGCTCGGTGTCAGCTCGGGCAGGCTCATAATGCGCACCAGCCAGTCGCCGCCACGCTCGCCAAAGGACTGCCGCACGGCATCGCTAGCAGACACGGGCGCGGCATCGGCGGCGGATAGGTTGTACTCGGCAAATAGGGCAAAGATACGGTCGCGGAAGACGCTGTGGACCGAGATCTCGAGCGGGAGTCGGGGCCTCGTTCGGGCGCGGGCGAGCGTCTTGCCCCCCGCTCTGCTGGCAACCCTCGATGATGAGGAGACGGAAGAAGAGGCTGTGGGAGAGGCGGGAGAGGAAGGCATGTGCCGCTTGCTACTCTGGTCGGGGGCCCTCCACCGTGAGACCATAACATGGCCCGAGTCAGATTCGTCTGGCAGGAGAAGCTGGGACGATTGGTCGGGCGGCAAGGCAGATTCGTCGCCAGGCCCAGCGGCCACCATGTCCTTGGACAGGATGAAGGCATGCTTGCGCTGGTAACCGGTGCATACGCGGCGGGACTTTGCGCAGTTTCGACAGCCTGGGAGATGGCCATCACACTAGAAGCCCGTGTTAGATGCCTTCCCGCGTGCTGGTGTCAATTGAGCTGCTGCTGCCAGGGTCATGGCCACAGGAGTGATTGGTCAACCGTCGCAGAAGCACCCAAGATGCCGAGAGACCAGACCCAATGTGGTCAGATTCGGCGGAAGAGCACGTACCCTTATTTTCCTCTGCCTACAGGTATGGCACGCCTTGGACCGCCCGGGAACGCCCACCATCTTGGTGAGATAACTTCACCTCAGCACTTTCTCCGGGGCTTCGAGGCGTTGAGGAGATGGTGCCGGGGCTTGCATGATGCGCCACCCAGCCAAGAGGAGAGAGGATATGGCTCGTTGAACAAGTTACTGAAGCGCGTCGACAACGAAGTTTTTACCCAGCGGCAATAACGTTGCATTTCCAACACGAGATGAGGCCGCCAGGTTGTTACGTTGCTTTGTACGCGTTTTGTTGGAGATGACTCAGCGAATGCAATCGAGTCAGCCAAGGTTTCCCGTCCTTTTCTGCCGGCGTGATCGTTGGAAAGGCCCGAGAGAGAAATTATGGAGTGTGAGGGAACTAGAGGGAAAGAGCGACGCAGCCTGCGCCCTTTCCAAAATCAGCCGTCTGGGGCCGGCGCTATACCGCATTCTGTAAGAATCCGCGAAATCCAGTGAAGCCAATCAGTGCATTCGTCATTTCGTGGTTGCGATGTATCGATTGCTCCCGTCAGCAGTGGCAGTGCTGAGCAGCCAGGCAGCGTCACAGCGTGTTCTTAATTCCGTCGGGTACATACGTGACGTCTAGCACAAGCTGGCGGTCGTGGTGGCACCCGTGGAGGGACGGATTCCCCGATTACGATACGCTAAAGAGCAAGCGTTTTCTCGGAAAGGTTCTGGATGAGAGTGAGTTTTTATTTTCAATTTTCCTCGATGCGAAAAAAATCAACCCCTGTCCATCTTGGCAACGCACAAGCCTTTTAGCTTCCGCCTCAGAAGCTTTCTTGGCTGACTTGGCCTGACTTGGCATCCAGCCCTCCGCCCCGCCTTCACCCACTTTCCCGGTCCCCGTTAACATCCGCCCCGCAACCCGCGACACGACCCCTCGCCTTCGGCGCCGGTGGCGCAAGACGGGATCCCCCATCTCCGCTGGCAAGGCACGGCCATCCACTATTCCAGTCTAGGAAATCTACCAGCCCACCGAGGTGACGAGGTCTACGGCTCCAACGCCGACGACTTCCGCCAGGCCCGCTGGCTCGACCCCGTCCACTTCCTGCGCCTCATCGGGAGTATCTGCCGTTTACAGAGCGCATTAGTCTTAGAGGGCTATGTGGTCGTTGGGCTAATGCAGCATTGTGGGCGCATCGAGGCGATGTCGGACGAGCTCAGGGGGCATTGTCGCTTACCTAGACTTTCACCCTTGGCAATATCCCTCCATCACAACGCTGTTTCGCACTAAGACAACTACCCAATATGCGGCACGTACTGCGACCACTCCGGAAGCTTGTATGCCGATTCGGGCAAGTGGACAAGATTGATGAAACACTCGACAACCAAATAGACCCTCGCTAGTACGTAGAGGACGATCGCCAGGTAACAGCCGATACTGTAGATGGCACCGAGGCCTTCAAGGGTAATGCAAAGGGAAATCCTATAAATCCAAACCATGCGTATGAAAAAAATAGTTGACAATTTTCCTAGCGGCAAGCGAGATGCCCACCCTGTTGCGGTACTCAAACGGGTAACCGTAGTGGTCCGTTATGTGGAGAAGCCGACCCAAATCTAAAATATCATACTCCGGTCGAAGTGATTACGACGCTGGAGATTCTCCAGGACGTCGCCTGTACATCGCTAGGGAATGGGGCATTCCAAGCCAGACAGTGAAGGCCACCAAAGATGAAACCTGCAAAAGCTAGGCCAACGAACAACCGCCGTTGTGACCCCCTTGGAAGATCGGAATGCTCCGGGAAATTGCGGATACGAGTCACCAACAAGTCCGGAAAACCCGTATAATGATCCAGAGCGAACAAGCCCCGAAAAACCGTAAAATGATCCAGAGCCATGGCGGCAAGCCTCCATCGTCTAACGTCGATTTTCGGAACTTCCATGTACACTTCTCGACTCGGCGATGAATCCCTGCCTGTCTGGTCGGCCGGGCAGTTGTGGATGCTGGGGTTAATCACGGTGTCGGATCCAGAAATGACATTTATTTTCAACGAAATGTAGGATGGGTCGATTTCATAGCGTTGCAAGCAGACGCCATTATGCCATCGATTCGGGACAAACTTTTGCAAACGTGCACAAGAGTAATGCTGTTCAGTTGCTCTTAGTTCGCCAGAATCAGAAGCATTGGTAGAAAAAATCCGTTCCCGATCCACCGTTAGCAGGTACCCAGTGCCATATTTCTCTAAAATAGTTTTCCGGGCACGCGATCGGGGGGAGCCGGAAAGAATGTAGGGAACAATTTGATACCCATAATCCTCATCAAATATATAATGGCGGCTAGTTGGCAGGTGTTCGTCAAGTCCGCTTTTCAGGCACATGTAGGCCAAGGCTTTATACATAGCCCCGTCTTCGGGCTCGTCGCTAATGACTTTGACTTCAGGTTCCTCGATGTCGAGTGGCTTGTTCCACCAGAGGACGTAAGTAAAAAGCAAGCGTGTTGAGCTCCAGGAGGCTGATTCCGAGACCTTGGATGAATCGGGTAAGACATTGAAAGCAAAACCAGGAGGCTTTTTGTCATGTTCAGTTAGCGGTGACATAAGGAGGACCATGTAGAGGATTGTAGTGGTTGGGCACTAACCCTGAAGGCAGACCACAGCTTTAGCAAACATGCTCCCCTTGCTCTTGTCCTTTATTGATGTCCGTGAGAGGTTCGGTATAAACCCAGGGAACTGCTCCTCCAGGTAACAAAGCCCTTCAGGGGTTAGCGTGAGCTGAGTATATCTCTCAGGCTCCTTTTTGGTATCGCGCCAGGGAAAGAAGTTCTGGTGGCCATTCTCATCAGCGATCTGCACGGCGAATCCTCCCATAGTAGCGAAATAGCTGTGCACAATTGTCCATTTTTGCCTGGTGGCCTTGATCTCTTCCACGATTCTCTGCTTCTCTTCATGTTGGACTCTCCGCCCCCCCAAATCGCCTAGTGGCTGACCTTCCTCCAGTTCCCCTTCACTCTTACTAAGCTGCGAGACGGGGGTTCTGTCGTCAGTTGGGAAGTATGCTTTCATCTTGTGTTGCAGCCTCCACGCTGTCGTATACTGCCGAAAGGCGGTGTATGCGACTTAGGACGATGACGGATCAGCCAAGGCTCTTTGCCCAGAAAGGCCCAGACGGGGAAGCGTACCATTTCTGGAGCGAGGAAGCCCAGCAACATCCAAACGGACCTTGCACCATTGCTGTTTCATCATGGTGTCGCCGTGGGCAGGGAGGTTGAGGTGGATGGCAGTCCACACACAGAGGCCGAGGGTGACGATGCATGTCGAGAGGATTCCAAACGTACCCCGCTCCCGCGGCTCAGGTCTCCATGATGGCGTCTGGCTCGTCGAGCCATTACCAAAAATCCGCTCCATTTGAAAGAGTAGCCGGTATGCCCTAGAGGTCACCAAATCAGTTTAGAGGACGATGAGGATTAAGGAACAAGCAGGATCGGTTTGAGTCTGGTGCTAGCCAAGTCAACGCACTCTGTTGAAATACGGCAAAAGGAATTCCTTGCCAGCAAAAGCCCTGGATTGCCCTGTATAGTACAACACACATTGGGCGTGGCTGCCCTTGTTGGGTATCAATGGGATAGAGCATTTCACTGGGCAAGAGCTTGCTGTTTCACAAAACAGCTGAACCGTGACTGATTAGCGCCGACCCGCCGGACGTCCGGCAAGTCTTGGACAACAACTTTTGGACCATCACACAGCAAGACTAAATTGTGGGTTGTTGGTTGTATGGTGGAAGAAGCGAAAAGGCCAAGGAAGCTTGCTACTAGTAAATAGGTTTACAGATGGGGTCTCCGTAGCAACTGCGCTGTGTAAACTATTCTCTTCACCTTTACCTCACCTGGCTCCCAAGCTAGGTCGCAACTCACGACCCAATTCTTGTCCTGCTGTGAACCGCCTCTTAATCATCGACGTCAAAGTCGACCTCCGAACCCTCCACGTCCAAGTCCGAGCCCACCTCCTAATCCATCATGGCCGAGACCACTGGCACCACCGCGCCCGGAGTCACCGGCTCCGAGCAGCCCCCGTCCCGACCCATTCTCTCCCCGCTCAGCTTGCTCGATCGATGGCGTATACGGGCGGTCCCCGGCGGGCCCCATCTGGCCAAGGCTCATACCCTGCTGAAGTTTGTCCCTGAGTTTGTCCTTCAACTTCTTCTTCGGCGGACGATCGTCAACCCAATTTCGGCTTCGGCAGGTCTTGATTCGGTAGTGGCCGAGGTACATGAAGATGGCTAGCACCATGTACTCAGGCAGCAGCGCCATGAGCGCAAAGGCAGTGGCCGAGCCGAACAGCGAGCTCCACATCGACGTCAAGATGTTCTTGCCCGTCGCCTCAAAGACGCCAATAATCCCGTAGGCTGTGCGCACGGCCAGCGGGGCCGCGGCAAGGAGCATCCAGCGGAGGTACTGTTTCCCAGTTGATTATCAGTATCGTGAACGGAGAATCCGGAAGTATTTCACGGGAACGTACGGTGTGGTGGTCCTGCCGGATGTGGCTGTGCTTCACGAAGTAGAGATACGCGCACAGCAGAGTCAGAAGCACGAAAACGGCCAGGAACTCAAAGTATGCGATTTCGGACAGCTTCGTCTGCGAGTTGGCTTCCTCATCCTTGCCCGCCATGCCTCCTGCTGCGCCCAATAGCCCTGCGGCTACGAGGATAAGGATGCCGCAGATCTTTTGGATCTTTTTGAGGCGGTCGTCTCCGGGGAAGTTGGCGGTCGAGCTGCGCGGGCATATGGGTCAGTAGGAACATTAAGAATCTCTCGGTAGCACTGACACCATGGCCGACATGCGGTTGAACACCGTCAGAAGTGGGACGAGACCAATGTTGAGGAGAACGTAGGTGGCCTTGATTAAATCGATGTTGGTGCGGTCGTTTTGGTATGCGATTACTAGGCCTCCGCCGGCAAGCCGTACTGGAAACCCAAATTTCAGCCACTAGCCACGGAGCCCCTGCAGCTTCTGAATCAAGGTTTGGGGGCTCACCTAAAGCAAAGACCATCAGGGGGTACCAGACCATCTTGGGTCCATATTTCCAACAGCGAATGCCAATGTAGTGGATGTAGACAACGGCAGGTACGTAGAAGACGATTTGGGCGATGCCCAGCGCCGTATGTTCGTTCATGGTTCCAGTTCGTTTTCAACGGCTACGTCCCTTAAACTCCTTCGGCGAGTCCCGGTCAGCCGGGTGATCTGATCGACGTCCTCAGAGCGATTGAGGTCGGGTCGGGTAGAGGAGAATCGAGGATTCCTTCGCCTTAGCCAGCTCTAGGGCGAGAGTAAAAGAGAAAGAGCGTCTATCCAGGAGGATTAACGCCAGGCCAAGACGAGGAAAGGACGCCTTGGGTATATATGTAGATCAAGGCATGGTGCAAGCTGAGTTCCCTCCGTTGAGACCCTGTTTCCGGGCCGCCTATACTCCGTAACGGCCCGGAAGTTCTCGCAGATTCGGACTGCAAACAGTAGTATCTGCCGGCGTCAGCCATGCGGAGTTGCGCGTCTTTGCGTCTTGAACCTTCCGACCTCTGTTGGTCTGCTAGGTTGATGATGGCTCTCATTCGTTCCTGGCCCAGTCAGGGGTTCCCCTGGTCGCCTGGTCCCTGCCACTTTGCGGTCAGCCCTACCAGGTTGCCCAATGTGGATTCCCGTAAAACGAGGGTGGTTGGTCCTTAAACGTTTTCTCGCGGATTGTCGACTAAACAGGCTTAGCGCCACCTCACGTACCTCGCGCCACACAGATTCCTAAAATGCTTGTTTTGACCCCGAAAATGATTGTTCCCTTATAAGTTATGGGACTCAACTCTCACGATCTGCTATGCCGCCATCGGTAAGGCCGGAGGGTAGCACACGGCTTTGAACCCGTTCAACGCAACGCTCGCAACGACGCGCGGGCTCATCCAGCTGGACTGGGACCACGCGCATCTCACGCGACGCGTCTGCTTAGCCGACACCGTATGCATGTGAGCCGGAGCCTCGTATTCGAGAGATTGCGGAGCCTGTTTTTGAAGGTGCAGGAGCTGTTGCGCGAGGGCAAGATTCGGCTATGCTCATTCTGTCAGGGCCGAGGAAGGTGAGGTGGTACCGGTATCAAGGTGTGCTCCGTGGATATCTCTCCTCCGATGTTAGACTTGGAAGGTACCTCCAAAGAGGTGGCACTAAGGGGCAAGTTAAGGGTTAGGGGCCCACGGATTTTTAGGGTTAGGGTAATTGCCGACTGACCCCAGCGCGACAACGTGTCTTCCGCTGACAGCGCCTGCCCGCTCTAGAACTTTTCGGGCCACCGCATTCATTTCCTCGCCCTGAGTCAGCAACAATCACAAAACTCAACCCATTCATCACGAATCACAACTCTCTAATAAAGGAAAGCCACGGCGTGTGTCTTCTTCATAAACCCGCAGCTTCCCCTGAGCCTCTGAGGCCGGAGCCAGAATCACTAGGGTCCTTTACCTTACTACTCAAGACAACTACCTTACTCGTTATATTCCGACCTCAGGAAAAATACAGCAAAGCAATGCCTCCAAAACTCCTCTTCCTCCACGGCGCTGGCACCAACGCCGCCATCTTCCGCATACAATCGCGCAACCTCGCGGCGCTGCTCAAGCCGCATTTCGAGCTGGTCTACCTCGACGGCTTCCTCCCATCACCCCCGGGCCCGGGCGTTCTCCCCTTCTTCGAGGGCTGCGGCCCCTATCTGAAATGGCTCTGCGACGAGCACGTGCGCGACGAGGCGCTGCACTGGCAGTGCACAGACGGCGTCGACCGGCTCGTGGCCGAGTACCGCCGCCTCGGGCCCTTCGTGGGCGTGGTTGGGTTCTCTCAGGGCGCTAAGGCGGCGATGTACCTTATTCGAAGGTTGGAGGAGTTGAATGAGGCGGGTGAGCTGAGGATATTTGTGGCGGTTTGTGGGACGGCGCCGTTTGAAGGGGGGGGACAGGTTGATGGGCAGGAGGAGGAGAATGGGATTAGAAAGGAGGGTTTCAAGGAAAGTTTGGAGAAGGGATTGGTCAAGACGGAGAGTGTTCATGTTATTGGGGACAATGATCCGTGGAGGGTGCCATCGGAGACGTTGGTGAGGTTTTTTGAGGGGCCTAAAAGGGTGGTGAGATTCAAGGGCGCGCATCATATGCCTGTGGAAGAGGAAGTCAATAAGCTTGTGGTGGATTCGATTTTGGCAGCTTATGCCGATACGTGAAGACAAAAAGGATACTTCAAGGCGTGATCATAGAGTAATATTTCATATACAAATATACAAAACATCAAAACTGTGGCATAGGTAGCTAGTTGGTCGTTTATGGGTCACTGTCGCTGTCAATATCAGTCTATTCTCTTACCAACGAGGTGACCTCTCACCTCGGGCTAGGTACAAACTATCTCAAGACGATCCATGTAAGGATCATCATCCACCTCTGTTGCCTCCACTCGATGGAGGCAACTGTGTCTGATGCCATGGCTAGGTACTCATATACCTACCAATGCCTGTCTGCGACGCCGGCCCCTGGCAGCGGCACAATGATGGCAGAGCGTCGAACCATCACGATGCCCCGTCAGCCGACCCGCCGCGGTTTCGCAGCGGCCGCAGTCATCGCAACGTATAGTTCCCAGGCAGGTGTCACAAACGTCGTTAGGCGTGCCGACCATGGCTTCGGGATCAAGACAGCCTCGGCAGAACAGGTAGCGGTCGGCCACCAGCAGCCGTTCCGGGACATGGGCCCCGTCAAGGAGAAATTTGATGACGGCAGCTCTGAACCCTCCTGGGGCTTCAAGGGGACGCCTGCCGCGTCTATGAGGGCGGGCCCGCACCCAAGCTACGGCGGTCCTGTCGGCGCAGTCCAAACAGTAGGGCAGGGGATTAGGCGGGCCGGATTGGGCGCCGAATTCTGAAAGTCCTGGACGGCGTCGCCAGAATCGGAAGGCTTTTGTTGTATTTGTGCCGCAGGATGTGCACGTCTGAAGCCCAACACCATTGGCACGGTCGTCCGCAGCCTCGGGGGCATCGCTCATGTTGTTGTCGTTGGCATTCGCCCATGGAGCTGCGGGACCCGGAGGAATGATATCCTCCAAGATGGCATCATGATCAGCATCACGATCAGATCCAGGGGTTTGAGGCGCGGCAGCTTGCGGGGCGACCGGATCCTCAGGCTCTGCTAGCAGTGCTAGGTTCTCGGCGTATGCAATGTCATAGATGGCATTAGACTCAAAAGTCTGGGACGCAGCTTGGGGATGAACTGGATACTCCCCCCCTGCCATGTTCATGTTCTGTGCGTAAACAACGTCATGGTAGTTCTGAACGGCGTCGTTCATCAGGTTGGGGTATGAGAACCCATGGTAGGCGTTTGGATGGTCGTCAGAAGCCCCCTCGTTATCGTTTCCGCCATTGTTGTTAAGCGGCTGTGCTCCATAGCTGTAGAATTCTCCGGCCCCAAGCAAAGAACCATCGTTCTGGTTGCCATGACTGAGAAGGGCTGGATCAATATTGTTCATATGGAAGAATCCGACACCGACATGGGGAAGATTCTGGACAAAGATACCGTCACAGGCTGTGTCAGAACTGTTCACAGCGGAGGCTTCAACCACCTTTTCAGCTTCATCCAGGGGAAACATACTGTCAATGCGCTGGCCGAGTTTGACAGGATCCATGGTGGCATAGTCTATCTCGAAGTCCTCGGATTCACCGTTAGGACCGCCAACTGCCGGCATATTGTCGTGGGGCTCAGTTTGCTCGGCTGGGACCTCTGCGGGAGCATCGCCATAGACCTCTTTGATCAACGCGGCCCAGTCCAACTCCTGGTAGGCTTGATTATCCATCGCGTCGTCGATGCTGATTGCCACCCGTCGATGGCAAACTTGGTAAGATGATTCGGATCAAGTCTTCACGATAGCACAAGGGGTAGACCCCGCTGGTGCAGTTGTAGGGCTTTCACCTCGGTCAGAGTTGATCGAGGCCTCGGGTGGTAGCGAAACTATTGAGAAGCAGTCGTGTAATTTGAGGTCAGGGCAAAGGGCCTGGGACTCTCTTTTATCTCAACTTGGCAAGATGAAAGGTATTGGTCATTTGCCCAAAACACTCCCAACAAGACGAATCGGTGAAGGTTCATGACTGGCTAAACAGATGTCTATTCAGAATGACAAGACGGAGAACAACTCGGTAATGAATCTAGAACAATGAAATAGTGGTGCTGTTCAGTCGAGAACAATGTTATAGTCGCGTTGCTTACTTGATGTTTGGTTGATCTGAACAACCCCTGACCAAAAAAAAACATGAAGTCAACAATCACATTGTTCATAAAGATCGAACACTGGTGGGATGAAATTGTCCCCTCCAGTCCTTACCCGTTTCTGGACGGTTCGAAATGGTAAACTTGAACCAAGGTGTTCAGTTCAGAGAGCCGTTGTTGAAGACGAGCCTGACGTTGGCAGGCCCCCCTTGTTGGGGCAGCTTCCGCTCGCCGTCCAACCCGGAATAGAACCAAGTACTCGTCTCGCAAAGTACAGACCATTCTTAAGTATGTGGTGTTTAACTAACCATATGCTTTATAGAGAGATCCAACGACTTGTGTAACAGTATCGTCGCGGCGGACAGCGTTGAAGACATTCATAGGCAAGGCTTACATCCGCTGCCAGAGCTCTGAAAGCCCCGGACACTCAGATATTTCTATCTTGACGGCTTCAGGTTTTCACATGGGTTTAAAAAGATGGTACCTAGCATCGCAACCCCTCGACTCGATGAATTGTGAGGTTCGGAGATGAAGATAACCCAGAAGTATTCGTCAACTTGTAAGAAGCTGTATCTTGCTATATAATAAACCTTCAACTGGCTACTACTTACTACAACAGAAAAAGAACGTTCTTCACATCTCAATGCTAACATGCTGCCATGATGGGTTCACCAGGGCAATATATACTTGTAGCAGTGGTGCCAAGAAGCTGCTCGGCGCTCGCTCCGTCGTCGCTGGCTTGACAATCGCCTGCGAGTTACATCGCAAATACAACGTCTAGCAAACAGCAATCTGATGGTGACTGCATCGTATTTACATCAAACTAAGAAGAACTGTCGAGGAGGTGGTATGACTTATCACCACCAAGTCAGGAATATTGCAGCCGGATGTCCCTAAAGGGGTTAAGCCAGGTTTGTGGAAGCTCGTATTTGAAGCGCGGTTGTGAGGACTTTTGGATAGAGCGCTGCAGGAACGAGCAACGGACCAATGAGTCCCTTGCTTTCAGTTCGCTCGTTCCCCGGATGCGATAGAGCGGTAAGTCAGATTCCGTTACGGAGGTACTATCCCCTGAGGGGGCATCGTGCTGTGTGTTATAGCCTACTGATGTAGCATTGCATTCAACTAGCCTGATGCAGATTTCAACCTTAAACGGGAACGGGAAGAAGGAAACCGCAGGTTAATTCATATAGTAATAGGCAGCCTGCATCTCGAGTCTGGGATCTTCACCTGTGTTGCTGCCCTGAATTCCGAAGTCCGAGGTCTTATCCTACCTCAAGAACCTCACTCCTGTCTTAGTAGTTATATCCACCTCACCAGCATGAAAATGCTACTCCTGAGATCCCTCGCCACCTTGTTCCTGGCCAGGAAAGTCCATGATTCCTGTCTTTGTTCAATAGCACTCGTCAGACTAACACCCACATAGCATTGTCGAGGCCAAACTAGAACGGCCCCATGGCTGCGGGACGCTGTCGACGGTGACTGTAACCGTGACCCCAAGCTCAACCAGCACCGGCACCAGCACCACAAGCGACTCCACCATCACCAGCTACCCGGACTCGTGCACCTACCGGCCTACGCAGACCTACTATGCGTCTAGCGGCTGCGCTTTCAGCTGCTCGTCACAATTCTGCATCATTGACGGTTAGCATCTACCACCTCTGTGCAAGCTTTTATTATCTGGGTTGCCTGGTGCTCACACTCACACGCACAGCGCCTGCCACGATCTCGTGCGGCTGCCCAACTGTTTTCATCGAGACACAGACCGTCACGGTGTGCCCCACCAAGTCGCCCTGCTGGAATTGCCATACCGGTTGGGGCACCTTTTTGGTCACTGAGACGTGCACATCGACGGCTACGACGGCGGCGGTGGCGGTTCCTACTGGGGTTTGAGGTCGGGCGAATTATGAGCTGGGCGATGCTGGGTGGAGGGTTCATTAGCACTTGCAAGTGGAAGGGAATGGATCTATTAGTCTTTTCCAACGACCTTGCCTCAGTTACCGGCTTGATGTGCGTTGTGGGAATCGTCCGCATGCCAGGTCATCGATCTGATGTTCAACGAGGTTAATACGATTTGGGTTTTAAGTTGGGACGGTGTCTTCCAATCCTCAAAACTGAAGAATTCGTCGTGAACATCAAGCCACCATTGGCACAGAAGATCCTTCCTGCCCATGGAGTCGAGCCTGTATTGACACTCGCCCAGTGCTCCTACTTCCAATCAACCTGTTCAGCCACCTCAATTGCCGCTGCCAGCGCAGGACGGCAACTCCCATCTGCACCCTTTCGGGGCTCCTTCCTCTCCTCTCAAGCGTGGCACCCACATGCGGAAACAAACGGCAGCCACCACACTGCTATGACAGGTTAAAGCCTTTCTCGGCCAATCGGCCTTCTAATGCAAGAAGGCAGCCTGGCGGCCGTCCGCCCGAAATTGAGGCGTCGGGCATTTCCTGTTGTCTTTGGGGGGGACATCACAGGACAGAAGTGTTTTATAGTCAACGAGGAACCCCATAATGGGCCATCCCACTTTGACAAACAGTACCCCGACAACCAAGCCTGAAGCCCTGTATTCATGACACCAGACCTTCAAAAGTAATTTCACGTCGTCAACATGCAACATGGCAGGAGAAGTACCGACACGGGCTCAAGCTTCGAGCCCCTCCTCCGTGACAGCAAGTCGAAAATTGAGCTGCCGCCTACCAATGGAACCTTATCTGGCCACGCTTTTGGCTCAGCATCTCATGGCGCGTTGCCTGTGTCTGCGTCCTCAGTGCCCTGATCAGCATGACGCTGCGCGTCTTTCAGAACATGGGGAACCTCAGCACGTCACAGAAACGGGGCTTCAATACTCTCACCATTTTGTTTTCGGGTCTGATAGGTGTAACGCTAGGCTCCTTGCTGGGATTGCTGGGCGGCATGCTGCGATGGCGTTTACTGGCAAGGAAGAAACATACGCCACTTGATGTCAGTCTCTCCTACCAGTACCACATATTCAATTCTCTTTTTGTTCCCGTCTTTGTAGCCGTTTTCCAGTATATTCAGTTGTTACCTTTCTGTCTCGCTAATGAACATGGCACCTTTTATAGGTCGATCTTCTCCTGGGCATGCAGAATCCTACCGGATCGCTGAAGCTTGCCTGGGACCACGTTTGGAGCGGACGGTTGTCAAGGACGACTCTGGCCGTAGCCGCGTATCTCTTCGTCAACATTATCGGCCGTTTGGGGATTTCCGCTCTTGGGTTGGCCTACAGCTTAAACGAGATCCCTGGTATTATTTATCCCGTCCAATTGACGAATTGGAGTTCCACCCGGTGGTTTGAGATCAAGAACGCAAGCACGTTAAATTCGTTCGAAAGTTCTGGCAACTTCCCCTGGGAGCATGATGTCATGGTAGATGCCATGGGAGTGTCCAAACCGGTACGTGTTTCGCTGCGTCGTTCTTGAATCTTGGTGATACATGACCGCTGACAACTATTGTACTGCATGCACCTAGGGCGGTGGATTAACCTTGCAACAGCTGGTTTGAGCCGACAGCTGGTTTGAGCCGACAGCTGGTTTGAGCCGTTTGCCGGTCCTGAACCAAGGGTTCAATTTTTCCAATGCCGAGACCTACAACCTGAGCGATATAGGTTCGATAGGACTAGATCGAAAGATCAGCTACGACGGCGCCGTAACATACTCGTATCATTTCCATGAGTTTCAAGGCAGTGAGAGTCGGCTACTGAACGACAATGTCCTACACAACGTATCGAAATGCAAAGGGAGGATTATCAGTGACGGCGCCCTTTACGAGGACGCATATGGTCCTGAAGCTATGGGTCATTTGGTCGTCAACTTCAGCGGTATGTTCGGGTCTGCTATGAACTGCCCTGATCAGCGAGTGCCATCTTTTACTCACATACCTAACTGCCTAGGCTTGCTGGAGGCTCAGGAATCTCCTCAACCTCAGGCTATCCCTCCGAATCTGCCGCTGCTTACCAGAATCGCGATGGCGGTTTGTAGCAATGTCATTGGAGGTGGCACTGGCAAAAGTCAACACGCGGCCTAGGTCTCCTTGAACCTATGGGACTCGGAGACTCCTGAACCCCCAGCATGTGCAACGACGTGTAAGCTCTTTTTTTTTTTTTTTTTTTTTCCTTTTTTAAGTAATGGTTCTGGGTGCGTATTTAATCTGGTGTTCTAATGCATCAAAGTCCTTTTCTCGAATCCTCACGCATTGTCCATGGATTATAGTCCGGAAGATTTCCCGAACTGTATGGGAATCTTGTACGAATGTTCGACGTGCCTCAGTGAGGGAACCAACGGACTCGGCACCGGCGTCCCCCAGCTGTTTCCAGGACTCCCAGCTGGGATGTCAGCCTACTATTCTCGCCAGCTTGCCCGCCTCTCCACTCTGGATGTTGTCTTTTTTCAAGAAGTTCAGTACGGCCCAGAGTCGGACATAGAGTTCCCGGATGACGTCGAAAGCATGTACTTCCGGTCGTATTCCATTGATTGGGTACCTGGGTACGCCACAGAGCTGACGGAAGGGTATCATACCGATATTGATCATGAGGCAACCCACTTCTTTTACGTCACCAAGAAACCGAAATCATGGCTGCCGAGATAGCGGCCCGGCCACCTGTCCACGCCGTGCTCGAAGCACAGCAAAGGGTGCCACGGATGGCCAAACACGAGGGGGACTCGGAGCTGCCCTTCATCACCGTTGCACTCGAGGTCAAGTGGGATAGATTGTTTGGCATCCTTTCAGGCATATTGGCCGGGCTGACTTTAGCGACTAGGTTCACCCTGTTTTGGTGTAGGGAAGTTGTCATGCGGGACCAGTCTAGTATTCTTTCCATCGCGATGCTGCTTAGGAAACCGCTGGAAGCGACAAGTGCGAGGACCATTGATCTTGGACCCGAGTTGGCCCGTCAGATGGAAGACGAGGGCATAAGGATGAGATACGGGGCACGGATGAAAGAGCACAAGAGGGGTGTCTATGAGCTGGCTTTGTGGTGTGACTCAGACAAGTTCTATGAAGGAAAGTATCAGTGATAGTGGGACACTGGGACCCCATGGAGGCAATGGATCTGCTGACCGTTGGATGATTCTTGTCCATCAATCTCATATTGACGGAATACTGATCGCTTTGTTCGTCATTGTTAGGAAGGTTCCTATACTACGCCCAATAGCTAAATGGTTCCATCATTCCCAGAAAGGGGCCGGGCTCATCGCTCACGGTATATAAGGGTATCTCCTGAATCTCCTGGACGGTCCACACGTGATGATGATCTGTGAAAAGCGCCAGGCGAAGATGACGATACAGTTGGCTTCCATCCACTGATGTTGTGGTCCCCTTCCGTCAGGGAATAACGGTTTCCACTGAAGGCGGCCACGGGAACATCACACTCTCCCTTAGACAGCCGTAGAAAAAGCACAAACCAGAAATCCAGCGCCTCACATACAACCGCGGAATGCCGTGCTCGTCGTCGAGACCGGCGAACGTGACCTCAAGAGACACGTGATGATCTATGTCGTTTGTGCCGACTGTGCTGGAATTGGGTTCTTTTGGGCGTGACGCCGTGAAGACAAATGACGCCGGGGCTTGTTGCTGGTTGGGGCGCGCCTCCCGAGCATCGTCCCCATCTTCCCAAATGAATATGGCGCTGTACGGGGTTGAAGCTTCCTGACCAGCCCAGAGCCTGCCGAGACGGAGTGTCTCCCCGTTTTCGATTGCTTCGACCAGCCTGTCAGCCTCCATACGCATATACCTTTTGGCAAATGTCGAACACCGAGGCTGCCTCCTGCCGCTGTGAGAGGAGTCAAGCTTTTCAATGAAATCGGCAAGGTGAACATGGTCAAGACATCGGAGTTCGTAAGCAAGTTGGTTAAGCCGCCTCTGCCCGTGTACTGCCGAGCTAGTACGCGGCTTCCTTGATCGCGGCGATCGGTCGGTAAAGTCTGTGGTCCGGACAATTTCGCCCAGCTTCCAGAGGTGTCCCTCGGTCATGATACCACACGCGTCAAGTGTCACGTTAATGAAGCGGCAGCTCTTGTTGAACGTCAGGTTGTGGTCAATTCGAGGACCGTGGAACTCATTAAAGAAGTGCGTCTGCAGATACGTGTGGACGCTTCTCTGAGACGGTGAGGCATGAAGTTCTTCTGCTCTGCCGTTATGGAGGATCTCCCCGTTGAGCAGACACAGCGCAAAGATGGACAGGTCGACACTGTATGCGTTTTCTTGCAGCTCTTTTTCGTTTAGCCGGATGGGATATTGGCAACAGTTGGCAACAATGGGAAGACGGTCCCAACTCTTCGACAGGTTTCTCCTTCCGACATTGTCGATGATCATCGGAAACATAGCCTCTGACCTTTTCAGCAGGAGCGTGTATCTGCCGGCCGCTCCGAGGACGTGGTCGATCGCGAGGCTCTCTTTCGGCGTGCGAAATCGAATGCGTGAAAATGCCTGACATAGCCTAGTAGCTTGAACAGAGAAAGCGACATACTTGACGCAGAGCTCGCCTCGAAGATCGCCAAAGACAGGGTCCTGACCAAAGACGTCGTAAGACCTCTTCTTTCTCTCCAGACCAACGAAATGGCGGATGAGGAGAGTCATTTGATGCCCCCCGCAGTGAGACTCCTGGAACGTCCAAGCTCTCGTCCACCAACGGTCGCTTGTCATAGAGTTTAGCAACATCAGCGCTCTGTTTGCCTCTGACCGGCCAGTCCCTGTCGATAGCTGGGGCTCTCCCGTTTCATGATTTTCATCCACGAGTTCTCCCTTAAGGATTTTAGCGAGGAGATCTAATTCATCCTCTGAGCTGATGGGCCTACCGAGCAACGCGACAGGCTGGCGACTAAGTCTGTAGACGAAATCCATCGCTTGGACGGCGTCTCGTTTTTCCTCGCACTCCTCGTGGTCGCATGCACGATCCTTGCACTCGCGCTGCTTCACGCAGTGCCGATCAATCCACAATAATCCCAATCCAAAGTGCTGCATGTAGGCAATCGCACGGTCAAGAACGCAATTCCGAACTAGCGCTGGGTAGAAGTCTTGTCCGTTTCTGGTCTGCACTGAATAGGCCCCCTTGGTACAGTCCTCAAATTCAGATGGCTCCCAGGTGTACGATAGAGCGAGGTAATCCTTCTCTTGAAAAGCGTCGATGGAGGTTCGGAATAGAGGAGTACGATGCGTCCAAGCATGAACAGGATCTCGCTCGTAGGTTTCGTCTAGGTAAAGACATTCAAGACTGTTGAGGTAACCCAGGAACTTGTAGTGTTGTTCTTTGCTCTCCTGGATCTCAAGAAGGCGTGCGACAATCGGGCCGGGTTGGCATCTCGCGACTTTGGCGAGTGGACTTGTAGCATCACCACGCGTCTCCATTGTCGAAAAGATCGAGAACGATAATGGCGGCGGTTGGTATGTGCCTTGATTTGACAATCAATGTCACCCAAAACGCTGTCGTACTCTAGCGCAGCGAACGCTTTTATAATTCGCGACGGATGGCTTGGAGACGAGGCTGTGGTAGTGACGTGGCAGTCACACATCGTGTAACCACCCTCCTTCCCCTTCTCTCTGCCGCCTTGGTTGCCTTCTCTGATACGGTGGTAAAGTGATAGGCGCACACGCGAGGTCGCTTGTACCTGAAGAATCTGGTCCATGGAGGTCAACGACGATGGATCGTTGAACTTCGTCTGACGGAGGAGAGGAGCGTGATAGAGAGAACGGCCCGTGAGGCTGTGAATACCAATCCTCACCATACTTACAGCTCAACCCTCCCGGAACCTTTCCAACCTCGCCCTCCCTGTCATCAAACTCCACACCCACAACGCATCCACGACCACGATATCCACAAAACTAAACACCAAACTCCCACCAAAAACCAGACCGTGATACGTCCACGCATTGCCCTCATCCAAGTTCCCCACCTGGCACACAATCGCCCACGGCAACACATACAACAAATTACTCGCCAGACTCTGATACAGATACCACCTGGGCCTCGTCGCCAGGACAACGCTCGCCAGTTGCGTCGACGCCGCATAAAAAACATAGCACCAATCGATCGTCCGCCACATGTACGCCGTGACCTCGGCGACCTCGTCCGAGTCACTGAGATACCGCGCAAACGACCTCGCACCCCGCAGCGAGAGCGCGATGGCGACGGGAACATCAACCGCCACCGCAATGCCCAGGGCGAGGAGCCCGGGCTTCACAATTCCCAGAATGGTGCGAAACGCGACGCGGCCGGGTTTGCGCGTGCTTGTTCCGATCTCGCGCCGCCACGCACCCCAGCGATGGCCTACAAATGCGAGGCTCGTGGCTTCGAGTGCCTGCACGGGCACCATGACCAGGCCCCAGCGGATGGTGTTAAAGACGCCCCAGGCGGTGGCGTAGGTTGAGCCGAGCGCGACGATGGTGGTGACCAGCCAGAGGTAAAGCGCGTTGCGGATGGCAGACTCGATTAGGGTGAGCAGCCCCGGGCGGAGGAGGACGAGGAGGGCGAGGAGGCTGGGGAGGGTGGTGGCTGGTTCGGTGTTGGTCTCCTCCTCCTCGATGGGATAGTTGCGGCGGGGGTTGGGTCTCGTTGTTGTTGTCCAGAGGAAGTAGCCCAGCCCGACCAAGGCAGCCGTCATGTTGCAGGTGAGCTGGATCCCGGCCTGCATGTTGACGGTGGGCTGGTGGCTGCCAACATGGAAGCGGGATATGATGAAGAGATCCAGCGTGATATTCACGGCGAATTTGGTGCTGCTGATAACGAGTGGCACGTCCGGCTTGTCAAGCGCCCGCGTGGCTGCCGCCACGGCCGTCTCGATGGCGGAACTGAATGCTGAGAAAGCGCTGATGCGCACGTAGGTGAGGCTTGCATCGCGCACCTCAATGGGAACAAAACCCCTGGCAAAGGTCGCTGCGCCGGCGAGGAAGCCAATGCTCATGATGAGACCGAGGATAGACTGGAAGAGGATGAGGGTGTGCGTCAGCCCAAGCCTTCGCGTCCAAGACCTTGATGCGCTGTCGCCGATGATGACCCACGCGGCGCGAGGCAGGCCCTCATTTAGTACCTCGGCAACGACACCGATATACGTGTAGACGTCGGTAGTCACGACAAGGGACCGGTCAATGTTGGCGACCCAGAGCTTGGCGAGTGTGCCGTACAGGGCAGGCAGAATGAAGGCGGTCACGTTGAACAGCAATGCGCCGCCAAAGTGATCGCGGCGCCAGCTCCAGACAAGGCGTCTGGGACGAATTTGGTCGTCTTCACCCCCATCACGGACGGGCCGCGCTGCCACTGGTCCTATATCGTCAATGTTGTCGTCCTCTAGCAGCATGGTGTATCGTTGCCGGAACCTTTGGAAGATGGAAGGCTGTGATGTGACCATTCTGCTGGAATATGTAGTGCTGTGGACATAGAGCTGCAGCTGTGAGGTGTGGATGCGGGGTGCAGGTGCCCGGGCAAAGTGACGGCGTGATGACCTCCTGCCTCTCGAGAAATGACCAGGTGTGATAGGCCTGAAGGTTCACCGGACATGGTCGAAAGAACGCAGGGCTGTTCCGAAATGGCGACGATTGCCGAGAAACTCAGGCCATTGATACATCGCTGATGCGTGGAGGCCAACCGCAGCCTTGGCGCGCAAAATGCACAGACCAGACTTTTACATGCCTCCGTAATAAGTGACCGTTGCCGCGCATTCCGCGACCGCTGCGACGGCGGGAACAGCCCTACATGTTTCAGTACAAACTGCAAAGTGCTTTTGTAAGAGTTACCTTATGCTTAAACCAGCTGTGGTCGGGCAGTGGGGGCGATGGACGCCTGAGAAAAGCGGTATCTTATAAAGCAAAAAAATGCACTTGATCTTCATCAGGCGTTGCGAAAATCATCGCCGAGGTTTGAGGAATTGAGGTAGGTTGTGGTTGTTGTGCGGGGTGCATTTCGGATCAAGTACCCGTTGGCTCGTGCTTCCTTGAGCACTCAGGCTTAGGGTTGCTCCATTAAATGGATCCACGCGTAATTCACCGATCGCGTGGCGCGAGTGGGTCAAGCGTGCATTAACTTTTTATGCCCGATGAGAACCCCTCTCACTCTTTCCGTCAGCATCACGAATTTGACTCCAGCTCCCAGGATCGGCGCAGCCGCCAAGCGTTGTTCCTCTCATATCTAGCATGTTTCCTCGATGAAGAACATTAACCGGGCTTTGAGAGAGGATTGGCACGCTGTACCTGTAATCACACCATAGGAGAGTGTGTGAAGTACTCATCCCGAAATGGCCGATTCTTCAAACGGCCAACCTCCAGGCCATGGCACCAGCAACAATCCGATGGCTACCGACTTTCCAAATCCGGTATTCACCTTGGATGACATGCCGCCTGAAATTCTGGCACTGATTCTGGAATGTCTCGTCCCTCAACCGCCCGAAATTGGCGACACACACCCTGTTGCCTACGACCAGTTGGCCAGCGATGAGCCGTGGTTCGACTTCACGCGTCGTCGCCGCGGGCTCCACAGCGTTTGCCTTGTCTCGCGCCGCTTCGCCGAGATGGCCCGCCCCTTGCTGTACCGCATCGTCGCCCTGTGCGACGAGCCGTCCATGGTCCTCTTCCTCCGCACCATGTGCGAGAAGCCTCGCTATGCCCAATGGACACGCCATCTCTCCTGCCACCTGACTCTGACCAGCGAGACTGTGATCCGCGAAACCCGCCGGGCCCTCACCAAATATCTTCCCTCCATCAAGCTGGTCATTGAGTCCGAGAACCTCAACAACATGGCCCGCCAGATGCTGGCGGCTTTGAAGTTCGGCATCCAAACGAACCAGCGCACCCCAGCACTGCCCGGCCTGGTTGACCATTATCCGCAATTAGTCCTGTTAGTCATTCTGATCTTTCTCACCAAACTGGAGGTCTTGCTTCTGCAGGTCCCCATCTGCGATGATGACCCGGAATACGACCGCTTTTGCGAGGCCGTCAAGAGGCTGTTCAGCACCTACAATGAACCAGAGATAACTCCCTTTCAAAACATTCACACCCTCCTGTTGCAAGGCGACCCGGATTTGTTAGAGCACTTTGAAGCAGAGAATTGCGACTGCGAGATTCCGGAAGCTTGGGGCGCGCAGCCGCGCCAATACGCGTCACTTTACGAGTCGTTCCCGAACCTAACCACACTCGAAGTCAGCGCCGACGACGGCATCTGGACAAACGTGGAAGAGGAGCGTCTTTCCTTTCTTGTCGGCGGCAGGGTGCCAACCCCCTACCTCACCAACATCCGCAAGATCTACCTTCACAATAGTCTTGCCTGTCCGCGGAATCTGCACCAGATCCTGCTGAATGCGCCCAAGCTCGAGACCTTGTACATGACGTCGCGTCCTTACGAGCCCACCATCGAGACGCACCACGACAACAGCACCCACGCGGACCCGGAGGCATTTGACTTTGGGCTGATGCGACATGCAAAGAAGCTGCGCAACCTCGACATCAGCTGGGTCGATGTCCGTGGATTTGAATGTTTGATCGGGCCCGAGGGTAGGCTCGCCGCTCTGGCTCAAATGGAACGGCTTGAGACACTGTGTATTCAGCTGGCCGTTTTATACGGGAAACCCTCCACCGTGGCCGAGATACCACTCGTCGATTTGCTCCCGCCTAATCTAGTTGAGCTGACGCTCGAGGACTGGTACGTGTCGTTCCCATCGCTGATTCCGATTCCAAGGATTAGGTAAGCTAACAAGTCACACAGGTGGTGGCAGAATGCGGACATGGTTGAGGTCCTCCCGTACTGGGACGTCGAGGACAAGGTCAAGCACTACCAATCCCATCACAGCTACCGAGAGACCGCGCTGCGGACCTTGACGCAGTTCGCATGCGACGTGAGAACACGAATGAGCAAGCTAAAGAAAGTGGTGTTTCTGTGCAAGATCCCGTGGACATGGGTCATGGAGGACGCGGTTCCCCTCGAGTTCCATTTTGAGCAGCTCAGGCTGATGTTCAACACGCAGGATATTGACTTCCAGGTCAACTGCGACGAAGTGTCAGAGCCGCAGACTCGGGAGGTTATCCCCGGCCGGTGCTAGTTACGTCTTTGTCAAATTGTCAGACACAGCGCATGCACTCGGATCGAATGCACTTGGATCGACCTGTATCTTGAGAGCCAGTCCGGCTCAGCATAATCGCGATTCGCTGGAACTCGGGTCCTCTATTGGTGCCTGCAGTATTGTATTGTACCTCTAATGTATGTACGCCAGGTGCTAGGAAAGCAACAACTGTCTGTTAGAGTCTGTTACAGTACAGGGAGCGACTATTTGGCAGACCTCAGGCTGCCCATAGTGTACAGATACGGTAACACTTGAGATCTAGGGCTTTGGTCGTCCTCCAGCAATACGAGTTCACTAGTCAACGCCAAGATAATTGGGGCTCTGCGTAGGCTGCGGCAGAGAGCTTCGGTGAGTGACTATGAATTGCTGGAACCTTCTGCCAGATCCCTGCAGTCTGACTGTTTCTGCAGAAGCTCAACCTCAAACCGCCTATACAGGTCGCACCAGTACAGCCAAGTTTCTTCAAGAGTCATTGAATTGCGGGAGCCTTCTTGGAGATTCCTGATACTCCTGCAGCCTGCAGGACCTGTTCGGATGAGTCGGATCCACCCCAGACCGCCTAGACCAAGACTGATCACGCCTGGCCTTGCAACGCCGCGGACGTGTACAATAAATGTGCCTCGGCTCAACTCCCTAGTAACTACCTTGGCGCTTCATAGCTATAAGGTACTTGTTCCTCTTTCACTTGTGCCAGCCCTTTTCTCTCCTCTCCCTTTCATTCCTATACCATCCTCTTGAAGAGTAAAACCCAACAGACCAGGCCATAGCAAACACTTCAACTGACAGCTCACCATGTCCTCCTCAAGCGAAACCCCCAAAACCTGGTACACAGGCAGCTGCCACTGCGGCGCCGTCCGCTACTCAGTCGCCCTTGACCTATCCAACCCGTCCTTCGAAGCGACCAAGTGCAACTGCAGCATCTGCCTCAAGACGAACCGGTTAGGCGTTCGAATCCCCGACCCAGAGCAGAGCTTCAAGCTGCTCTCGCCGGCCTCGCTGGATGATGTACCAGCCTACCGATTTGCCACCAAGCAGAGCCAGCACCGGTTCTGCAACAAATGCGGCATCCATCTTCTCTGCCACGGAGAATATGAGTATGAGGGCCAAGTCCACAAGGTCTTCAGCATCAATGCCGTCACGCTGGACCCGGACCAGGAGGGGCTGGATTTGCGCGAGTGGAAGGTTCGTTTTTGGGACGGGAAGAAGGAGAATTGGAATGCTGGGCCGGCGGAGAAGCCTTACCCCGGCGGCAGCTACTATTGATGGAGGCAGGAGGGTAGTGATAGCCCGAGAAGATGGGTGTTTTGGTTGGACTCGTGAAATGTAAGCATCAGTTTATACGAAAGTTGGAAATATATACAGAGCAAACAAAACATAAGGCTGCCCGCAGCTCCCCGTCCCGGTTCATAGCAACCAAGGATTCATATCCAGACTCAAGGATCCGGTCTCAGACTCGTTCTGTCCCCTGCATAACGCCTCCCTTCCCCCCCTGCCTTAGCCCTCGGCGTGGCAGTCCCGCTACTAGTAAACGGTGCCGTCCTCGACCCGCTCACGACAACCACCGGTGTCCCCACGGCCCTGGCCGCAGTCACCCGCTGCTCCGCATGCGGCACCGGCGCCGCCCCAACCGCCACCGTCGGCCCCGGGACCACATACCGGGTCATGGCAGCCGCAGAGACATTAACCCAAACTCCCGGATCATCCTCCTTATAGAACTCCCTCGCGTCAAATCCATCCATCTTAAACTCCCCGTCCGACTCCTCCCCATTCAAGCCCTCCACCCACAAGTTAACACACAGCGGATAATTCTGCGCCCCTCCCTTCCTCTCCGCAAAATGCAGCGCCACAATCTCCTGCCTCAGCACATACGCACCCGTCCTTAACCCCCTCGGCACCTCCACCAACCAGGTATTATTCGCCGCAATCATGACGTCCGTCGCCCACCGCTCCCTTGCAAGCTTTCCCTTCCCTCTCCCAACAACCTGCGGCTCCCCCTGCGTAAGCGCCGCCATCACAGGCGCCGAATCATCCACCTTCGTCCACCTTAGCGCCGTCTTGTCCACCCCGGCACACCCACCTCCCTTACCACTGCCACTGCCACTGTCATCACACCGCGCGAGGTAGGTAAGTACTGGCCCAACATGCCCGATGGGCCAGCCATTCCAGTGTACCTGCACGCGGTCCCCGGCGCGAATGGGGGCGTGCGCGGCCGGGCTTGTGCCGGAGACGTGGCAGATTATGTCCGGGTCGGAGTATTTCGAGGGGGCTACGAAGCCGTCGTCGGTAGCGCCGCTCGACCAGCCCACGTGGTCGGGCGGGTTGGGCTGCTGGTTCGGGCGCGGGTCGAAGCCGTGGTATAACAGGCCGTTGATGGTGATGTGTGACAGGTGAGAGTGGCCATGGCAAGTCAGGGGGAGGGTGAGTAGGGTAAGGAGGGTGAGGAGGTCGGTGAGGTGGAGGGGAAGGGTTGGGAGTGACACCAGAGGAGGCATTTCGTAGTACTTTGTGAGGATGTCCAAGATGCGAGGGCGGCCTGGAAGTGAGGGTGCGAGACCAGCTTGAGTTATTAAGACCACGGTTATCACGGTTATAGGCTCATCTTATACGCTGTAGGTGAATTGCTAGTCGATCATTTCTTGGCCATCAACGTCTGGGACGGGATGTTAGCCGGGATTCTGGGGTGCAGATCAGAGTGTGTGCTCATTTATCCTTATTGCGAACCATCTTATGAGTTATAACCTAATTGTCCCGTGCCGAGCCTGAGATCGCCCGGGTCATCTGTATAAACTGCCTCACGCACCGTTCGAGCCGAGCGGTCAAGCGAAGGAAGAGCTTCCTGCAGTGCCCGGCTCGAGCCTGGTTTCTGGGATCTTGATGAAACTTTTACCAACTGATCAGCGCACCGTCAGGGACTCGAAGGGGAGTGCGATGGGTTCCGTTGCCGGTCGACGGAACTGATGACGGAACACCAGGAACAGGCCATAATACCCTGTTGATCGCTTCCTCAATTGTTTGTTGGGGATACGCTGCATTGTCGAAGGTTTGGGAAGTCTCAGTGTTGATCATCCGGGGTGAGACGCTTCTTTGCGATATTCCGCCAGTCGACTTCCGCATTCTCCTGCCTTGCAGCCTTGGTTCTACCCCGAGATCCGGATAATCAAGTATCTCCGGCTGGCTATGGGCAGTCATGTCTAAACGGAGCGTGGGGCATGTTTCATCTAAGTTACTTTCCCTTTTTCGTTGATCCCGGGATCCGTCTGCGAGGTACCCATGAACGATATGATCGGCGCATGCCGTGATTCGTTGCACGGAAACGAGGCCCGGGGAATTGGGATTGCTCACGGTGGGACTGGGAGCCGGTAAGACGGAAGGTTAGTACTGTACAGTACAATCTGGTGAAGATACGGATAACTCCCGCTAGTCGAGTTCTCTGTCTCGTACTGGACAAGAGGACGGCAGTACCATATGCTGACTGAAGACCGAATAAGGTGTTGTACTGTACAGGTGTCGTTTAGTTCTCGGTGATGGTTCAACTGCTGGACGGCATGGTCTTGGCGATCGTTTTTGGTAACTCCGAAGGGACAAGGATGCTAACCCTGGCCCTCGGACTTCGGACGCCTTGAGCGTTGCCTGGATTGTCTCTGACCACATCCCATCAACGCACCTCACCAAAACACTGGCGATCCCTAGACGCGGCTGCGTCAAGCCCAAGATGTCAACGAGAAGCCGACTCGCGAAAGCTTTGCAAGCCAAAGCAACCGTCAGTCCCGCCATCTCCGGATCGCTGCCAATCCAGCTGTTCGAGAATGCGAATGCCTGGGAGACATGGCTGGAAGCCAACTGCGCGCAGTCAACGGGACTGTGGTTGAAGATCAGCAAAAAAGGGTCCGGAATTGCGTCCGTTACCTACGACGAAGCCGTCGACACGGCATTATGTTTTGGATGGATTGACGGCCAGAGAAAATCGCTCGATGCAGAGCACTTTATCCAAAAGTTCACTCCCCGTCGGAAGAAGAGCATGTGGTCCAAGCGGAATGTTGACAAGGTCGCCGAACTGATCGCTGCGGGGCGCATGCGCGATGCGGGACAACTCGAAATCGAGGCGGCGAAGGCGGACGGGCGGTGGGAGAAGGCATACTCGTCGTCGAGCGTGATGCAGGTCCCAGCCGACTTTCGAGCGGCCCTGGATCGCAACAAGAAGGCGAAGGCATTCTTTGAGGGCCTTAACAAGACCAAACGCTATTCGTTTCTTTGGCGCATCGAGACTGCGAAGCGGGACGAGACACGGCAGAAACGGATTGAGCAGTTTGTGCAGCTCCTTAGCGAGGGGAAATCACTTTGAGTCCATGCAGTTTGGGACGGGACCGTCCATCTCCAGGAGGATTTCCCTGATTTCAGCAGGGGTTGGAATGATGGACGGCAGGAGGGGATAAGATGGAAGACACTGCAGGGAAGGTTTGAGCGGTCCTTTCCCGCCATGGCCGCGTGGGTCATCTGTCCCCGCAGCGACGGCCTGGTGGAGCGGGACTTTTGCGCGGAATTTGGCTTTCCGATTCTCCCCACCAGTTGACGAAACCCCGACCCAGAGCTTCGCCATTATCGCATCCAGCATGAACGTTATCCACCTTGACAACATCGACTTTGGGTGAACGAGGCTCAGCAGCTTGCAAAGAAGAATGCTCACTCCTTGGGGTTGGATAATATTTCCACGGTTTGAGCTGCCGCAATCTCCTAGAATGTCAGTTGGAATGTCGGATGGAGCTGCCTCCGAGCTTCCACTGGCACTCGACGAACCTCAGTCTCTCCCCCGGTCGGCGATTGCTCCGATCCTCGTGGTCCCAACGACGCCAGCATGCGAAGCGAGAAATGATACAGCCGATGTGTCATTGACTGGAAACTGGGAGCGGAAGTGAGGAACCCTGGATCCGGTGCGGAGCAACAACGAACTGTACATGCGGACTCTGCGCTTTCCACCATGCACTGAGCAAAGGCCGGCCTCGTCACTGTATCGGTGAGCCGATCGTGATAGTAGTACCGCCCGTCGAGTACTAACGCAAGTTGATGGCAGCACCTGACTCCCTCCAAGTCAGACTGCTTTAAATGTCCATCCGACAAGAACACAAGTTCCCAGCTCCCGGACGAACTCGAACAAGCCTATGCTGGCGTCGCACCCGAGCAAGATTCAAGCAGCAGAAGATGATGCTGGCTTCAACTATATCCGCTCTGCTCCGTCGAATGCGGGCGGCTTGGTACGAGCTTGTGAGGCAGGGAAGTGGGAGTCGGTTGGCGGGTGACGGCGATATTCAGAGTTCGGATAGGGTTGTTGCCATCAGGAGGCATCTTGACTGCGGCACTGAGCCAGCCATCCCTTGTCGCTCGCTCCTCCCACCCGTTCGCACGAGGCTTGGTTATCTCCCACCGCTTAGTCGCTCTTCCGAACCCTTTACGCCTGCAAACCTGCAAAATTGACGACGATGAGCATTACTGTTTGGCCGCATTCACCGCGCATAATCTTGCCCTTGGCGGACAAAGTCTAGGCTAGACCGCATGAAGATTCGAGGAATAATCCAAGGTTCATGAGAAGCTCTAAAAACACAGTGGGAATATCATAGATAGGCCTAATAACAGCGACCCTCGTCCTCCTTACCCCCTTGCCCTCCTCTTCATCTCTACCCTCGCGCCCAGATCCTTATACACATTCTCATCCACATATCTATTCTCAGGCATACCCTGCCCCTCAGGGAAGCGGAAGTCGAACTCGTACAACATCCTCGCCATGATAAGCTTCATCACAGCCACGGCAAAGTGGCGCCCAGCACAGGCCTGGTTGCCGTAGCCAAAGCTGAGCGCGCTGGGGTGCGTCTGGTCGGCCAGGTGAAGGTGGCGCTGGTCCGCGGCGGCATGGCGCTTGCGGTAGCTGCGCAGGGGGTCGAAGACGGCCGGGTCCGGGTGGGTGCGCGGGTCCATGTGGTGCTCGTGGTTGGCAAAGGCCAGGCGCGTGCCCGCGGGTATGTACACGCCGCCCGACAGCATGATGGGCTCGGTGGCCAGCCGCTGCGGGTTGAGGATCATGACCGGGTTGTGGCGCTGGCTCTCCATGATGAAGCTGTCGAGCTTCTCGAGCCGCTCGCACCACTGCTTGGACGTGCTGCCCTCCGAGGCGAGGTTGTCGTCGGGCTTGCCGAGGTCTTGGGCAATGGTGTCGATCTCTTCCTGCAGGACGGGGATCCATTCCGGATGCGCGCACAGCTCGTACACCACATTGGCCAGCGTCGCGGCCGTCGTGTGGATGCTCGCCATGGCCAAGACGCACAGGCGCGCGGCCATCTGAGGCACCGTGTTCTCCCAGGGCTTGCCGTTCTCAACCATCCAGTTCAGGAGCGTGTCTTCCTCGTCTATCGTCTCGCCCTGCCTTCGTCGCGCTTGGGCATCGTTGAGCCGCTGAAGGAGCTTATCTACCATCTGCCGCGTAGCTGCCAGTTGGCGGCGCACTCTATACCTTGCCGGGATGAGCCAAACAATGAAAGGGTATGTCCAGGGAGGGAACATCTTGATGCCGAAGGACGACTCGAACAGGTCCACCGAGAAGCCGACAGAGATGTTGATCCAGCTTGGGTCTCGGCTGGCTGTGTCGCCCATAAAGATCTTGGCAGTAATGCGCGCCATCAGCCTGCGCATCACTTCCTCGATGTTGGTCAAGCTCCAGTCTGCTCATGGTTAGCGGTTGGCGTTTGGTCGCTCAGAGAACCCAGTGGTTTCTGGTGCTTACCATCAGTACGAGGCACCTCATCAGCCCATCCATGTGCCAGCTCGTTATACCCGTAGTCGACGTACTTGTACAGGTCGGGATTCAGATGCCTCCTCACAGCTTCGACATGGAGGTTTGAGTTTACAACGCCGTCCAAGCCGTTCCAGTCAGGGACCAAGTTCTGGGCAGCAGCTGCAGTTAGTATTCGGGAATTACTGTGCGAGACGAGGAGAACTTACCCCAACCTGAGCTCCGCGACTGCTGAGCTTCTTGTACGAGATCAAGCGGATCTCCTCGAGGTACTTCACCGGTAGGACCACGAAGTCGAGATCATACCGACGGACCACAAACGGCCTGTCCCTCATCTGGCTCGTATGTCAGCCGAGAACTTGTCGATGTCAGGGAGCGACGGACTCACTGTCTTGTACGCATCTCCGATAATCTTGTTGGCATTCCTGATGAATCTGGCCTTCAACAAGAAGGAAGGCTCAAACATCGACCGATAGCCTGCCACCGGGGCGTTTGGTCTCTCGGTTGGCCAAAATATGACCGAGAGGCTCCATGAGATGACCAGTAGCAGCGCCGTCGAGGCAAATGCACCCAGTCTATCGACCAAAGAAGACAGAGGCTCCCAGAGGAGGCACAGCTGCAGGGTGTTCTTGACCATCATCTCCTCTGCTGGTAGCCAAATACGGCGTTCTTTCGAGATGTTCGAGGGGAAGAGGTATTAGACAACACAGCAACTGATCCAAGGTAGACTTAGCGCGCTCAAGTTAAGTACTACTAGTGATGTAAACACACTTGCCACAACTGCCTTGACAATGGTGCCTAGCACTAGAACAAGATGTTTGTTTCATACAGTACGCCGGCGTCTCCTAACCAAGCGCTCTGACAAACGCTGGCAAACCACTTTGACACTATAGCAGCAACAGCCATCGTCAGTGCACTCAACACCAACACCCACTGATTGCGCCACCCATGTGAGCAGTTGCAACTATTGTTTAGTTGCTTAGCTGATCCAAAATAAATAGGGCGAGATCCTGGGAATGAGGGCGAACACAGGTCTGAGAACATACCCCTGAGACTCCTCCATCCGGATCCAGGTTTCGCACATCACAAAATATCGACTTGCCGTACATGGGTAACAGGACGGATGTCAAAACGCCGATTCCTTCTGTAGACCATCTTCAGTTACCTTTAGTACCTAAGGTAGGTATCCAAAACCCTACACCGAGATGTGGTCTGGCCCGTCTGGGTGGGGGCGGGGTAGTGAAAATCGTGGGATGTCGTTGCCGATTTTCGCCATATTCACACCCAAAAGCAGCGCAAGAGACCGCACAAAATCATTCCGCATGGCAAGACTTGGAGACCAAGTTACATTGGCATCACGACGTGTTCCACCTCCAAGAAAAATGCCTGACAACTTTTCCCATATTATCTCCACTCTTGCATGCAGAGTGACCAATGCCGATAACGAAAACCCAACACAATCGAGTAATGGCAAGATAAGCGCCGTGTAAATGTGAGGATGCGAGTCGACACGCGACTACCGGTTCATGATTTTAACCCCTCCTGCCAGCCAACGCTTCGAGGCTACCATATACCCAAAACTTCATCCCTTCTTCCTGTTCCTTTATATCGTTAAGGGGTACGAAGTAGGTGGGATCAAAACAACTCACCATTTCACCACCAGCCCCTACCCCTCCATCAAGCTCACCACTCCCCCTCCGCACGCGCACCTCGACCCCTAGCCTTCAACTTTCAAGAAACCAACACAACATGAAAGCCACCCTTCGAAAATGGCACTCCCACCTGGGGCCCTTGCGCGCCATCCCGCTGTCAGCGCTGTCCCTGATCGCCCTCCTGCTCCTGGTCAACGCCATCGTGTGGACCGCCGCGGGGACTTTGTTACATTACAACCCCAAACTCATCTCCCCCGCCGTGCTCTCGTACACGCTCGGCCTCCGCCACGCACTCGACGCCGACCATATTAGTGCCATCGACCTCATGACCCGCCGGCTAATTGCCTCGGGCCAGAGGCCGGTGGCGGTGGGGACGTTTTTCAGTCTCGGGGTATGTTGAGCCTATGTTGATGTTGATGTTGCGATGTGTTGGTTGGTGTAATGTTGAGTGATGAGATGGTTTATACATCAGCGAGATACTAGCATTGCCGATAATGGGTGGTTGATGAGCTGACCCCACTTGCCTATTCAACAGCACTCGACCGTGGTCATCGTCACGTGTGTGGTGGTGGCGGCCACGGCGGGGGCGCTGCGCGAGCGCTTCGATAACTTCCAGCGCATTGGGGGCATCATTGGCACGAGCGTGTCGGCGGCCTTCCTGCTGCTTCTCTGTGCCGGGAACGGGTGGGTGCTGTGGCGGCTGGTGCGGAGGCTGCGGGCTGTCTTGGAGGAGCAGCGGGTCGCCGTCGCCAGGGACCAACGGGGCGGGACTAGCGAGAGCGAGAGTGTGAGTGACGCCGGCGAGGTTGATGTCGACGTGGCCGGGACAGCTACAGGGCAGATGCAGCATCTGGAAGGCATCGGGTTTCTCGGCAGGGTGTTTCGCGGCGTGTTCAGGATCGTGGACAGGCCCTGGAAGATGCTGCCGTTGGGGATCCTGTTTGGGCTGGGTTTTGATACCAGCTCCGAAATTGCTATCTTGGGCATTGCGAGCATCCAGGCGGCTGCTGGGACGAGTATGTGGGTCATATTGATCTTTCCCGCGCTGTTTACTGGTAAGTGCGCCTTGCTCGACAGCATGGGGCTGCTGGATCTAAGAATGACCGACTGACACTTACATAGCTGGCATGTGCCTTCTTGATACCACCGACGGCGCCCTCATGATGGCTTTGTACACCTCCAAAGCATTCTCCAGAGACGTGGTGGCCATCCTGTACTACTCCATTGTCCTGACTGGAATCACTGTGTTCGTCTCGGCTTTCATCGGCATAATCCAGGTCTTGTCGCTCATTGAGCACGTTGCTGAGCCCGATGGGAGCTTTTGGGAAGGCGTCGGCGCCATTGGAGACTACTACGACGTTATTGGCGGCTGTATATGCGGTGTCTTCCTCCTTGTTGGCCTCGGTTCGGTGGTGATTTATCGACCTTGGAGAAGGCGGATGGACAGGAGAGTTTCTGGGCACGGGGATGAGACGGAACCGCGGAGCCCGGATGCACTGATTCCTCCAGAAGCCGCTCGAGACCTCGGATACGGCACGACTGTTTGAGTGAGAAGGGGAGGCAATTCAGGGGCTCATCCAGGATCCCGCAATGCAAGGCGGGCGGTGCGTGTCAGTCATGTGAATGCCACACGCAACGTCGGGATTCTCACGAAGTGCCCACCCAACCCACTGTATATCGTGGGTATCCGGACTACGCGTTGTCGGCTTCCAGGAGAGACGAAAGACGAATGCGCAGTTGGCATAAGGAAGCGGTTGGGATAGCTAAGATACCCAAATAGAAACCTTACATCTGGTTGTCATGGACAACTTAGCCTTCCCTAGGTTTCGGCATTATCCAACGAATGTTGACAGTTGACACTAGGAAGGAGACCGGGGCCATACTCCATACTCTTTCTGTGGCTGATAGTCATGGAAAAGGCCGTGAGACGAGCGAGTGTGCTTTCAACTTGCATCAAGGAATCGCAGCTCTGATGAGGCGAACACGGATACCTCATCGAAGGCAGGTTAACGCCTCTCTAAAGGCTCTTTATTCTGGTAAGTAAGGCATTGTACTTTGTAATATGTTGGCGAGGACTGCATATCAAGTCGTGCCAACAGCAGAAAACAATCACCTGTGCAGCACAGATGCTCGCCTGACCGTCCGCCCGATTAAGACGGATTGTGCAGCAACACACAAACTGGAAGCAGTCAGCCTTGCTTTCCAAAGTTTTCTGGTTTCCAGGTTTGCAACCGCAGATCGCTCTCATCGACCATGGGGTGAGGATCCCCGGGAAGCTCCCTTTATTGTCCTGGACAGCCCTACCTTTCCTAGGTATCTGAAGCTGCTCGGTTCTGGAGCTGCACTAGAGTTGGCTTCCGAAAGGAAAGCGATGAAGCCCCGGAGCACACCGCGCTCCGAATCAACTTCTCTCACCGAACGTTGGCGACACAGGAGTAGGCAAACATAGAAGCCAGGGCTAGAATCTGAATACAATGAATAACCTTATTCTTTGCGGATGGTTTGACAGCAAAGCTGCTGGTCTGATACTGGCGAGTCGCGTGGTGTTGATCAGTCGGTCCGCGGTCGCTTCAACACACACGAGATTGCCTTGTGCAGCCAGAATGCAAAGGCAGGTGCAAATGTTGTAGCGCGTTGCGCAACTCGCGGTCCTCACTCACCTCGGTGAGCGAACTAGACGTTATCATGGATCAACGCCACCTTTGCTGTCGTCCATCAGCATCGTATTCCGGTACCCGAAGAGATCGTCTGCAGATCAACTGATCCCGCTGAGTTGGCCAACTCGCGCAAGGCAGCTTGGTGGCGAGTATCAAGGAAATTCGAGGTTGCAAATCTGCACTTTCCCCCAACAACAATCCATGGCCCAACTGGCAACTGCCAGCAGTAGCACGACGATCGGCTCGCTGCATACGAGGCTACCGACGCCTTGCCCGCCACCAAATAACATACGAGAGACGATATCAATGATCGCCGTGCAGTAGATACCTGACCTGACAATCGGGCGGCGGTGTTTGGAACGGTTCAATGGAAATACGGGTTGGCGTAGGACCCAATGACGTCTGTTGCCGCCACCCGAGCCAACTCAGCCTCGCTGCATTTGCGCGCTGCCCGTTCCTGCATGCAGAGAGCCTGGGCAGCATTGAGCGACACGGTTACTTGCATTGGCCGGCTCCGAATTGGTCGGTCGCGCCGCATCTTGACACTCGCCTGTAACGAGAGAGATGAGCGGGCTGAGCCGGTGGCCGGTGGCCAGGAAAGGGAGGGGACTCAGGGGGGAGGAAGCGACAGCCCGAAGTGGGATGATTGGGCGCAATGTACCCCACCTTTGGAATTTGGGACTCCCTTAACGGGCGGTTACACAGGGCAAAGTTTTGCCGCCTCGCAACCTAACTCTGTCAACGATTTTCATCGTGAAGGCTTCATCGGTCCCTGGTATATTCAAGCCACCACATCAATCAAGTGTTGTGAGACAATGCGATCAAGCGGACAGTTCTCGGTCTTTCGGATGATCTGGCCAGATCACCATCAATTCCATCCCACTCTGGCTCACCGAGCAGACCAGCTCTACCGGCAGAAGTTAGGTTCCCGCGCGCTTGGTGTCACCGCAGTTGCCTTTGTGCCTTAGCAAATTCACCAGCACAGCAATTTTCCAGTTGCCTTACCTCTGAGTTGTACATACAATGCCATGCTTATCCAATTAGCCAGCCGATAGCTCAGGACACTCGGGCGACCCGCAGCTGGTTTTGTTTGTCGCTTTGACGGCGATACTGAGCGTTGCCCTGACCGCATCGCGCTTGTTGCACTGCTATTTTTGCCCTTGTTGCTTCTCCAAACCCTCGGCTCCAGTCTGCTGGGTGCGCCGCAGACGCCTCACAATCAGCGATTCCCTCGGCCGATTTCTTCGGCCTGGCTTTCCGTTTCAGAGCACGCACCAACAGCTGGGGGAGAAGGGTGGGATGGGCTGGGGCCGCAATGCATGGTGGGGCGAGCAGGGCAGAGCCAAGGGGGCACAGGACCCTTGTCCTTCTGGGCGCCTTCTCTCATTCCACGATCAACAAGGTATCCGCAGATTACACTGCATGCTTCGTACACAGGCAGGATGTCACCCGCCCGCCGCAAGCCTTGAGATCCCACCTATGTACGCACCCAGTCGCCTAAGGTATGGCGACGGCGGGCCGCCGAAGGGTGGTGTGTCTCGGGGCGAAAGATGTGGGCTACCAAGGACCATGGGACCCCCTGGGGCAGGGCTACGCGGAACTTCACTTCGCTGTCTTATATAACAGGACCGGCCGCCCGCCCTCCGGGTTAACCCAACATCTCGGACGATCTGCTACATGCCGTAACCCAAGTCCTACTCGGCAGCAGAATCGGCTTGCATCACGTACCTAGCCCTCAAACGGGTCTCATACGAACCTTGCCAAGCCTCACGGCATCCTCGGCCGTGATATATCTAGTGCCGGACCTCGAGCTCGCGAGCCTTCCAGAATTCGGCCTTTGCAGATGTCCTCATGTCTCTAAACCGAACTAGACACCACTTCAACGATTGCTTCGTTCCCGACACGGCCGACTGACAGAACGTCGTCGACGCTACCCAGCGTCACCCAAGCGGTGCGACACGAAGGCAGACCTGCCGACGTCCTCATCCGCCTTAAATCTCTTCAACCGGGCTGGTACCGCATTAATCCCTCCTAATCTTCCCGCTTAGCACGCTCCAAACCTGAACCGACACAATGTGCCTCACAAAGGTCTATTACAACACCTACTCGGACGGTACCCAGGACATAACGGAGAAGAAGTATCCCTGCAGCGATGGCAGAGCATGCTCCCACAACGAGGTTCGGAAGTACGACCGCAAGTTCCCCTTCACCAAGCTAGGTGAAGTCCAGCCAGAACCCCATAGGAGCCTCGCGGATCGGAAGCCAACCCCGTACTTCAAGCCGCACACCCCCCAGACATCCAAGTCCCCGTCGCCTCCGAGGAGACGGAGTGCCGACGTCTACATGAGCACTCCTAAGCACTACGACCACACCGATCCCTACGGGCGCTATGACCTGTACGATTACCGCACCTCGTCTAGACGCGACCCGCGCGATCGCTATGACCGCGAACCGCGTGAGTCGCGAACCAAGAGATCGTCCACCGTGCCGCAGATTGTGTACATGGACCGAGACGGGCTGTCAACTCGGTCGCGCTCCCGCTCCAGCAGCCGGGAGTATTCACGTGACGTCCCGCTGGGTGTGCATCTGGCCGATGACTACAGCCGGCGGAGACACTCATCATCGCGTTCACGGTCGCGCGACGGAAGCTCCTCCCGGGCGGGCAGCAGCGACCACAGCGACAAGTACTACCGCCGACGGACCGACGACTCCGTCGGCTACGTCTTTGTCGACGACCAAGACGAGCGCCGGCGCCAGCGGCGCGAGACGATGACGCACCGGCGATCGTCGAGCTACCCGGACCCGTCCACCTCGGCGACGGCGGACGCCTACGACCCGTCGCGGTACATCCCGCGGCGCGCGGCGTCGTCCACCGTCGTGCATGGGTCTTCTTCCGTCTCGACCTCGCCACCCAAGGCCAAGCACCTCCGGTGGGAGGACGAGGTGCGCGCCAAGCGGGACCGCCAGAATGCCGAGATTGCCAACCGCCCGCCGACCGTTGTGCTTAGTGAACCTACACGGGGCATCCTTAAGCATACCGGTGATTCCAAGACAAAAGGCAAGGCCCGTGAGACGGATAACGAGATTGATGAGCTCCGCCGTGCCGTGGCGCGCATGGAGATCCCGTCCCGTGGCCGTGACCGCGAGCCGCGCATCAGCTCCCGTTGGTACGATGAGGGCGGACACAGGAGATCCGCCAAGATGGTGGTGGCTGGGGATGACAGGTATGGTTACTACTGAGCGTTCGTCAGGGGCTGCATAACATTAGGACGGCGTTATCATCTCTGGTCTGAGTTTGACTTTAGAGGAGGTTATACACTGTTTTTGCCTTGGTGGTTGTGGGTAATCGGGGACAGTACAAGCGTGGATACATCTCTGTAGCAGGTTCTTACCTTGGACAGTCTACATCTCTATTTTCCTTTGTCTTGTCATGAATTGATTGATGAATACAAGTATCTACCAATATCTTTACATCCCCCTGTCCTTGGGTCATGCAGTGCAGTGGATTGTGAATATGCCTCTTGCATCCCCCCTTCATTCACCTGCACATTTCCAGACTCGGGGCCCTGCAAACGAATGGCTGCATTGCTTAGCCCAAGTCCCCTCACAAACATAATAGAATAGGTATTCTCCATGTTCTCAAGCTCGTACCTAGTTGTTATAACTGAAACAGGCCACCAAGATGTAATCTTGAATGCGGCGCAATGCCGGACCTGTGTCTCGGGTCCATTCGACAGGCCGGTCCGGCCACGGCGGGGCACGACCCACTTTTTCTTCTCCGAAGACCGATTCGGCCCCTTCCGATCGGGACAGGAGGTTTTCCACCTTAGAAACCGTATCAACTCATTCAGGTTTTCTCTCCAGAGTTTGTTATACACATAAACCGAACGAGTCGCCCGTTAGGGAAAGCCTTTGAGTATGCAGAAGTTTATGTGGCTGCGGAGGTCTCTTTCGCGTGCCAGCTACTGCTGCGCATCCCTAACAGTTACCTTTCGTGCGGCGTACTTGTACATACAATGTGGGAACATGGGGAGGCGTGCTGAGCGGGGATGGAACAACAACTTAGCTTGGGGCGGTGCTCGGGATCCTGGTCCTGTCCATTCGAAGTTTATGGTGGGATATCCCAGTGACCTGTTGAGGGCCCGCCCGTTCAATGAGTCCATATATGACAGTTCGATATAGCACCTTTTGACGCTTTGAGGATTTACTCTTGTCATATCGCGAGGGAATGTTCCCCTGAGGGGATATACTCTATTATCTCCTTGACACATACAATAGGTTATTGTCCAGCTGATCTATACGTCTACCGCAGCCCGGGGGCAGTCGGTCCTGAGCCTAATTGACATTGTTGGATTAAGTATTAACATACGGAAAGCCGATTTTCCAAGTCCAGTGTCCACATCGAGAGGCATGGATCAGCAAACCAGAATGTGTTTGGAGAACGGACCAATCTAGGAGACGCATTCTCATAGGTTCAGCCTCCGTCCCCTTCGCGGCCATACCGTATCCGATAACGACCACCCAAGAGAACAGGCACAACCACGTCCCTTCCGGCCGAGATGAGGAGGTCTGGAGGTGCAGGGAGCGAACCACCGGCCGCATGACAACCGGCCAGTCTGGCGAAAGCAGTGTCCGTCCCATTTCGATTCGCGAACGGCTCGCGACATTGCCCGCTTAGCCTGGTGGCGAGGCGCCCCAGGAGCAGATGTTGCGGATGCGCGGCTCGCCGCGTTGTAGGACAATGCTGATTGCTCAGTGCCCCCGCGGAAGCGGGCCGATGGCCAAGTGTGAGGGTGCACGGCATGCGTCGTGTCGTGCGACAGGATGGAACCTGACGAGAGCCGCGTTCCCTACGTATGCCGCACGACGGACTGGAATGGGAACTTCGCGTCTAGCCTGGCCTTCCGCTCCTGTAGGTCTTGACTGACACTACCAACAGCGCTGTCGGCGCGATATCGTACATCTTCTCTTATGCCATCCGCTCGAACCTGGACGGATTTGCGGCAACTATGACGCGGCGGAGCAGAGGCCCAGGTCCACGAGGAGATCGGCTCCCCGGACGTCAATGCCGCCCGAAGTCTTATCCTCAACTCCGAATCCCAAAAACAGGACGTCATCAAGGTACCCGTGGTACCTGACGCCGCGCTCCTTCCAGTTGATCGAGGTGACGTAGACCATCTCGGTGCGCGTGTCGCTGAGGCGCTGGCGACCATGAATCCACAGCGACTTTTTGGAGATGGCGTACAGTTCGTAGGGCGGGCGCTGATAGAACAGCACGACATAGGGCTCGTACTCGCCGTGCCAGTCGTAGAAGGTCTTGTGCTGGATGATGGTCAGGATGAAGGTATTGTCGTCATCAGCCTTGCAACCCGCGTCGGCCCGGTTGCACAGCGTGATCTTGAGCGAGTTGGTCGCTTGGTGGATCGACTCGAGCCTGGGTGGCAGTTTTGGGAGGTATCGTCGCATGCACAGCTCGTCCCCGTGCAAGGCCGCCGCCGGCGCGAGATCCGGTCCTGCGGACCCGTCGTTCGAGAGCTTCGCAAAGGCTCGCGTGGGGAACATGTCGTAGTGTGCGTGCATCTGATCGTCCTTGTCCCAGAAGATGAACCAGTTCTTTTCGACGGGGGCCCACGGCTCGGGCCGCTGCACTTCGGTTCCAACCTTGAAGTCGTCGGGAGTGTCCGGTTCATGGGCGTCCCAGTCGACCAACTGCCGGAAGTCCTGCATCCACAGTCCAAAGCAGGTAATGCCGCTCTGGGACCCGTACATTGTATATGGCTTTTGCGGCCCGTAGAAGACGCGGGCATCATGTGGTCCGTCGTTGAGGTTGAGGAAGGTCAGTTCTCCCTCGCACATGCCGCCTGGTGTCGGCGCGATGGGGAAGCGCCTGACCTCGTCGACGCAGACCAGCGCCCCATCGACAAACCGGGCGTAGCATCCGAGCTCGACGCAAGTAAAATTGCGGTTATTGGGGTCGTCGTATCGCTGGCCCATTATGATCCACGTCTCGTCTCGGGTCGGGTGCGGGATGATGTTTGGATTGAAGACATACTTGCCGAATTCGATAGGGAAGTAGCGCGAATCGAACGTCGATAGGGAGAAGATCTCGTTGTGCGTCTCGTTGTGCGGTGGCAGCGGCCCGGGGCGCGAGTCGTCGTCTGTCGCGGCGGGAGGTGTGTCTACATGGTGTGTGTCGAGAAGGGTGCCGATGCGCGAGCGAACAAAGTCGGGGTTCGCGTGCCAGAGACTTGCGCTCAGGAACAGCAAGACCAGAACTGGTCCTACCACGAGCGCGAGGCGCTTTAGATCCCTCACAATCATCTCGCAAACCCAAGCCCAAAGGCGTCTAAGGGGAGGGAGCAATGTCACGGAGAAGTCGGAAAGAAAGGCTGGGGCGATTGATCTTGGCGGACAGGCCGGGGACGACTTTTTAGGGGGCGCGCCTTATCAGTTACAGCGGGAGTATCCGCAGTTCAGACCAAGCAATCAACTGCAGGGTACCTGTTTGACTTTGCGGCCCAGTAGCCTAGCCCCCAGCCCCAGTGACGATCGGGTATTTCGGCACCCAACCCCTTTTCCATCTGCCCATGTGAGTGGATGTTCAACAGGGCAACAAGACTGCAATCCCAACATTGGAAAATAGCAGATTCTCGAATACGCAGCGACAGATCCATGAGATTGCAAAAAGGTAGAAGCTACAAAATCAGGTTCGAGCCATTCAAGACATGGGTCGGCTCGTTGTTCCTTCGGCTCAGCAGCTGAAAGTCTTAGTTTGGTGCAACTCAGCCGAATCTCTCTCACCAGCACCCGTCCAGAGCCTCCCGGTCACTACTCCGTTGGGTTCAAACGAGACGCATTAACATAAGGTAATGAGGACCAGCTCGCCAAGCTGCCGCCATCGATTGGCGACCTCATGGCTGGGACGAAGCGGCCAGTTATGCTGGCGCGAAGAATCGCCCTATGCCCACAAAAAGCCTCTCAGTACGGAGGTAGAGATAAGCCAAATTCACACACCCCTAGCGCAGCCGGGCTCGTTGCACATGGCTCTCACACAGCCGCACCCAAGCCACGCTTCTCCCTGGGGAGTGTTCATCATGTTGGAAGTGAGGTCGCCGGAACTGCATCAATGTCTGTATCTGCCTTATTCATATTTATTGTGGTTCGGGCTGGGCACTGAACCTGAACCTCAACCTTCAGCACATCCTTCAACCACACAAAATACCACGCATTATTCCACTGCTTTTCAGGAGCGATTGCCGTTGACACAGGTCTTCAGATGGCGGTAACGGTTTCCCAGATTGACAAGTATCGGGAATCGATTCCGTCTCCACAGCCATGTGAGGAAGGAGTGGTTCAAACCAGTGCCGCAGCCAACAGGACGGTATACAGCTGGAAATACTGGCGCCGCTCGCTAGTTACCTAGGTACCTTCAATTCACTCCCGTTCGGCCTAGACCGATGGCTTCTCGGAGGGCCACAAGGCCGGAAGATCAGTTTGGGGTTCTACATCAAATATACCGTGGATAATCCTGAGGCTGCCGTTCTGCCCAGCTCCTCACGGGTAATTCTTCCTTGATCGCCACCCAGTTAATGACGATATTGCGACCACTCGATGGGTTTCGCTAACTTCATTTCTTCAGGTTTCCGGCAGGGCAGATGGAGTGTACCGGTACACGCCCATCGATCCTTACAGGAACGAAATCAGACTCATCAAAATACACCCTGGCAAACCTGGCGTCGATATTGAATTATCCCTTTTCAACGTTTCCCTCCAGGATCATGTCGAGTATGAAGCGTTGTCGTATGTCTGGGGAAGCTACGAGGACGACCCGGCGACCATATCCGTCGATGGGAAATTACTATCCATCAGGCAAAATCTATTCAAGGCGTTGCATACCTTGAGATACCCAAATTCAGACCGACTTATATGGGCCGACGCCATCTGCATTAATCAGGAAGACCTTAAAGAGAGATAGCATCAAGTGTCCATCATGGAGCAAGTGTATCAAAGAGCACATACAGTGGTTGTCTACCTGGGTGAACCTACGACGAAAACCGAAGAAGCAATGCGGACACTGGGGTATTTTGTCATCATTCATGCCCACGACACGGACGCCCCCCCTTGGGAGACCACGCCGCTTAAACAAATCCAGGATTCACTCAGGGATATTATCGATCGCAGTTGGTTCTATCGCATTTGGACTGTCCAAGAGGTGACCCTGGTTCGTCGAACAACCATGTTCAGCGGCCCATACGAAGTGTCTTGGGATTCCAATGTGCATAGCTTGAAGACCATTCTGTTCCGAATCAAGGCCGCTGTTATATCCCCCGAGTGGTCGACGCGATTCGGAGAGAGCGTCGACCACGACTGGTCGAACCTGCTCAGCATCCTCGATGCCCAACTGCGACAGGCTGCTCGGCGAGAGGGAGTCACGATCGCGAGAACGCCGCTGGACTTGGCATATGACTTTCGCCAAAGAGTGTCAACAGACCCAAGGGACAAATACTATGCCATTTTCAACCTCGTTGAGAATGATTCGGGAGCACGCCTAATTCTGCAACCAGACTATACCATGTCCCTGGAGGAGCTTCACCGACGGTTCACCGAGGAGATTAGAAGGATCAGTCTTGCCTTGTAAGTTCGGTCTACGTTGGAGCAGTGGATATCCAATGCCCCTTGGTTTTCCAAGGGGTGGTCCAAGTCTCCAACGCCGAGGCCATCGGAACATCGATAAAATACCTCAAGTACTTTTGCATTGTCCATTCAGCACTGCATCATCAAATTTGCTCGCTCCATTGTCTATCATCCAAAGCCAATGAGTTTGGTCGAAACGCGGGAGGCAATACTTCAAATGACCCGGTATTACTTCAGCTCTGGCCGATTTGAGTTCGAGTCAACAGACTACTAGTGTGTAACTAGGCAACTTTAAGGCTCCCCTTCGGCGGTCTGCCTATCAGCATTGGGTTGTAGGACATCACAACGTAGATCCCCATGAATCGCCGTGAGAATATAATCTGAAGCTTGGAATAGTTCTATACAAAATTACAAAGATGATGTGCCTGAGAAGAAACTATGATGGAGATCAAATCTCATGCTGGTAACCTTGCCGGCCTCTCCGAAGCCATCTTGTATAGCCACTGCGGGAACCTGACACTAGGCTCATCAAACGCCCTCGTAACAACTTCAGCCACGTAGAAGGTAACTGGAAGGAGGATCAGGTGCGGGACCAGGAAGGCCACCTCCAAGCCCATGGGTCCCGTCATTGGCAGCTTGAATATGTCCACCCATTGCGGGATGTTGGCCGTCCGCGACTCCTTTGGCCACCCCACCGCTGCGTAAAGCCTGTCGCCCAGGGTCCAGAGCACTGGGCCATGGACCAGATAGAGAGAAAATGACACGCGCCCCAAGTACTGGCAGAAGCGCGTCTCGAAGAACCTCTTCAACCACGGAATGTGGGGAGTAGATGAAACAAGGAACACGGCCGCCCAGAATAGAAAGAACCACTTCGAGTCATGCATGACCCGCGGCTTGAGGAAGGATAACCAATACCATCCGGGGTTCTTCCGCAGCTCCTCGACCTCAGACCTGTTGGCGGGACATCCACCCAGGTACATGGCGAAAGCAAACAAGTGGTAAAAGATGAAGGTCTTATACGGCCGGAATTGAGCGATAAAGGCTGGAAGCTCGTCCCTGGCCGCGAGCTGCTCCAGGTCACCAAGCAACATGCCCGCCGTGAATAAGGCGCAGTACCACGCGTCGACAATGTACAGAAAGTAAAACACGAGGCCGGCCTCACACCAAAGGCGGATATTTCTGCTGCATCTCGAGAAGGCGAGAAGCGACGTGTAGATGACGATGGACCCCTTGAATTCGGTGGGGATCGACCAGAGATGGAAGTTGTAGGTAAGCCAGCTGATGAGGCCTTGGTGGAAGATGAAGCTGAAATTCTTGAGCTCTGAAAACCAAGCGCAAAACTCCTCAAAGTAGGTGGCGTGCGTGGTGCGACCTTCAATCCAGATGCCGAAGCAATGCACCATGGTCATGTAGATAAAAGTCGTGGCGATGACTGGGATATAGAGTCTGAGCCATCGCCTGAAGAGGGCCGACCCCAGGTTGTCTGCGAGCTTTGCCTGCTCGCCAGCGTGGATGAGGCTCATGGGCTTGGCTGAAAGGACGTATCCCGAAATGACAAAAAAAGTCGCGACTGCGAAGTGACCACCGTGGAAGAAGTTGCGGATCCCGGGGAGGGCGACAAAAAAGTGGAAGCCGTTGTATCCGAAGCTCGACTCAAAGAACATGGTCTGGAGCGGCACATGGGCCCAGAGCTCGTGATGGTGCCAGTAGACGAGAAAGGCGGCGAAGCCTCGGAGGCCGTCCAGATACGCCGTCGGTCTCAGCTTTTCGGGTTGACTACTCCCAGATTTCGGCCATGGTGAGAGCAGCCGGATGAGGGTGTGGCCCCGGATTGAGGCGAGCCAGGCGAAGACGGCGGCGGGCCATGAAAAGAGCGGGTCTGCACTCAGCAGGGCGTGGTCCCGCTTTGGCTCAATTGACATTGCCCCTTCCAGATCGCTCGGCATGGTAAATGTCGATGTGGCCGACAGGCGGCGAGAGAGCGATTGAAGGTGATGGGAACATGCACACAGATTGGAACTCAATCTGAAGACTGGAGCGCGTCTCCTGGCGGAACCAGGTGTCGCTCAGGTGAGTGGGTCAAACAGGGAACAGAAGAAATACATGCCGCAGCCCCAGAAAAGGGGTCGTTTGCCAAATCTCCACTCTAATGTCCCAATGGCCAATCATGGACAGGCGAGTGGGACTACTCTACACTAGCCTGCCCCTTGGGCCTGCGTTATCCAGGTCCCGCTGATCACTCCCTATTTTGGGCATGTGGGGCTACCCGGCCGCAAGCCACCACATTCAACGCTCGGGCTACCTGTTACTAACCTTGAACTTACACCAACTTCATAGAAGTTCACACCTTCGTAGACGCAGCCCAACTGCCTATAAATCATTTGAACAAAGTGTATAACCATTACTAAAATAGTGTAAAATTTTTCTAACAAGATTGTATAATATATTTTTGCGTGCTTGATTGCGCATTCAATTTGCGAAGGTGTTGGGCTGCGAGTCTGCACTTGGAAAATCGTGGATTTGCACTAATAGTGGGTTTTTCCGGCTTTATAGTGTATAGCTTGTATACCCTAGAAAGTGCAATTAAATCTGGGTGAGGACGGGACCCTAGATATGTAACGTACAACCCCCTATAGCTTGAGGTACGTCCCTTGGCTTGGCGCTATAAGATTGGGCAAACTGCGAAGCACTTCTGGACTTAACAAATGCATCTGTCAAATATTATAATGTCTTCTATCAATCTCTGACTAGAGCTACCACAGTGTGCGTTATCCAGGTCACATCTCCACCCAGATTTAATTGCGCTTCCAGAGTAAGCAAGCCACATATAACAAGGCCCACTATTAGGGCAATCTAGGATTTCCTAAGTGTAGACTCATAGTGCAATACTGATGCAACTTGAATGTACAATTGAGCATAGAAAAATTGCTACGTTGTATGCTCTTGACGAGAAATTTATGCGCTTTTTTGGTATTAATTGTGCACTTAGTTTTAAATGATTTGTAGGAAAGTTGTGTTGTTTCTGCGGTGGTGGAATTTGGTCTTGAAATTGGTGTAAGTTGAGGTCAGTAATAGGTGGCTCGAGCGCTGAATGTGGTGGCTTGTGCGCGGGAAGCCCCACCTGCCCAAATGGGGGGGTGATCAGCGGGACCTGGATAACGCAGGCCGCCACCACACGAGTCACCACAAGGCATCACTTCCCGTGCACTGTGCAGATGTTCTCCGGACCACCACCTAAGATAGGCAAGGTGCACCTAAACTTTTCAAGCTCACCGGATACGAACAGGTCAGAGGCATCAAGACAAATGCTTACCTTACCTACAGGATTGTACTATACAGTGTACAATACCTAGGAGTCGTGGTACTTGCATCTGGAAGATGTCAAGCGGCATGCATCACCCCCTGAACCATCTACCAGCACCTCATTGTTCGGTTTATGAGGCTGTATGTGTCATCTCCTCTCCCTTTCGTCGGTGTCCTCACCCAACACCCATGTATATCAGTCAGATAGGTCGATTGTTGCCCAACTTAAGGCAGAACATCTATCAGGGAAATCATGCCTCGGTCCAAAGCTATTATACTTAAGCATTGACGAGGAGCAGAGCCATCACAGCTTATCCTGTGCCCAAGTGAGGGAGAGTAGAGGACAAGGTAAGACAATTCTCATTTAACTCTCAACGCTCCAGTTGCGGCTCTGCGCTCAACGCTGACTGCCGAAGTTCAGACATGCCACTTCAGAGAGGTCGAATGTGCTGCTCCGTATGTATTGTACTGTACTGTACATACAGATCGTCCACCGCACCCATATTCCTACCTACGTATCCCGAGACGCATCTGACGAGCGGATTCAACTGATCTCAAGACATGAACTTCAGTGACGAGATAAGTATGATTGCTGCTCCCAAACTTTCACCCCTGGACAGACGACGGTTCAAGCGGTTTTCCTCATGCTTGGATAACGTGCATTCTTTCCATTGAAGAACAATCATCGTTGTGGTACCCGAGTACGCGTGGCCTCCGCTTCTCCATGACCAGAGGCTGCAGGTCGAGGTTTTAGTGGTTCAAGAGATTGATTGGGCTGGCCGTTGGGCTGGAAGTTGTGTGAAACTTGGCCTGGACGAATTCAGGCACATGCACAGGTGTAACAGCTCTCACCATATCACCTGATTCTGGCAGCAAACAGCGCAGAATGCCGCAGATTTCTCGCTCCATTTGGCCTCGCACTTCTCGAGTGCTCGGTTCCCAGATTGTAGCATCCAATAACATGCAGAACGCATGTAGCAGCGCAGCCACTGCGAGGGCATGAGTTACTGGGCATAGGCATTCATCAAACTAGAACAATATCCTGGAGCTCAGCACCCCCAAACCAATCTACATTGTCCAGCCTCGCAAACCCCACGCGTCGCCACGTCCCATCACCGTTCGGGAGCACAGCCAGAGACGCAACACCCCGCCGGCCATAGGTATCTTTATCCTGTAAGATCGGCAGTAACCACACTGCTAATGTTTCTGACCCCGGCAGGAACGCCCAGTCAGGCGCAAACACGGCGAGCCAATCCCCAGACTCGCCATCATGAAGGAAAGGAGACCTCTCCTTCTGAGGCTCAACCAGGACGTAGCGAAGCATCTTGTCAAGGGGTCGCGCCCCCCTTGTTCCAACCTCGCTGTCCTTCACGGGCTTCACATCAGGCATTTTGACCGGCGCTTTGGCAACGGCCCGCTTCAGGTACCCTTGGAGATGGATGTGCGCTGAGGAGACGGTGCCGAACCGATTTGGTCCGTCGACCTTCGCCTGCGTATCCAACACCGTGATATATCGCATGATCTCGTTCCGTACGCCCAGGTACCACATGGTAAGAGTATCAGACCGGAGAGACGCCCAAGACCAGGAAGGCACTCCCGTCCGCCCTTGAGCCGTCGGTCGCGCCGTCACAAAATCAACGCTCCACAGGAGGCCGGGAATCAGGTCAGCTTCCCACAGGCCAGCCAAGTACCTGTCACCTGTGATCATGTTAAAGTAACTGGCGATACCCGAAACAGCCGGGAGGACATCCGTATCGATAGTGATACAGCGGCAGTTATATTCGGTCACCAAGTCGTACCACTGGTCGTACACCATCCGCTGGTAAGATGGGTTCGCGCGCAGCTTTGCCTGCAGCCCCGCCATAGCGTGGAACATGACTTCTTTCGCTCTGTCATCAGGTCCTCCCCTTGCAATGTTGCTATCCAAGTCTCGTCTCGTCTGGGACTGCCACAAGGCTGGCCGCCACGGCGTCGGCGGCATGCACGACGCCCGCAGGGTGGCGAAGAGCGATTCGAAGCGTAGCGTGTGCTGGTATTCCTCTATTAGGAGGTGGCTGTCGAGACCGCTGCGCAGCTTGTGACCGTGTGGGCAGGCCTCGGAGGCCCGCATTGTCAGACAGGAGAAGGAGATCTGGTGTTCACCGAAGAAGAGCGTGCGCGGCGCAAGAATCCGCTCCTGGAGGATCCAGGCCCGGCTGTCGAGCTGCGTAAACTCGGTGAAGCGCCAGTCGGTATCCCTCGCAATGTGCGGCGCCAGGTGCACCGACGCGTCGACGATATCCAGGTCGTGCCAGTAGCGGAGGCGGACGTGGCATGGCTGAATGCCACAGGGGTCGCGTGGCTGGAAGCAGCCCTGTTCTGACGAGAAGCCGCCGCCTCGCGAGTCTACGGCCGCGGCGATATTGAAGAACGAGTTCCAGTAGTAGTTGCCCATCTGGGCCGATTCCACCTCCCAGTCCTCTTTCGAGTCTTGGATAATGCAAAGGCTGTCTATCCAGAGGAAGGTCACACCAAGTGTTCGGCATACCGTGATGGCGTCTCGAAAGGTCTGGGGTAGGATAGACCACGGAATACGCTTCTTGAAGTCGTCTATAGTATCCCTAGTAGTCCGTGCTTGGAGTATCTTGGGCCATCGATGGCTGAGCGTTGCGTAGCGCCCAAACTGCCCATTACTCTCGTAGAGATACGGATTCTTTTCATCGACGTTGGACCCGACATAGACTAACCTTCTTGGGAGACGGGTATAGGCGTCGGTGGTACATGTGCACAACCCATGCGTCTGAACACAAAGCTTGAGCCAAACGGCAGCGAGCTTCAGGTTTGCGAGGCTTCCCGTGTGCTCGTTGTCCTCGCGATCTGACTCCGGAACGTCCAAGGACGAGCCAAACACATCTGGGGCGGCTGGAAGGACCCTGTCAAGTTCGTAGAAGCCAACAAACCTTTGGCTTTCCAGTCGGTGCACCATGCGAGAACCCGACCGGTCACGGAGTGACACCTTTCTAAGGTCGATCTCGCCAAGACCTCGCTGGTTTTCCACCAGGGGGGTGCTCTCAACAGATCTCCAACGCAAGGCCGCTGCCTTGCCTTTGTACTGATTGACGTGTAGGATCGACTCTACGCCAAGACGAGTCAGCTGCCTGAGCACAGAACCAACTGGCAAGTCTCGTGACGAACAACAGGACTAAGAGACATATGGGGATGCGTTCCTGTAGATACATGCCTGGGCTCATGAAGATGTCCAATGTCATAGCACGGTCCGGACCGCATTCAACGGTGATGTGCTGGTCTTCGAGCGGTAACATATTCTTCCTCGCCCCCCATGTCCGATATGTTGAGAGATATAGTACGACGGGGTGGATTTCGCTGGTGCCGGTATCATCCTTACGCTTGAGTGGCTCTCGCAGTCCGTTCCACAGCAGTCGGCAGAGTTTGCAGCCGGCCGCAGCAGAACGTTGGAGTTCGTAGATGCTTGGATAGTGCTGGTACACCAAGGTGTTGCGCGCGCCATGTCGGCTAGCCGTGGCCAAGCGGTGAATAGCATGCAGGTCCGTGGGCTTAAAGTCCAGGACGAAGCAAATGGGACAAAGGCTGCCAGGCCAAGGCAAGATCTCGCGCCGCGGGCCGTCCCGCGGTGGAGGGTACGTCGAGAAAGGCCTCTCGGGCTCTTCGAGAGCCAAGGTGATTGTTTGTACGGCGTCCGAGTCCGACATGACGGGAGTTATTGACAATCAACTCATTGTTGCGATGCAAAACCTATCGACGGATTGCGCAGTCGGAAAAATGAAGCTCATGAATGGCTCATGTTTTCCACGCGCAGTGTAGCGCCCGGTCATGCGGCTGAAAAAGCTGGCGCCGGCAAGCGCCCCAACTTAATCTGGGTTAGAATCACCAATTGTCGGTGGCGGTGGCTTCTCGTTCGCAGCGCTAGCGCAATTTTTGAACGGAGACGGTTCTCAGCAACCGAACTTGATACAAAGGTTCAACAGGATGCAGATGGGGCTAATCATCTCATGACACCAGAGTCCAAGCTGGCGGGCAGTTCGGAATTATCACAACTGCCAGTTCCGGAACCTATTAAACAGGAAGGCCTTATCGAGCAACACTTTAATCCGTGCACTTTCAGCTAAATTCTCTTGTACTCCGTAAACAGAAGTAGTTGACAACTATTACTGTAAATGGAAATAGTTAAGTCGGTTAGCGCAGAACTTCCGACAGGGGTCCTAGTCCTAAATTCAAAAAGATACCTCAAAACAGCCATAAACCACAACTCAACGAAGAAAAATAGAGCATCTAGTAATACTCAAAAAGGTGGTTTTATCCAAAGCCTACTTGCAGGCGAAAAGTGGCTATTTTGATATTGAGATCTGATTTTTAGGTTGATGCTTGACTTCAAGTCAGGCGCTAGCGAACAAACCAGGGGGACATTGTATAAAGAGAGAGCTATTATCGAGCTCAACGTGCAGGACACTGTTTTATTTGCAAAAACACTAAAGGTTTTGATGGAAACGACTTAGAGAGTTGTTCTTGAGTTGTTAGCCCTGCTAAGTTAGATAGCTCTTTCGAGATACTTATACTGGATCAGACCTGTAAAGTTGAAGCTGTCGAAAATCTTCATTTCAACCTCGGATTCCTATTGTAAGTCCAGCGCTCCCTTAAATTCAAAGCAAGGGAGGCAAGCTCCAGGCAAGGTGCCCGTACCAGGCGGACCAAGCGTTTTGCATGCCAGGTCTAACGCTAACAGCGATGGAGATTAACCCCAACCCTATCTGGCAATCGGAAGATTGGCGGGAGACTAGTCACGTGCCTCATCGGTTCCCCAAGGCCTCGACCGAGAAACTTTGGCTTGTTTCGCTTCGACCCAATCTCAACTGCCAGCGGCAACCACGCAATCCCGCGACGAGGCCGCTTCGAAGCCTTTTTACTATCCCACCTGTCGCCCAGCACTGAAGTTGTTTCTCCAAATATTGGCACCGCGACTGTAATAAGGACAATTAGCAGAGGCCGTTTCTCGGACTGGTGCTATTTCCGCATCCCGCAGTCGCGCTCTGCACCAAAAAGGCACAGAAACTTTAATTCAAACCATAAGATCGACGACACGACCCTGCGTCGTCCGTCTCCACTCACCAACTCATCAAGTCGGTATCACTCAAATCCCGCAGTTGCCAGGCCCCCGTTTTATAACTAGTTAGAGGAGTCGAGAAATATCCATCATGAACCCTTCTAGATACAGTGAAAGCGATGAGGTCGACCCAACCCAACCATATAACGCTGCTTTCGAAGCCTGGAAAGATGCCGTCACGAGCCGCTACCAGATGGACCACGGCTTTGCAAATAGCTTCATGGATTTGCTCACCAACTACAAAAAGTTACATGATGAATGCCAACGCGAAAAGCGCAACGCCTATATCTGGCAGAGAGAGCACGACTTAACTCAGAGAGAGCTGAATGCCCTGAGATCTGCCGCCGTAAGCGGGATCCCTCATTTCCACACCATGGCTTGCCCGCTCCTGGCATGTGCTAACTGCGATCCTCAGGAATCCTCTTCTTTTGCTTTTGTTCTTATTGACGGTGATGGCGCCGTCTTCCATGAAGACCTTATTGCTGCCGGCGAAAAGGGCGGCGGAGATGCGGCCCACGAGCTGCATAAAAGTCTTAAGCAGTTTTTCCACGAAAGCCCTGTTTTTCCAAACATCGACACCATTTTCGTCCACGTTATACTAAGTGTCGAGGGTCTCTCCAAGGCTCTTTATGCTGCCTCTCCAAACAATGTTATCGACTATGCAACCTTGACCAAGTTTGGCCGTGGCTTCTGTCGCGCCCAGCCGCTTTTCTCCTTTACCGACGTCGGCTACGGCAAGGAACAGGCCGATCACAAAGTGCGCAAGTTCTTTGAAATCATGGAGAGGAATATCCAGTGCAGAGCTCTTGTTCTGGCCGGCTGCCACGATAATGGTTATGCCACCTTTTTGGAATCCTTCCGGGGCAACCAAAAAATCTGTCTGCTAGAGACCACTCCTGCTGCTGCCGATTTCAGAAAGCTCGACTTCAAGAGACTTTCGTTTAAACACATATTTCGGTCCGAGCCGGTGCCAACCAGGCCCCTTCCGCCTCCGGGGTTCACAATGCCGCATTTTCCACAGCATCTGCCTCAAGCGCCGCCCCAAACGGCTCCGGCGAGCGCTCCTCCAGCCGTCCGCAGCCCCCCGCCTGATCTCGCTGGGTTTCCTAGCCCTTCTCCAGGCTCGTCGCCCAAGCTGACGCCGCCTGCGTCCGTTTCCACCAACAAATCCGAGACCCAGGCAAACAGTTACGCGGCCGTTGGACGGTCAACTGCCCCTATCACCATCAACATTGCCAGCCAGAAGAAGCCCGCCGCGCAGCGTCCTTTTTACCAGCTCAACAAGGACAACATGCGTGTTGACGTGCCCTTACCCAAGGCGGATCCCAACGCGGTCAGGGCTATCGAGGAGCGCAGACAGGCTAACCGCACCAACCTTTGCAACCGCTACCATCTATCGAATAGCTGCAAAAACGGGGCCAACTGCAATTTCTACCACGGGGAGCGCCTTAATGCGGCCGAGATGCTTGCGCTGCGGCACAAGACGAGGAATATTGTCTGCAGCTCGGGCCATAAATGCGAAGACATTGCCTGCAACCTGGGCCACCACTGCGTGAACCCGGGATCGTGTTTCTTTGGCAACGACTGTCGGTTTTCGGATATGCATGGGATGGATACGGTAAGTTGCCTACCGAGTTCTGGAATGAAGGCTGTAATTACTGGATGCTGACTTTCGATGGCTAGACACCTACGCTTAAAATTTTCGAGGACGGCACCCGCGAAGTTGTCAATTAAGCACGTCATCTACAAAAAAAGATCATTAGTTAAACCGATGTGTCTCACGGAAGACTCTTGCCCTTTTACTTGTGGCCGTCCTGACACTGAGGTGTCAGCACGGCATCATCTCCCTGTCTAGTGTGAACTAAATATTATTATTTCTGGCGATTTTTCGTCTGGAATGAAGGGATGAAGATAGGAAGCTATTACTTATGGTCTTTGTTCGTCTTGTCACCGGTTACCTTTTTTCATGTGACTGTCATAGGACACATCTCAGCTCATTACTTTCAGGGAACAGATTGATCAGCGATGGGGTTTCATGTAGTGTGCTTGAGCCTTTGTCATGGCTGTCTAATCGTTAAATTACAACTTCTCTTCATGAAAGCGATCACCTAAACGAAATATAGTTGCTATTTAACTCAAGTTCCCCGTGAGTTAGTACAAACCTTGTATCGTCAAACTCTCGAGCTGTCGTTAACCGACTAGTTGTAGATGGACATCCGGGCTACAGTCAGAGTGACCACCGGTGCATGATACCAGCTAGAAGCCTCTCCCGTGCCTGGCGGTGAAGTAGCGCCGCTGCCATGTTCGCCCGTCGGTCTTTTCCCTCAGGTGCCATCTCCCATTATGCGTTCACGATCTTGCGCTTACCTGGCTGACGGTGTCCAGGTCGCGCCCTTCACTGCCTTCAGGGCGATGGCAGCTGCCACTTTGGCGGCGATGGGCAGTATCAAAGACGCTATCGGCGAATCCGCCGATGCAAGACTTGCCGGGCCATGCATAACATACCTTCTCAAGCTAACGTTCTTCTCCTGACCTGGTGGCGCTCTCTCCTGCTCTCCTTGCCGCCCATTATCTTCGACGAAATCATCCAGACCCTAGTCGACAACAACGATGGTAGGGCGGGCTTGGCCAGCTTGGCCCAGACTTGCCGCTATATACATGACCGTCTCACACCAATCCTATACCGTGAAATCGAGGACCCCACAATCTACAGTGTAGTTGGCAACGAGGTGGCTAGGTCTAACAGGGTTAGGCCGACTACCTTGGGCTTACCAATACCTTTTCATTCCCGTGCGTCTTCCATTGCGCGTTCTCGATCTTGCCCTTTTCCCTGTGGTTGGCGGTCACGGTGCTTACGTCGCCCTGGGCAATGGCAGCTAGCGGCCACTTTGGCGACGAATTGCAATTTCACTGGCAGACACGCTACCGGTAAATCCGCCGAGGCCTTGCCGCCGGTAGTATATGCGCGACCTTAGTGTGTTCACCCCAGTTCACGGCAAAATCGAGAACGCCGCCGTCCAGACTCTTAAGACAGTTACTTACCGCCGTACATGCCGCCGTCGTTTCTATGTTCCCCTCCCGGCCGCCGAACGCGTATCGGTAACGAGTTGGTTACTTCTGACAGGCCAGACTGAACTACCTCGAGCACGCCCACGCCCTTATATATAATTTTACTGTACCTTAGGCGAGCATATCATGGTTCTAAACTCCGGAAGACGGAAATGCTAACTTGAACCCTTTAGTCCTCGGGTACCCATGTTTCTAGGATAGGACTGCAATGTTACCTGCTTAGGAGTACAAGCCCCACGGTTGGTAGCGGAGGGGGATACAATGGCTCAAAGACCCCGACGTGCACGTGGTCGGTGGCATCCGCTACCTTGAACACTCCCTGGGGGACGGGGACTATAAACACTAACAAGGACCGGCTTGTTGTTTCCCTATTCTCGCCCTAGCTTGACATTGCTTTTAACCTTAACCTACCTTACCTAGCTGCGTTTCAATCATGGAAACGTGTAGAAATGGAGGCTATAAGGGAGTCAGATTACACTACAGTGGACTCACGAGATAGGACAATAGAATTGAGGTCGAGCATATGTCCACGCAGCCTTCTCGGCTGGGCGCTTTTAGGTTCTAGGTTGTCATCAATGTCAAATTCAGCCGCCCACTCGCAGCAACAACATATGAAACTGGCGGCATTGACTGGTGGATTAACGATATATCACTCTGGCGGTGGAAAGGGCAAGAGAGTTGGCCGCAAGATCTCGATCTCGGCAATGACAAACCAGCCAACCCAATAGAGTCCGTGTTTGAGGACATGCGGGCACGGAAAGACAGCAATGGCCTCCTGTTTGGCCGCAACATAAACCGGGTGGTGTAGCTGCTGCCAGTTGCTGCCGCATTGGTACACCTGGCCCCCAGTGGCTTTACTGAGCGTAGGCCCCCCGTCGTCGTCCGCACCCACCTACATTGCCCGGCCGGCCGTGGAGGCGGGGCGGGCGGGGCTTGCTGCTGCTGCTACCGCTGCCGGTAGCAGTGCCGTCGCCGGCGGTGTGGTCGGGGCTGAGCAGGGTGTTAACAGCTCCGCTGACTCGTTTGCCGCCGGCGTCGACGAAGTAGACGAGAGCAGTGGGAGCCATCGGAAGACGGTAGCTGACGCGACCCTTAACCTTTGATCAACCTGCTTTGCTGCAAGTTCGTGTCTGATTTCCTCAATCCACGTCTAAAAAGCAGCCAATAATCGAAATATCAGAACCGGTGATCTACCAGGAGGTTCAGGGGGTTATGTTTACACGGGCGAGTTCAGAAGGTCAATCACTGTTGGTGGAGCTCCTTAGAGCTCTCTGGGCCTGAGACCTTCTTAGAGCTCCTTTGTCCCTTTTTGACAGGGCAAACACCGTCAGAAGAACAGCCAAGCAATCCTATATAGGCTTGCCCCCCAGAGCCTCTCTGGCCATCTCTCTTCTTCCCCATCATTATCAGAGCAGTAGCAACAGAGCTTGTTTTACCGCCACCCTTCCTAAGACTCCTGTCACTTCAATGACTACTAGTAAGCAGGGACTTGAGCTTTGCAAGGAAACAATCAATCTCAGGAATCAAGGTACCTAGGTAGTCTATTCGAATGCCGGCATTCTTCTACCTAGGCCCAGTCTCCTCCGCGTGCTAGAACCCTGTGCTGCACAAGGTTCGCTTCCTCCGCTTCATACCATTACCAATCTGCCAATCTCTTCAACGTTGTCGACGCAGTCTTCACACCCCGCACCTGATCAAGTGAAGCCTCTTCAGGCAGAGGCAGACTCCCCCCTTAACCGGGCGAGCAGGGAGCTCCACCTCTTGCGCTTGGTATTGGCCTGTCGCATCTCGCAGTGCAGGAAAAAGAGCGCCATATACAGCACCCAGATCTGGCCCTTGATGCCACCAACCACATCAGGGTCCCGGAACCATTGCACCTCTTGCCACCACCAAGCGTGGGGCTTGTCCACTTCCTCCTTGTTGCCGCTGTCGAATGGCAGTACCGCCCCGTCTGTGCCATCGCAGTGGTGGGCATGAGCCAGAACCTGGAGGATAAACCTCGCGTAGTAGCTGTCCACGCTGCACTCCTCGCCGTCAGACTCGGAGTGAGCGAGCCAGGGGATCTGGGCATTCCACCCCGCCAGCACGGCCAGGTCGACAGGGCAGTGGTCTGCCATGTCGAGAGTTTCCCAGTCCTGGTGCAGCCCAGGGAGCAAGCGACTCTCCACGACGAGGGGGTAGGGCATCCAGTCGCCCTTTTGCGCCCGCTTGTCATGGTGGTGGTACGGGAGGCTGTTGGCAGGCTCCGGCTCCGGCTCAGGCTCCTTTCCGGCCCGGGCTCGGCAGACTTCTTCGATGGAGGCGAGGTCGCGGCGGAAAGCGGCGAAGGCGGCCTTGACAACCGGCCAGCGCAGGAGGATCGTCAGGTGGGCGGTTGTGAGAGCGGGGGGAAGCAGAGATCCGGCTTCGCGCAGGGCGGAGAGCAGCGCCTGGATCTTGTGGTCGGCGGCGTTCTGCAGCAGCAACTTCAACCGCTGGCGGCGACTCGGAGCCGTGGCTTTGAGGATGCGCGGCTGCGCCGCGTTGAAGACAAATGTGTCTGGCAGGATGCCAAGGGGCTCGGGGAGGGGCTCGGGGTGAGGCGTCCAGCCTTCTGGTGGGAAGAACGGCTTGAGCCCGGGCAATTCGGGGATGGGGCGTGGGGTGGAGGCTCGAGAGATAGGCGTGGAGCGGCGGTCACTGAGGTTGGTCGTGGGACATGGGAACGGTGTTGGAGACGCGGTCGATGGTGACGGAGAGTTTCTATTAAGATCTTCCCTGGTGGCTAGGCACTCGAAGGAGAATGCTCTCGAGGGATTATAGTAAGGCAGCCTGGCTGCCGGTTGCTCGTTATAAGGCGGTTGGTCTGGTAAAGGCGTATCTACTATCAGTACGGTTCCGGGTGTGAGACCGAAACCCCAGGGAGTATCACCTGTTTGCAGACGCAAATTCGCCGGAACGGACATGCGTTTGTCTTCGGGCGGGTAGAGCTGTACTGCAAAGCTCTGGGGACGGTCTCTTGGGAATGGGCTGCGCTCGGCCTGGGCGTTCTGGACCTCGAGGATAGAGTGCCGTGACTCCCGGTCATCGTTCAGTCGGCGAGCCATTTGTTCCGAGGTGAGTCTGGTTGCAGATGGATGAGCCGTGCGTTCCATTTCTTTCTTGTCGGAGACCCAGTCTTGAAGTTGTGAGGAGATTCCTCGAAAAGTCACGAGGATTGGGCGCTTTTTTATTTCCCTTGGAGTTTTGGACCCGCGCAAAGCCGCACTTGAACAGGACTCAACCACGCGGCTGTGCCCCTGAACATTCAATGAAGCTGTCCTGGACTCGTTCTCGGCATGTCCCAGGCCTCAACCAGTGTGTTCATGTCCCAAGCTGCTGTTCCCAAGCACAACCTCTTTGTACCCCCCTATTCACTGCCCGAGTTTTGGAGACATCCTTCAAAACAAACCGCATGCTCTCCACGAGGGACTACGGTCAAAGACTATTGTTCTGCGAGTGGCCCTGCTTCTTTGTGTCCATACATTTGGTTCTTTAGCTAACGAGTGAGTGTGAAGGAAACAGCAATGTTGAACGGAGCATGAACAGAAAGTAAACAAAGAGCGTGTGAGACAACACCAGATTTTGGTGATGGACTGAACCATCGTATCGTTCTCTCGAGGGGATTATCACAGGTTGTTCGGATGGTTTAAATGCCCAAAATAAAGCTCTTACAATAAAAGAACTATAATTGCCAGTGAGATATGCCAGGTTCAAGCCTGGTGAGGTGCTCAGGGACGGGAGTCAGGGGTAAATGCACGTGCCCTGTGAGACTGTAAGTGATATCAGGCATTAAACACCAGACACACACATATTGGCGCACATTCATAGGCTACCTTACGTTGTAGGATGTTCAACATTGAAGGAGTTTATGCCTCCCCTACCACCCTTAACCAGTTGCTTACTCCCAACATTGGATGAAACTTAGGTAAATATAGGTACTATTTCGATGATTCCGGGCATACTACTAAGAGGCTAATTCCTGGCGATTTACAACCTGCATCTCGACGTGGTAAAGCGCATGCTGCCTTCCATCATCAGAGAAGCGCATCACCTGGCCGAGTTCCAAAAACTCATGTCGCGTATTGTGCAGCAAATCTCACACAAGTACCCGCGAATCAAAGTCTACGGCACCCTAATATATACTAACTAGTAGTATAGTTATACTACTATAGTATATACTATGATCACCACAGGACACAGGTTAACAGCTCTGCCAACGCATCTGCGTTGAGCTAGAAGCGATTCTTTTATAAGAATTGTCCGATGGATGTCGATTCATTCACCCTAGGTGACTGGACTTCAACACCTAATGTGAATGAGTCGGCACTATTCAGGAACAGGACACCAGTAACGGCCCTCCTAGCCAATTTCACATCTCATACGTGTATAAAGTCTTCCAATCTTCCACGAACTAGCTAGCTACCATTTTTCTTCTTCCAACTTACTCAAACCCCTCTCTCTCAAACCCCTGGGAATCTCCATCAAGAACCAAGAAAGAGTGTCAATCGCAGCGAACGGAGCTATTCACAAACAGCGTCAACAACATGAACTCATCCAAGCCCTCGGGTAACTGGACCATGCCCGGGCGTCCACCTCCACCGAATGAGGTATCTCGTGGTGGCGCTGGTGATAACCAGATTAAGCTCAATGTTGACTCGGGAACCATCTCAGCGGCCGTGATAGCCGCAGTGAGCACACTGGCGGCTTGTATGCTTCTCTTCTGGGGGATCATCGGTTACAAGTACTTCCGCCCACGCCGCTAGAGACTTTGGACCTGGATTCAGACATCATATGGATTCGATGGAGTTGATGCTTTTCATGTGGCATGGCCGCTCTGCTCTTGGCGAATGTGTACAGGACCTTAAGTACCTTAAGTACTGACTGGAGATTTGGATGCTCCTGAAGCAGGAAGAACAAGGATGCGTGGGGAATCAGATAGACCGAAATACATCCCTGATCTCTGATTTTTTTGTATTTTTTTATATTTTTATTTTTATTTTTATTTTTTATTTTTTTCCTCTTTTTGTTTTGGCAAAGCTTCATGACTTCCTATGAACTTTGTGTGAATCTATCTAAACTTGTATCGCACTTTAAATGATGGCACAACTTGAAGTTGCCGCCTGGGGCTGGTGAAATCATTGCCCAAGGGTTCGACTGAAAGGTAGAAAACTCCGCCGCAACAGCCCATGAATCTGCAGTCCGAAACCTTCCATGCCGCTCAAGCCCAGACTCCAGCTCGAGACGCCCAACAAACTGGGGCCACACGACTATTAGACACCTTGACACCTCTCTCCCTCTCTAAGCCAGCAAGAAGTGATCAAACCACCTGACCGCCTGTAGAAAAGCCTCCTCCTTCCCAAACCTCGACTGCGGATCCGACATATTCGCCCGGACCGCGAACCCGTGCTCCGTGCCCGAGTAGAGCGTGGTCTGGTACGGCTGAGGCGTGTTGGAAAGGATAGTCTCCATCTCAAACCTCTGCGCGGGGGTCATCAAACTATCATGCTCGGCGGAGGCCACGGCCACAGGCCGCGCAATGGCCTGGATCTCACTCTCCTCCAGCAGACTCGGGTGCGCAGCGAAGCCAACGTCGACGCCCTTCCCCTCGGCCGCAAACCGGAACGAGTACCGCCCACCAAAACAATACCCCGGCGCGCCGATGCGGCTGACCTTGTGCTCCTTGCGCAAGTAGTCAATCGATGTGGCGATGATGGGGTCCGTGAACTCGGGGGCATGCTTGGCGAGGAACTCGGTCGTGTTGAACCCTGGCACGTTGATGTCGCCCGGAGCAGGGGCGCCGTTGAATAGGTCTGGGGCGACGGCTAGGTAGCCTGCCCGCGCGAAGCTGTCGACTAACCTGCATGGCGCATCAGTATCGCTATCGGGGGACTTGAAGGGTTACGCAGCAGTGATACTGGTGGTGGTGGACCTACAGCTTGTTCTCGCGCAGGGCAAGCCCAAACACGTCGGTGAGGTAGAGGACCGCCTTGCCTGCCCTGGCCTTGGTGCGGACGTTGTTGCGGTCAGGCTTGGACACGTAGAAAGTGACTTTCAAGTTGATCGGAGCCAGTCAGCCAGCTTGTACTTGTACTTCGCCTGTTGCGCACTGGGCGAAGGGAATCGGAACTAACTGTTGTTGTAAACAACCTCCTTTCCGACCGGCTCACCGGTGCTGGCAACGATTGACGCATCAACTGCTTGGCACCCTTCTGGCTTTCCACCGGGAGCCGGGATGGCGGTTACGCCTCCGAACAGGGCCAACAATGTCGAAAATACGGTCAGCGAAGGGGCGCGCATTGTGAGGTTTGGTGGTCTTTTGCGACGACGGACTGTGTTGGGGGAGTAGGAGGATGGCGAGGTGGTTCTCGTCGTCCAAGACGGCCAAGTCTAGATCGACATATATATATGCAGCGGTACCACTGCCCATCCAACCCCGGTTTCCCAAATTACTCCGATGGGACCCTGCCAGTTGCATCTTGGCTCGCCGAGTCGCGCCCTTCGACAGCGTCATCACCGCAGCGTTGCGGAGCTAACGCAATTCAACCATTTGTTCATCCGAACACTCCCCAACGCCACCTACGCTTTTCTGAGACCTTCCTCGACACGCAACATTATCCTGGCCTTGATTGCCTTTGTCTGCACGTACACGTGTAGGTGTGGAAAGTTCTCGCTCCTGTCGCTGAATGCGGGGATCGAAGGACCAGTTGGTTGCGGGTAAATTCCAGGTTTTGCTGGGCGTCAAATCGCTGGAGTTTTTAACGGCCGGGCTTATCTGTTTGGAAGCAGAGGTCCGGTCGCGCTATTCAAGTTAGCGTACGAAGGTGGTGGAGTAAGTCCAGGCTAAACGCTACGGACCGTTGCATCCGCCTGCCAACTGCATGGTGCTGGGCTTCGTTCGGATCTCAGCTCATCGCCGTGCCTGGATTTATTGATTAATTGCGAACCAGTGAGGATCCAGACCACACCGGCATGGGCGCCTGGCGGCCTGGGACCTGCATGCGGGTGGTAGGCGAGGTGGGATTGCACCAAGGAAGCTACCTAGACTGCCTACTCCAGCAAGACCGACTGAGGTGCTCTCCACAGAAGCTTCCAATTTCGCGAATGCTTACAGTAGGCAATAAACAATACACCGGGCCATTGAGGTTGCTGACAATTGACATGATGCCTGCCATCTCACATCGACTGACTCGCTTAACAGTTCACCTATTGTTGACTCATCAAGAGATACTCACTAAGAGAATTAATTGAGTAATAGCTAATACTCTAGCCATATGCTACCACAAGTAAGCGATACACCACCCCCAAACACACCCGCCCAGCAACTTCTTCTTCGACCCTTTCCTCATCCAAAGTCATTCGAAGACCAGAGAGCGGACTGCGCACTTGTCGAGGCCTCACGGCAAGAGCCTACCGGTACCTTGTCCACAAACACCGTCGCTATGTCATCATCATTGCAAACGCATTGCACAAGCCGCACTGCCGCGGCCCAGGTCCTCCTTAGCGAAGCAGAAAGAGAAGACTAAACCTCGTCCCCAGCAACACGCTCATACCCGCCTCGCCTGCTACTCCCGCCTGCACCTGCACCCCCCCCACCCCCGCCCAAAATCTCCATCACCGCCGGACTCTCATACATTTCCGTATAATTCACCGGCCTGCCACCGAGCAGCGCGGCGCCCGTCTCCCTCCTCCCGAACACGGGCGCAGGGTCGCACCAAAAGTCCTTACAGTTGGTCAAACACCCCCTGTTGAACGGATTCCGATTCTTTCTGAGCTTGCCCGGACCATGCGCGACGCCGGCCGTCGCAGCGCTCCTGCCCCTGGCCATCTCGACGAAGATATCAACACCAAGCAGACGAGCCCACGTCTTTATAAACCCTCCACCGTGGCGGTGTGCATGGCGATGGCCATGGTGGCCCAGCACGTCCGAGTCTGAGTCTGTTGTCGGGGGCGGGTTGTGCGCGGGGTCGAGCGGGGCGCCGGTCGAGGTGAAGGCGCTGGCGAGCGAGGTCGAGGTCGCGGAGCGGTGGTTGACGCCAAACATGTTCTCGTAGGTTGTCATGGCGCGCGAGACCTGGATGAATTGCACGAATAAGAGTATGGTTACCCAGGTGAGTTGCAGAGAGGCCCAGATGGCCAGGAGCAGGCTGTACGCGTCGGCGTTGATGATGCGGCAGAGGCTGGGGGCGAGGATGTTGCATTCTTCTGAGGCGGTCGGGGAGACGGAGGAGAAATCTATGGTCATGGGTTAGTGGGTGGCAGGGGATGAAGGGGAGGGAAAAGAAACTTGCAGAGATAGGTAAGCCAATCATAGGTGAGTACGCCAAAAGTGAGGCTGATGAGGTAGACGAAGAAATGCCGGTGATTGTTGATACCGATGCAATTGTAGACCCAAGGGCAGTGACTGTCACTTCGTTAGCCTGTCTGGATCGACAAGGGATATGAACTTGCACGACTTACTGATCGTGTTTCGCAACGCAGCGCTGGCATCTGCGGCAATGCTTGCTTCGCAACGGCGTGCGGATCATGCACGTAACACAGAAATGCGACTCGTCATACTTCCACTGGCTGATCAGCTCATCGATGACGGCCTTCTGCTCGGCAATGCCGTTGAGTTTAGGTACAAAGCCAGGGTCATCGACCATGGACCTGATGTAGAAGAAAGTTGTAAGGCCGAAGAAAACGGCGAAGAGAAGATTGAATAACCAGGTTCCGTCTGAAAGAGCATTAGTGAGTCTGACAACTCAGGCAGGGGATCAGGGGCTGTACTAGGCGAGTATGCGGTATTCGGAAAGATTGTGAACAGCCAATTGAGGCCCACTAAGGTTAACGAAGCAGCAAATATCCCCGTCATCCAAGGCTATAAACCGTTAGAATGCCAGCCATCCTCTCAAGGGTGCGGGGCGCCTACCGTCTTCTCAAACTGCCTCATGTCTGGCGGGGCAAAAGCAATAACCTGTGTCCCTACCCAATGGCATGTGTAGGCAGCCAGAAGCCCGATGGGAATCCCCGCGTACACGGGCATGCCGGCAATAATGACCAAGGTAATCCAGACCATGACGAATGGCCAGAGGAAGAAGAACTTGGTCGTGAAACCCCTCCTGTCCTTCAGGAGATAAGACGCACCCGGCCAGCTCGGAACGATGGCGTTCCCTTCCTCATCATAGCCACATTCATACAGCGCCTTATGCCAGGCCGGGGCCGTGTTCAGCTCGCGGGCCGTAATGGACGGCGTCTTCCCCGTTGTCGTCTTGGCAAACCGGTCTGCGCCGTACTCAATGAGCTTCTGAATACACCCAGGGCTCCCCTTGACGAGCGCCCAGTGCAAAGCGGTGAAGCCTTGCTCGTCCTTGGCGTGCACGCTGGCGCCCCACCGCAGGAAGACATCGACGCAAGCGGGATACCCCTTGTATGCAGACCACATCAAGCCGGTATGACCGTAGGCATCTTCGACGTCGACTGGGATGCCTTGGTGGAGCAGCAGCACGATAAGGAGAAGGTTGCCATTGAAGGTGCTGATGTGTAGCGTATTATAGCCCTGGGCGTCGGTAATTAAGGGGTCGGCGCCGTGCTGGAGGAGCAGGTGGACGGTGTAGTAGTGGCTGCGCTGGGCGGCCCACTGCAGCGGCGTTGCGACGCTCTCGCCTCCCTTTTTGTTTATCGGGGCACCGCGCTCGATGAGGAACTTGCACATGGCATACTGATTATTGATGGCCGCCCACTGAGAGAAGAGAACAAAATGTCAGCCTCGGTCTGCCTGCTGCTTCGGAGCGGGAGGATGACGCACATGTAACGGGGTGATGCCTTCGTCGTCGGAATATGTCGCATCATAGTCCCCCGTCTCAAACAGCTTCTCCATGCCCGCAATGTCACCTATCCTAGCCATTTGCATGATGTCGTATTGTGCCGGCTCGCCCGGCATGTTGCCGAGTTCCATCTCATTGTTTAGCTTCGGTGTCGCGGTTTCCGACTTTGCGGGCGGCTGTGTGGGCGCGCCGTGTACCGGCGGTGGGCCAGATGCGTTACTTTGTTGCGCCATTGTCAAACGGAATCGCGGTGACGTTCAATTGGGTGGCCGCCGGCGAGGCGCAAGCGCGATAGCTGACCGATGGAGGCGGTCTGACAACCGCGCGATGCGGAACAAGCGAGCTACCTACACTCGAGGATGAACCATAACATGCAAAAAGGGACTATCTCAAGGGGCTGTTAGGGGAAGAACAAAACGATGAACAGCCCAGAGTTTTGATATTGTTGACGCCGCGCTTGGCTTCGAGCGACGTTGTCTCGGTGGCTAGATGAACGAAGACGGGTTTTCAACGAGGGTCGTTATTTCCAGGGACCGGGCTGCGTCGCCTGACGCCATCCTTCAGCGTCGAGGCTGAGCCACCCATGTCCTGCAGCCTTAGCAGGCGCTGCGGGCGGAGGCTAGGCCTACCTGGAAGGGAAACTATCAAGCTAAGGTACACGGCTTGTGGGTACGCCGGTACAGACCGAAAGAACCGACACCGTTGACAGCGTTTAAGAGCATGCAATGTCGAATGTGTCGGTTATTGTTGCCATTGCTATCGATAACAAATTGATTGCAGTTTTATGACCCCGATTAACAGTCAACCTAATGTTTGAACAGAGGCTTCTCTGCGAGAAAGAAAACTGATATGAAGAATGTTCCCAGTTGTTAATCTAGGGTTGGGGTTAAATACTGGCTCATAGGGCAGGCGCTTGGACCCACGGCCTGCACCAGACCTCAAAGAAGCGCTATGGAGATCTAATCCACTTCGAAATTTCCCATGATCCGATCCACATCAAAAGGTCGGATGACTCTGGCCCCATACTTCAGCTCCCGGAAGCATCGCGACCCGATCATAGAGGTGGATCAGAGCCTCATGGCACACTCAGGAAATGCGAGCTTGACCGCCCTCGAACACTAATAAGAACCCGATCTCTGAGATCGAGTCCCTTCTGCCATTCAACTCTCAACACCAAGCGACGGGTTAACGGCGAAGATGACGGTCATGGTCACGCTCAAATACGCCTTCGAGGCATCCCTCACCCCGTCGCCGACCGTCATCACGATCGGCCTAGCCATTGTCCTCCTCTTCCCTGTCCTCCTGCACTTCATCTTCTCCGCGACAACCCCATACACCACGCTGCCATCCGTGCTGCTCCTCGGGCCCTCCGGCGCAGGCAAGACCGCCCTTGTCACGCTCTTCGAACGCGGCCCTCTCTACCACAGGCAACAACAACAATCCACCTCCACCCCCGAGACCCTCGCCGTTTCCTCCCCCGTCGCCAAAACGCACACCTCCCAAGTACCCTTCTCCGTCGAGCTCGCCGTAGCAACCGACACCCCGAACCCGTCATACCGCGACGACCTGGACGCGCGCGGGGCAACAGCCAAAAAGTTCCTGCTGGTCGACACCCCCGGGCACGCCAAACTGCGATCAAACGTACTCGCGCCGCTCTCCGACCTCGCCCCGACGCTGAGCATCCCCTCCACCCTGTCGTCCGCATCCACATCCACATCCACCGCTACAACATCAAGAAGCAGCGACACCGGGGCCCAAAAATCTAAGCTCAAAGCCATCATCTTCATGGTCGACGCCGCGGCGCTCGCCGACAGCAGCAGCGGAGACGCCCTCGCGCCGACGGCTGAATATCTGTACGAGGTGCTCCTGGCGCTGCAAAGGCGGTTTCATAAGCGGGTGGGCTCGCGGGCGCCGAGGTCGATACCTGTGCTGGTGGCGGCGAATAAGCTGGACTTGTTCACCGCGCTGCCGGCGGCGTTGGTCAAGAGCAATTTGGAGGCGGAGATCAGCCGGATTAGGAAGGCGAGGAGTAAGGGGTTGTTGGATTCGGGCGTGGGGACGGATGAGGCTGGTGTGGTGGGTGGGGATGAGGCGGATGACTGGCTTGGGGCGTACGGGGGGGATAAGTTTAGTTTTAAGGAGATGATGGAGTTTGATGTGGAGGTGGAGGTTATTGGGGGGAATGTGGTTGGGGAGGGGCCAGGGGCGGATATGTGGTGGAAGTGGATTGGGGAGAGGATTTGAGGGTTGATGGGGAGGCTTTTGGAGGAGGTGAAGGCAAGATACAGCGGGACGGGAGTCGAATTGTATGGACACGTAATGAATATACGTGTTGCGGGAAAACCTCCCGTTTGCACGGGCTGAGCCCAAGTCTATCTGTATCCCACATGTTGGCTCCTATGCTTCCGATCCAACCGAGAAGTTGATTCTCTAACCTCCATGCCGCCCTAAGGAAATGCACCCCGACATAAACGCCACGCAACCGCTGCCATCTCACATCAGTCCGTACACTCATGACTTCTGCTTCACCATCCAGGTCAACAGATCCACCTTTGTGACAACAGCAACGGGTTTGGAGACCTCGCCGGGCTGTCCCTTCTCGGTTACCACCGCGGCACTGTTCCATTCCAGGAACCGGCTCAGCGCAGACAGCGGAGTGTCCATGGTGATTTGGACAAACTTGCGCTTCTTGCCCTTGAGATCCGAGCCAAACCTGCGCGGGTCCGTCACGACCTCGTCAATGCGGCTAAAGTCAAACATGACTTCGCTCACCGGGCTCTTGGGTGACGTGCGGCCGCGCGAGATGAAGCTGAGGAGATTACCAAGCGTGACTAACCCCGCTAGCTTACCGCCCGTGGGCGAAAGTACCGGCAGCTGGTCAAATCCCTTCTCGCGCATGATCTCGATTGCCTCGGAGCATGGGCTCGTGGCGAGAATGGAGGTGACTGGCTTGAGGCGGAGGGCCCGGACCGTGGCCCCAGAGTAGGGGTCGCTAGGACCGAGGCCTGGGGTCTTGGGTTCTGCAGTGTCGTTGTTGCCCGTGATGTTCTCGGCATCATTAGGCAGGAGGTCATTAGCTGCTAGCCAATCGTCGTCGGCGAACTTTGACAGATAAGAGCGGATACTGTCTGGAAGGACAACCACGACCACATCGCCTTTGCCAAACCCAAAATCCTTCACTGCCCGCACCATGGCCGCCATTGCGCTGCCGGAGCTGCCGCCTACTAGAAGACCTTCCTCGGCGATTAAGCGTCGCGCAAACTGGAACGATTCGCGATCATCGGTCTTGTACCACTTGTCCACAAGCTCACGGTCAAGGACGTCAGGCACAAAGTCGTAGCCGATACCTTCAACCTTGTACGGAATATTTGCCCTTTCTTGGTTCAAGCTTTCCGGCAGGGCAAGGATACTGCCGTGGGGGTCGGCCGCAATGACCTTGACGTTTGGATCGTGTTTCCTGAGGCCCTTGGCAAGACCCGTGATGGTGCCTCCGGTGCCCGCCCCGGCGACAATAGCCGTGACCTTGCCACCTGTTTGCGCCCATATCTCCTCGGCCGTGCCGAACTCGTGGGCGAGCGGGTTGTTCTCGTTGGTGTACTGATCGAGGATGTGGGAGTTGGGGATCTCCTTCAGCAAGCGCTTGGCCACGCCGATGTGGCTTTCGGGACTGTCCCAGGCGGCCTGGGTCGGGGTTCGGATGATGGTAGCGCCCAACGCGCGGAGAACGGAGACTTTTTCGGCAGACATCTTTTCGGGGAGGGTGATGATGGTCTTGTATCCTTTGATGGCGCCAACTAGGGCCAGACCGATGCCTCTGAATGCGGTCAGCATATTACTGGGCGGGGGCGTAACAAAGAGGGGGGGAGTACGAACGTATTGCCGCTGGTGGGCTCAATGAGAGTGTCTCCGGGCTTGATCCGCCCGCTCTTCTCAGCCTCCTCGATCATCCGGAGTGCTATCCTGTCCTTGACGCTGCCACCGGCATTGAATAGTTCAACCTTGGCGTACACTTCCGCCTCAATTCCCAACGACTGGGGGATCTTGTTCAGGCGGACGAGCGGCGTGTTGCCGATTAGCTCGGCAGCCGACATCTTGACGCTGAGCTTGGGCGCAGTCATGATTGGGACCGGCGGCCTTGTTTCGTTTTGGGCGAGCCCGCCCTTAGCAGCAGCAGCCATCAGGTGACGGTATCTGAGAGAAAGGGATCTTTTAAAGTCGGAAGGCGGGGTATCTGGAGTCGTCGAGGGTTGCCAGAGGAGGAGGATAATCAGGGTGCTGTGTTAAGAAGTAAGTGATGAACACGATGTCTGCAGTGGCCAATGGGCAATATCGCAATATTGGAGAGTAATTGCGTTGGTAGCGGTGGATAGCTGGGACGTGGGATGCGGCGAGGATGTGGAACACGAGTTGGTAATATGAATGGATTTGACAGCCGATGCTATGCGCGCCACCCAGCCGTTAGCCCGGCCCGTTGGTTCGGCTCGGGACTCGCCGCTTGCAATGAATTTTTAGCTTCGGAACACAAATGATCTACCGTCTCCACTTTTGACGACATCGACGGAATCAACCGCGGCACCGCCTCCGTTATAACCTGCAACGCAACTGCTCTGGAGACTAACGAAGCTCTAAATTGCGCCTTGAATCCCCAGTATGGAAACGTGACCTCAGTTGCCTTGCCTACTTCCTGTCTCCAAAACCCCGCGCGTGTCTGCGGGTCTGTCCGCACGTGGTGCCCGCACGTGGGCGCACCCACATTGTTTGACGCGTCACTTTACCAGACTGTCGGTGTAAAGCATTTCAGGATTGTTAAGCTGCGTCTCAAATGTGGCAGCCGACACCCAGGTGCTCCATGAGGCTTTCATCTTATAGATAGCGAAGCAATCCGATCATCTCAAGAGCCTGAGATCATTTGGAAGGCTACCTAGGTACCTAGGTACCTTATTCGCACAGGGCAACACCGCGCTTGGAGGATGATAATTAAGTTGAGGGCCCGGGGTCTGTTGGTTGACTTCACAGTTCAGAGCTGTAATTGTTTCTACGATTCGTCTAGAGCTTTGTACGTTTTTATTCCACAATGTGGCATTTTTCTCTGTTTGTAGATCATGGTTCAAGATATTCATGGCAATTGAGGGCATAATGACGGACGTTGATTCGAGCTCTTCCACCAATTCGTGTGTTAGATCATGCTCAAGCTGCAATAACCGGAAAAACGATACGCTGTTAATCACAAAACCGTGAGGCCTGAAATCAGCAACCCAATTTTGGATCAGAACCTCGAGGAAATTCGGCAAATTCAGAAATTGGAGCTCGAAATCAGCATCTCGCTTGTATTTTCTAGCCAATCAAAAATTACTAGGCGGATTTATTCGTCGATTCGGAAATACTCATTGATTTCTGATTTCAAGAATCAGACATTCCTGAACTACCACGCCCCTGGTGGCACCTGTAGACCTAGTCGAACAATTGATACGGGACGGGGATTCTCCTGAATACACATCGAAGCAAGTAATTCAGCTGCTTTTCATATACCGTAAACTTCAAGTTCTTCTACTCTCTGCATGGTCCTGATCGCGCAAGACTCTAAGATTGGCTTTCCGCGTGTTGACACTTCATAGCAGTGTTTCTGGAGCAGAACCTCACAGCTTTACTACGGCATATTGATGGAATGGTTTCAACTTGTACCCTGAATCATGCTGAAATCAAAAAAGGGCACTATCAGGGATGTGAGCAAGGCATTGCTATCCATTCTCTCGAAAGCCGCGTCGATTACTGCCATGCTTTTCATGCTCGCGATTCAATATCTGGCATAATCAGACCCGCTGACTCGGTCCATTTCCCAATGATTCCGGGAGATCCAGGTTCCCAGAAACCTCGTTGTCTCTCTGTCGAATGTGGATCTAGGTCGTTACTCGGACACAGTGGTTTCGAATATCTAAGTAGATGCCTCATTCAGAGGACTCACTGGTAAACCTCACGGCAGACTCTCGTAGACGGGTGAACTTGCGATTAGAGAGTGTTTTCTGGTAGTCTGTTGACTTCAGCGCTGGTTGACTTCAGGATTTATGTGACACCGATCTCTTGGCCTCGGGCAGTAACACATAGCTCTCTACATAAGAAAGACACTCGTCCAGAGTCAGTGACGGTCTAATTTGACGATTTCATGAACTGTTTGTGCTCAAAAATCATTCATGTGGCGGTTAGGAATGCCTTTGGTGGGCTTACAGGGAGGTGGGAGGAACATGCCCCTGACGCGGGCTGATTCTTCGCCAGTCGCGAACCATTTCATCCCAACTTTCCTCTGACCTCCCGGCTCGATTTTTATTTTATTTTATTGACTCTGATCACCAGAATTGCAGACAGGCACTGACCACATTTACTGATTTGCAGATTTGCAGACAGGCACTGACCACCTGCCCTGAGTATATATTGAGCCCTTTCCTCCCACTTCTCCCCAACTTCTTCCCATCAACCAACAACCCATCTCTTGAATATCACCGACCTTTCCATCTTCTGGACCATTCCACCTCATTCTCTTTTCATTCATCCAGTTCTTGACTTTGCTTCTCTCTTATCATCTTCCTCATTGCCTTCCTCTCATCTTTTCTTCTGCCATCCATTCTTTTCCTCGCCAACACATTTTTTCGCCATCACATTTTGCCTCAGTTTCGAAACTTGTGTCTGACATTCTCTCGATGAAAACTGTCAAACCCAATCCCCCACCATTGACTTGAGTGATCACATTGACTCGTCACAGGCCGGCCATCATCGGGTTCACGACCATCTTCTCCAACATCTTTGACGCTTGCAGTGCTTGTAGCAGTGACGTAGAATTTTTCTTGAAAAGGTTTGCTAGCTAACCGCGCGTGTTCGCGACACAGGACGACGACGACGGCGACGACCATGATGACTTCTTCGGCACTTTTCGGCTCGACGACAACCGCGACGACCACGACCACGACCACTGCGACAAAGTCGACAACGGGTAAGTCCTGGTTTATTCACTTTGTGCTGGCATTTTACCCATTCCAGTTTTTGTGCGCTGACACCTAACTTAACACTGACTCCAGGGGTCGACTCGCCAGCCTACGCGACCAGGCTTAGTGGGGAGGATTGGGCCTGCGACAGTCTACGCGAACAGACTCAGTGGGGAGGACTTCCGACTCCGACACGACGACTCCGACGCGACGACCTCGACCTCGACTCTCGACTTTCGACCTGGGGCTGCGACAGTCTACGCGAACAGACTTAGTGGGGAGGACATCTCGACCTCAACCTCGACCTCGACTCCAACCTCGACCTCGACTTCGACTTGGGGCTGCGACAGTCTACGCGAACAGACTTAGTGGGGAGGACATCTCGACTTCGACTTCGACCCGGGGCTGCGACAGTCTACGCGAATAGACTCAGTGGGGAGGGGTTGGGCTTGCACCAGTCTACGCGAACAGACTTAGTGGGGAGGACTTCCGATTCCGCCGCCGACCGTTCCCGATCCCGCCGAGGATTCCGACTTCGACTTCGACCTGGAGGGAGGACTGGGCTTGGTGACGGCTGCTGACAACTTTGCATAGGGTAAGTTCATTTTTTCTTTTTCTCTGCTGCTTGTGACATTGTGAGCGTCGTGAGATGTTGGATGGAGTCGACATGGTTCCGACTTAAGAGTTTGGTGCATTGCCATCGATGAGTCTTAGGTAAGTCATCTACCCCATGTCTTGTCATGTGTTCACTGTCACTGACTGTCTGCCCCTAAGCTTAGGCACATTGCGCACGACAACACGGTGGACACTGGGTTGGGGAGGAACATGGAGGATGGACAAGTGATGGATACGTGGAGTGGATGGACATGGGGGATGGGGGATGAGGACATGTAGCATGAAGCAATTGAAGTTTATGTTTCATGTCATTGATTGCTTGCCCAATGCAGTGTGAGATGTTGTGATTAATACTTGCTCGCTCGATTGCAATGTGCTATGTCTGTGATGTCCCTGACGGGTTGACATGTCGTTCATGGTGAGTTGACATATTGACATGTCGTTGGAAGATGAAGTGGGGTCGTGCAAAGCCGCCAAGTCAAACGGAGCGCCGGGAGCGGTGACGTCATAGTTCAAGTCCCTCTTCCCTTGCTGCAGAGCGTGAAAGTCCCAGAGTCAAGACACGGTCTGCAACGCGTTGTACCCTTGCTCAATTGATGCCGATCAACAACACGCAACCACTGTCAAGGCGATACCATTTCCATTGCAATGGGGCGACAGGAAAGGATCGCGAGGTCGATTGTGCAGGCGATTACTCGCGCCAACGAGATTAAGAAACGAGGCAGCAGTGTCCTTGGGCTGCTGTTATCACTGTTCTCAGCATTCTTCTCACTCTACCAACTTGTCCTCAATAAAGTGCGGCCGGCAGACTTTAGCAATCTCCGTCGAAATCACTGGAGTGTAAGCGATGATGATTACATCGAGTCATTCCAACCTGGCGAGGAAGGGAAAAAGGAGGAAAGCCTGAAAGCCATCGGAGACATGGGCTTCTCCGGCTCAGTAAGTCGTCCGGGCAAGCTGGTCGCTCGTTGGGGTAGATATTCCTTGTCAATGAGTAGGGCTAATAGTCAGCGATTCAGACCTTTTACTCCACCGCCGATCAGAAGTATCTGGTCAAGTCTGTTCCTCGGCACTCCGAGCATTCCTTTTTCCGCGATGACCTCTTAACCCCCTACGTTGAGTACATGGCTGTCCATCCAAGGTCTTTGCTGGTTCGGATCTGCGACTTCCTCGCCGTATCGGGGGCTTCGCTCGGGCGACTTCTCAGATCTGCGCCTTCTCACCATATCGTCATGGACAATATCATGTATGGGCGGGAAGAGGCCAAGAAGCGAGGGGAAGCCGAATGGGAAAACTGGGACTTGAAGCCCCTGTCCTATTTCTACCCGGAGAGGGACATCGCCGACGGGGCACTTACGAGCGATGCGACAAAAGAACAGCTTGCCGATGAGTTCCATGACAAGATTATCCTCAGCCGCGAACAGGCCGATGACTTCTTCTCAGCTCTCGAAGCTGACACCAAATTCTTAGCGGAGCACAATGCTGTTGATTATTCTCTCTTTCTGGTGAGGATGACGACGCCGCAGCAGGCAGATGTCTCGGCCGCCGCGACCGCAGAATCACCCATGGTTCCGACAGACCCTCCATCGGTCCCTCCGTCCCCGCCGACGTGGAGAACTGGTGTTCCCTCGGCCGATGGCAAGCACATCTTCCGCGCTTCGATTCTGGACTTCTTTTGGGCCAAGCACAAGATCCAACCGAAACTCATGACGCTGCTGATCAAGCTTTGGAATCTGCTCATTAGCAACAAGGGTCCAATGAGCATCACAACCACACCTGACGAGTACCGGGAAAGGTTTATGAAGATGTGTAGGGATATTGTCGAAATCAGGGACGAGGAGGCTCGTTGATTTGTACATTTCACGCAGATGGGATAGCTCCTTCTAATTTGAGAAATGGTGTTGTACGAATACCAGCATTCGGCCGAGTCTTCAAAGGTAATATGCCTTGAAGTAACTAATTGCATAGAGCATATTACGGCTTCCCGGGCAGGCCTGCCGCACATGAAGCATGTGCAGCCTGTGAGTCAACCTAGCATTCGTCCCCCGCATGCGAATTCACCTGCAGTCTCACCTCATCTTTGCATTCTGAGCAATATTCTCTTCCGTCCCCAGTTCCGGAAGGGTCATGGCCGAGGCCGGGCTGTGCCACAACCCTGCTTGAAGTTATCCAACCGATACACCCATATTGACTTTCACCTTTGGGCGTTACGCAGGCTTATCAATCTTGCTTCTCCTACTGGTTGCTTAGGCCAAGATCCCACTCTACACGGAGTGTTGGCTGCAGAGTTGAGCCCCTAGCGGTCTTGGGTGGGTGGCGACCAAACCCTTTTGGCCAATCAGCTCAACGCTGGGTCAGCATATTCGAAGTCGGAGTGCTTTACCGTTCCATTATCGACTTATTTTGATGAGATATAATCCGGCATTGAGTTGGCGCTCCGTTCCATCGGAATATGAGTCTGGCGTCGATGAGGTGCAAGGAACTTGTGGCGGACCCGGAAAAGCGGGGGTAAAGGAACAAAAAGGGCAACAGAAGAAAAAATAACGAGGAAAATAGAGGGGATGGAGCTAAATCCCCGTTATGGGCGGAGATGCGGTTCCATCACGACTCTATTAGTTACCAGCGGTTTGTGTGTGGAGTGGATGCAGATCCAGGCTTCAAGGTCGACCCCTGATGCTGGTTGTCAACTTGGAAGTTTTCAGGGGGCCAAAAGTTGGCGATGCATATAATCCACCCTGTCCCCCTCATACCTCTCGAGCCTCCCGTCCAACGTCCAAAAGTCATCAGCATCCACATTTGCAGCGTCGCCGATTCCCTCGAGCCCCTGACACATCAGACCAAAGTTCGCCACCATAGCCCACCATCATGGCTTCAGCAGATACACAAGAACCAGCCGAAACGTCGGCGTTACCGGACTATGTTTTGGACGCCGACGCGGTGCTCAAGGACGCCAACATCATCTGGCGGTATGGGAAAGCACCCGATTACTCGCGAACGCGGCAGATGTGGGTCGAGAGTAAGCATGAGCTTCAAGTTGAAGCCATCCCTACGCCTTCAAATGCCTCACCCTTCACACACGTAGCAGGAGCATCATCTCACAGACAAAGATCTGACACCTTAACCCCATGAACCAGCCAAAAGCCAGTCCCACCCCGCACAAAGCCTGCCGGACCTGGTCGAGAAGCTGGTCAAGAACTGGGAGATCGAGGCGAGCCACAAGCTGGACCTGGCCGACTGGCGCACCATCGATGGGGAGGCCAACTACACCGTCTCGGTCAACGGCGGCCCCCCGATGTCGGCCCAGCACATGGTCAACGTCGGCACCTACAACGCCCTGATTTCCCCATCCGAGTTTTACTGTCCCGCGCGCGCCAGCTTTGACGACAGCCACAAGACATTCAAATCCATGATGCCTACCTTCGCGTGGGAGGTGCTGGATGTGTATAGCGGCCCGCCGAAGGTGGCGTTTAAGTGGCGGCATTGGGGGGAGATGAAGGGGGATTATGTTGGGGTTAATGAGTATGTGCTCTGTGTGGTTCTGTCTTTTCATTGTTCCCCAGGAGTATTGGAGTGCTGATGAGCCGTAAACTGCAGCAAAGGAGAGACGGTCACGATCAAGGCGCATGGGGGCCGCTTGGAAATTCAGGGGGTGGCGGCAGCAGAGGTGAACGAGAAGCTGCAGCTGCAAAAGGTCGAGATTTTCTTCGACCCACAAGCCTTGTTCAGGCAAATGGCGCCCGATGGGAAGACCGGTGTGAGCAAAGTCAAGGCCGAGGCGTAAGCAGGTAGCACTGAGACCTTGGATGAGGGCACGAACTACCTCGACGGCGCAGTTGAGGTTGAGCCTGGGCTCGGTGGATGCAGATTGATGGTGGCAACATGGCAGGACGCTAGAAGCCACGAAAGCGGATTTAGGCACTTTCTAATACTATTAATACCTACTCTGGGACGTCGTGACTTTATGAAGAGGTGGATAGGCACCTGACGTATGCTTGTACATATGTTACAGCCCAGTTCTGTCCTGCAAGTCCTTGCAGTTAATTATAAGCTCCTCTTTATCCTGTCAGATATCCCCGAAAAAAAAAAGTCGAAAACGAAAACAAAACACTGAATCCCAAGTTCCCAACTCGAACCCCGAGCAATGCAACGCTTAGGTCCTGACATGCAACCACAGGATAGCGGTGAAAGTACAATGGTGTACAGTACAGCACCTCCACCACTTCTATCTCCGATCATACCAAGCCAAGGACCAGCGAGCTCAAGCGACCATAGCCACGAGCACACAACTAGGTCCCTAGCCTTCCCTCCAAGATTCCAAACCACCCAAGTGTGAGACCGTTCAAGAGGGCCAGTCCGATCGCAGCGCGCAGCTGCATAGCCGGCCGAGATCCAGAGGCAGTCGGGAATCTCATGTGGCGGACCTGCTACGAGCCGTCATGGTCCAGCACAACCCAGGGGTCGGCCGCCTCCTCCTTCTCTTCCCATTCCACCATTGCCTTCTGCACCGCGGCCCGCGCTGCATCCTCGTTCCATCCATTACATCCATCGATGATTGCCCATGCAGTTTCGCTCTCCTCATCCTCTTCTCCCAAACAATAACTCGAAGTGATCTCATAAAGAGACTCAAAGAGATCGACCGCCGGTGTAAGGGGTTGTTCAGCCACAGTATCGGCTTCCAACTCATGAACGATTTCAAGTTGCAAACAAGGGGTATTTTGGGCGAGCCCCTTCGGGGAAGAACCAACAGGCTCGGAATGTGTGGAATGCCGTTGACTAGAGGGAGAAGCGCAAAAGACCGAAGCACTCTTTCGCTTCGAAGGCCTCACACGGACCGAGAAGGCCGCCTCTGCCCTGTCGATCCGTGCGAGCGAGAACCCCTCGCCGCGTTCGTACTCATTGTCGTACAACAGCCCCAGCCGATACAGTCCGGCAATCTCGTTCGCTTCGGCATCGCCTCCAACAGCAGCAGCAACATCGTCAAACCAAACCGGAGGCGAGTTCAAACCCAAGCTGTGGTTGCGGCGCCTCTTCTTTGTGGTCCGCGGGTCGCGAAACGCATCCTGCCGCTCCAGCGACGGCGGTCGGCGCGAAGTAGTAGCAGGAGAACTCGAACGGGTGTTGCTACTACCTCTGCCTGCGACACGTGTCTCGCGAAACGAACCCCGCGTAACCTCCCCACTCCCAAGCCGACTCCAGGTGCCGGGTAGCTTCACCTCGGAACGAGCGAGCACAAGCCCCTCGCCGGCGTCATCGACCCATGACGATGCTTTGTTGTGGTTGGTTGAGTGCGCGGGGGCGCCCGAGTGGCGGTAGACCGGTCGCTGCAGTTGATAGTCGGCTAAGTGTTTGCGGGTGCGGACACGGGTGCATTGGAGATGCCGTCGGCGTTGTGGGTCCGGCAGGTTCGGGACCAGCGCCGGCTGCGGGCCGGGACCGGCGAGAGGGCCGGGCACATGCCCATGCCCCAGGTTAGGGTTGGGGTTGAGCTTGAGGTGGAGAGAGGAGGGATTGTGCAGGGCGAGACCCATCGGGAGGTTTTATATGTGAGGTTTTCTTCGAATAGGTGTTCTTTTCGTTTGTGGTGTGCCTGTTGCTAGTGCACTGAGCACTGAGGGCTGACTCCTCGGTGTGCGAGGAAATCGGAAACTGGAATTGTCTGACCGAAATGCGGACAGGCAGGAACATGGCCGAACAATCGAGAAGTGGCCATTTGCTTTATACAACAGGGCGTGTTTGTCATTCTGATAGGCGTCTTGTTGGGTTAAGGAACCATCGCAACAGTCATGGGGCAATGATCGGCCAGACGGATTGGGCAGAGGGACATGGCCTCAATTCGAGAGATTTGGTGTGCCACAAATTTGGTTTGCAATTCGCACTCGGGTCACTGTGACTCATAGGGTGAGAATCCGGGTGGTGGCAGTGATGGCCTGTTTGGGGGTGGTGCCTGCCATGCCTGCTGATTAGGCTTAGCAGCCTTCGTTACGGGTCTCAACTTCTCAATCGATGCGCCTTCAAGGCAGGCACCCCCACATCAAACGCAGTCATCTGATGTTATTCGAGGCATTTTGGGGCTTTCCAGTCGGTTCGTGAAGGAAACCTTCACCAGTAGTAGTAAATCTGAATGGTACCTACCCAGAGAGAGAGATGGATAAGCAGGCCCAACAACCCCTGCCGAGCGCTCTTGCTGCAAGCACTAGAACGGTCAACAGCTGCATGGTTCACTCATTCTCCACCTCAGCAGCACTTGGGGTTGGAGAGATGCGTGTCTGTGATTCCGCGCCACTTTCACCAGCGCGTAGCAAGTACTTGTCCTGGACAAGAACTTGCGCTGGGTACACCACGATCTCATCCTCTCCCTCTCCCTGGTCGTCCGCCTTCCTGATAACTACCGGGAACAAGATCATTTTCACCACGGCTTTCTTCTCCTCCAACTCCTCATTTGAAGCAGACGTGCCGCTCCAGGCGTTCATCAGCGCTGCATTGAAGGGGACCGTCGCCGCCAGATCACCCTTATCGTCATATTCGGGCTGCAGCGGGGGCAGCATCATATACTCAGCCCGCTGGGTTCGCATCGCGATGGATAGGTCCACCGCCTCGTTGATGAGGCGGCGAAGCTGGCTCTCAATTTGATCTTCGAGATGAGACGGCGGAGGAAGGATCACGAACAATGTCTGCGCGATACTCTGCACCACAGCTTCCACATCCATGCTCCGCTGTTTGCGGGAAACCTCGCGGGTGGCCATGAGGGTGAAAGTGACGGCGCGCCATTCCCGGACAACGGATGGGGGACCAACTTCCGAGAGGGCCTTTTCGAGCGATTTGAGCCTTTGCCGCTGCTCTCGGTCCGTGCCGAAAAGGTAGCGAGCGATAATAAATTCCCAAATCATCGCCGTCACCAGGGACATGAACACGCCGCGCCGCTTGACACGGTCCTGGAGATGGCTGTCAGGGTCCGAGCCGTCTAGGGCGGTATTGTCCAGTCGGTCAATGATCTTTTCGTCGCTAATTTCGGACGTGAAACGACAGCTCTTCATATCGGAGAATTTGGAAAAGCGCAAGACCCATTGCTGAATGTGTACGCATAACTGCTGACATTTATGATCGAAATAGCCGATGTCGTGGGAAACAAATACCTGGCTCAGGCTGTCCTTTGGTTTGGACATGGACAGAAGCTGCCGTTGGAGTTCTTGGACGGCTTTCTTGGTTTCATCATGTCGTTTTCTTTCGATGATCAGCGCCTCTTCGAGTCCTAGCTGCCTGCCGCTTGGTTGAGGAACTCCAACTTGAAGTCCTTCAGCAGGTGATGAGGACGGGACATGTGGCCCGCTGCCCAACACGTCCGCCATGGTGTCTGGGACCTCGGGCGTTCTGGTCGGCGGCATTGTGTCCCGTATCTCAAAACTGACGTTGGCTAGGTTCATGATAGATTGACTGTTCCTCGCATTCGATGCGCCCCCGGGAGATCTGCGGGAAACAGCCGCGCTGGCAATAGCCATGGCCCTGCGGTAGGCCTTGGAATTGACGATAATGTTGTCAAAATCAAATTCACGGTCACCTATCACACTCCCGGCGTATCCGAATATGGTGTTGGGGCCCCTTTTTGGCTCCAAGACCGATTCGACGATTTGTACATGTGGATTCGCCTGTCTCAGAGATGCGGCGTCGCTCGCCTGTTTGTCGAGGAAGTCCTTCCCCCTTCTGACTCTCTCTAGAATCTCGTCAATTGACTCCCTGGACCGCAACATCAAAGCACGAGCCCTGTTAGCTTACGGCAGGCACTGACACTTGGGGGCTGGGGAATCTCACATCTGAAGGAGCTGGACGAGGAATGATACGGCAGACTGCTGGCCTTGAAGCAGTGACAGATAGCCCTTCATTTCGGCCTCGTTCCAGACGATGCTCGTTTTGCTGCGCCACTTGGAAATAATGGACCGTTTAGAGCCCATCTCTGCCGTATGCAGCTTCTCAACAGTCCCCTCGAGACATGACAGAAGCACGACGCATCCTGTCAACGTTGTGTCCAGGGTGGCAATGATATCAACCCTGTCACGGACGGTGTGGTTCCTTAGGATGAGCCCCTGCAACTGCTCAAGTCCCGTCTTTATTGTGCGGCATTGCGAGGCCAGAGCGTTATTGTTACATTGGCATCCCGGAATTTGCTGCGAAGTGCATCTAGGCCGATTGCTAATTGAAGGCTAGCGGCCGCAATCCCCGCAATAGAGGAGGCGATAGACAGCGGATCCATTCTAAGGGGAAAGGTTCTGTTTTTCGGTCATTATGAGAGGGCCACTTCTGCGATCGTACGGTGCAAGAGTCGCAGCCCGAGAAGCAGCAGAGTCGCAGACTCAGAGGGACCACCAGTCAGGCACTCCTCAAACTCATGCTGCGGCCCGACGAGAGCTGCGCCCCGATTCACCACCTACCTTAACAAGGTAGGTACCTAAACTCCTAAAGTAACCCGGTACATTTGTGTCACGGTTTCTTCAGCAGCGCCGAGGATATGGCTGAGCTCAGCACCGCAACCCTATTGGAGCTTGCCTTCTGTGACGAACAACATGCTTCTACGGCTACTACGGTCTGTAGTACCGGTAGGCGGACCTCGGCGGCTCACGGAGTTGACCGTTGACGGACCCGGAGATGGAGCTGATAAGCACCGGTACCCATCGATCGATGGGGAGCAAATACTACGTCCTGATGCCTGCAGGGATCGTCTTACACCCAGGTAGAAACTTGAACGTCCCAACGCTCAACACAGCTGGGAAAGCGCACGCCAAGCGTGCCAAGTTCTCACTCACTTAGGTACACTCGGGGATGCCCGGCACATGACAACGCGGAGTTAGGATTAAGCCCAGGAAACCTAAGCTATCTGCGGATGCAGTATGGCCGAGGCATCGCCAAGCACATTGTGTCAGCATCTTACATTGTTACACATTGTCTTGGTCATCGTTGTTATTCATGGTGCTTCGACTTCGTGTTAGGGGCTTACTGGAAATTTGATACTCAAACCTCGCTGCCATCATGCCTTGAACTGCTTGCAATTGAGGTGAACAGCCTGAGCCTGCAATGGCTCAACGTTGTGCGTTCTGTATATATATCCAGATCGAGCCCGCTGAGTTCTTCGTGACCATGCGATGACTCGGATGGTAAGTGACTCGATCAACCACAACTTCTCCGAGAGATACCTCACCTCACTTGTCGAACTCACTGCTAGTCGTACTCTTGTGCTCTTCCCTCATCATGGCACCAAACGCAGTCAACCAGGCAGCCATCCTGGTTGCTCAAGGTGCCGACATGGTTGTCGAGGAGCGTCTTGTTCCCTCACCCGGACCCGACGAAGTCTTGATCCGCAACCGTGCCGTCGGGGTCAATCCCGCGGACTGGAAACGACAGAGGGAGGGCCTTCTCATCCCATTCTACCCAATCATCATCGGCACCGGTAAGACCCCGAACTCATACACCCCCTGCCATTATCCGCTTAGAACAGAACTTAGCAACTAACATCCGCAGACTGCAGCGGCGTGATCGAAGCCGTCGGTCCCAACGTGACGACCCGAAAGCCAGGCGACCGCGTCTGCGCCTACGCCGATGCCTTTTACAGTCAGAAGCTCGACCATGCCGGCTTCCAGACCTACATATTGTCAAATATCCACGACACGGCTGTCCTGCCCGACAATGTCAGCTTCTACCAGGGCGCCACGCTGCCCACGGCCATTGCCACGGGAGCTGCCGCGCTGTTTGAGACTCTCAAGCTCCCGCTGCCCTCCGAGTTCTCCACGAACCCGCCTACATCAGGCTCTAAATCCATGTCCGCCAGCCCGGGGCCGATCCTTCTGGTATGGGGCGGCGCCTCGTCAGTCGGCATGGCCACGATCCAGCTTGCCCGCCTCGCGGGATGCACGGTCTACACCACGGCCAGCCGCAAGCATCATGCCTACCTGAGCGAGGAGTTGGGCGCGAAAGTGGTGGTTGACTACCGCTCGCCGACTGTTGTCGACGAGCTGGTTGCCGCGGCTCAACGGGAGGGCAAGGAGATTCTTCACGTGGTTGACGCCATCAGCACGGTTGAGACACTGGCGAATTCTGTTGAAGTTTTGGCCAAGTTCAGACGTGAAGGTGCCGAAGCCAAACCCAAGCTTGCGACGGTCCAGCCGTGGCCTGAAAAGCAGCTGGTGTTGCCCAGAGAGATTGAGGTCGCCATGGTGCGCGGGGATGTGCTGTGGCATAGCAGAAGGGATTTGGCTTTGTGGCTTTACAGGGATGAGACCCTGGCAAAGTGGCTGCAGAGTGGTGAGTTCAAGCCGTCGCCGTACCGGGTTGTGAAGGGCGGCGCGGCTGGTGTGCAGGAGGCTATTGACATCGTGGCTAAGGGGGTTAGTGGTGAGAAGGTGGTGATTGAGTGGTGAGCGGAGATGTTGCCAGTGGTTGATAAAGTAGGGAATTCGTGGAGGATGATGTCCGCACGTTTTACGGTGCTACATGTAGAAGTCTTGTCGTTCGGGAAACTCGGATGGTGGAATTTTGGAAATACCTACCATCGTAAGTAGGGAGTTTGCCAATCGTCAGACCCTGACAGTGGAATCTCTGACGGGCCGACTCAGAACATCGCCAGATCTTGCCAGCCCTTGGCAGCCCCCAAGTGTGGGGCATTGCCAGGCTCTGACGAGTGTCAAACTCCCTACTTACGATGGTACGAGTTACCGGCTCGATGTAACCATGCTCTGCTACTGCCAATCTGCTGTTGAGCCTGGGTTAACACCAAAATCAGGGGACATATCCATACAGTACAGCAGCTCTTACATGTTTTTGTTAAGAGACACCTTACTACATACCGTTGTAGCTAAAGACCTGTCGGAGGGGACGGAGGAAGAAAGAGAGGTCAACGTAGTGGAATTGTCAGGGCTACTGAAGAAGGAAGAGAGGGAGGAAATTGCTGGGCTCCTTCCCAGCTAACGTATAGGCCAGAAATAGGGGAGTGTGGCTGGCTGAGGTACTGTAAGCTGGGTGGGCCCGGCCAGGGCCCACGCAACAAGACCCGCTAGTCTCCCGCCAATGTTGCGTTGCTCCCGCGCCCCTGAATCTGAACCTCTGAGTTGATAGGACACTGCATATGTACTTGTATGTACATTGTACCATATCCACAATCCAGTCCCGTCAACGCGAATACCTAAATGTCTCACGCTAGATCTGTGATTGGAGCATAACGTTAATGCCCAGAAAAGAGTCCTTAGTCATTCCAAGTTAGATACATAAGGCAATTTATGCGAATCCTACATACGTGCTTGGTCATGTCAGCAGTGCCATAGATATCCTTGCAGACGTGGCCGCGTGGGTGTAAGACCTCTGCAATCTGCATCCTACTGAATCCCTCTGCAGATCCTTATCTGTCTCAGGCTGGCTAAGAGATGCCCAGTTGCAATTTTTCCTCCCGAGCCTTTCGCTGTCAACCATACAACAAAACCAGCACCAGTCCATGTACTAGTAGTATCTCACCGTTCTCACGATCGCCAACACATCAAGAAGATCCAAGCTAGGGTGAGAGCCCAAAAACCTGCCAGCAATGCCAAAGGTTCTCTTAGCAGCGAACGCGGAGCATGGACAGGCCAATGTGTTCCTGGCCACCGGCCATACCCTCCAGGCACTCGATGCCACCGTGGACGTCCATTTCGCCTCGTTTGCTCCCATCTCACAAGCAGTATCAGCAGCCTCTCAGTACTCTGCGCAGTGTTCCCAAGGTGCCCGGCCCTGGACTTTCCACGAGCTAGACGGCCTGTGCCTTTTTGATAGGGTCCTCAAGGAGTTACAGGCAAATGGACTTGGGGATGCCCTGACCAAGCCTCTGAGTTTCTTCCAGATAATCAGCACGTTGAAAACGAGTCCTCACTTCTTGATGCCCTGGAACGGGCCTGAGTGGATTCGGATTTATAAGTCCTTCATTCGCGTCGTCGAGCAAATCAAGCCGGACGTCATCGTCGTCGACGCCCTCTTCAGTCCTGCCGTGTCGGCTTGTCATCATCTCAAGCTGAAATACATCCTTTTGTCGCCTAATACCATCAAGGAGTTTGCTGGCCGATTCCAACCACGACTTGCTGCGATCTGGAAATACCCGATGTAAGTGTATCTGGCCCCTGACTCCCTGCCCCCGAGAATGTTTGCACGCATCAACTTGGCCAGTGGCTGCCTTGTACCGCTTCTCCTTCGAGCTGATACGACATCTTGCTGATTCTTATAGAACGGGCTCAGCGCATCCTTTCCCCCTTCCCAAGAGAAAGGTGCCGGTCAACATCTTCTTTGTTTTCCTCCAGGTTTGGTTTGTCATGACAAACCGCCATATCCGCACCGTAACCGCTCATGTAAAACGGGAGCTCGGTGCCGACGTTATCACGTTTGTCTCTATCGCATCAAAGCCTCCTGCCGGCAAAAAGATTCTCGTGGGAAACCGCCCGGAGATTGACTTTCCCCTGGTCGTCCCCCCGCATCTCACCACATGTGGGCCTATAATCAGGCCAGCCGCTCCCGTTTCCGAGGTCGATCCCGAGCTGGATGCATGGCTGAAGCGTGGGCCAACCATCTTCGTCAACCTGGGAACGCTCAAGCAGATGGACGAGGGAGAAGCACTGGAAATCGGTCAGACGCTGCAACATATTCTCCGACTTGCCGACGCCTGGACGGAAAAGCGCCGGAATGGGGAAGATCGTGCCGACATTGCTGGGGTACCCGGAGAGTTACAGGTCATCTGGAAGCTTAAGAAGCGAGAGGATCTCAACTATGAGACCGGGCCAGGCTCCAGATTATACGAGGGCTTGAAGCAGTGGATAGAAACGGACCGTGTCAGAATTCTTAACTGGATCAAACCGGAGCCTTCTGCTGTGCTGCGGACCGGTACCATTGTCGTCTCGGTTAACCACGGAGGCGCCAACTCGTACAACGACGCCGTGACGTAAGTACCTCCATACATATGCCCCTGCTTTGGCGGTCCTGCCAGCGTACACTCCACTCTCAAGCCGCTAGTACGGTACCCCGGCTAACTGCCATGTTACTGCACAGCGCGGGCATCCCCCAGGTTTTGCTGCCCTGTTGGCTGGACTGCTACGACTTTGGGAGCAGAGTCGAGTATCTTGGGATCGGATACTGGGCGAACAAGAAATCCAAACCCAGGTGCTCAGCGAAGGAGCTCCAGCCCTGTCTCGAGGATGTCGTGTTTGGGGACAAGGGAGAGCAGATGAGGAAACGGGCACGCGAACTTGCGGCAATCTGTGCCGAGCGCCCAGGTGCTACGGTGGCTGCGTCCGCAATCCTGGAAGAGGTTGAGGGCCGTGAAAAGGAGGTGAAATGATTTGGCTCGAGGTGGATACGCCGGGAGTGTCACTGCTCAAGCTTGAGGGGGCAGTGGTACTGTACCCCTAGCCCCTGAGGTGAGCTGCACTGCAACTCTCAGCTTATTCTTACCCTACTGTATCACCTCTCAATGTAGTATGATGTAGATAGAACGATGAGATACACAGACATGCCTCGCCACTCAGAAGGTAGGTAGGCTGTCGTAAATAAAGGTACTTAATAGAAGTTAGAATCCGAACTGCCCTACCACAGATACCCATATTACATCTTTCAGCTTGTCAGGAACTTGGGGTCCGTCCATAGGAAAAAGCGGCACAATGGCGGAGCCAGAGAGAGAGATAAACGAGGAGGCTCAAGCACACATGGTCCAGATTTACCCGGCAGCAACATCACCACGGGATTTGAATCAAGGTATTATCTCAAACGCATTTTGAAGCACATAGAAGCATCCACCGAACCTTCTCAAGCTGTCAGAACCGGTACCCCTGAGTCCCCTGTACCTGGAATCGACCCAGACTTTGCCATTAGTCCGCGGCAAGTCAATGTGTAAATTACTTCTCATTTGAGGGTGCTGCTTTATTGGTTGTTAGGCGATTCACTGTTTAGCCGTGGAGTGAACCAAGAAGCATTCAGAATTTCAGGACTCGACCTGGTTCCGCTGCACCCTTCATATAAGCAACGGCCCGCTTGCTGCAGTTTGAGATAACATATCGGATCCAGATGCTAGCCAACTTGAAGCCCTGTCCTTACTGACCGCGGGTGTTTTTAAAAATTTCAAGTGGGCTTATAAGAAGATAAATCCACTCATGACGGAAATTCGCTGGTATATAAGACAAACTCAAACCTCACCTCAAGCTTTCCTGGACGAACCCCTAATCCTCACACACTCAATCCTCGCAGTTCTCACAAAGCCACTCTAAAGCCATCATACTCACCCCGACCGAACAAAAGTAATCTCAATGCTCCGTCTTTCCCTCTTAGTCATATCATTTATCCCCTTCCTCTCCGCGTCAGCTGCTCCAGCGCCATCCGCCCTTGTCTCCCGCGATGGACCCTGCGATGCCTTCAGCGAGACCTGCCGGCCTGTCATCCAGGCAAATGCCTGTTTCGCCGCGTTCATCAGGTTTGGTGACAAGTCTACGGTCTTGAGATGTGTGGATGACCAAGACGAGGCGAGAGCTGAGGAGCTTGTAAGTACATACCCATACTACCTAGCTCAACCTTTTTCCAGTTCCATGGCAGTGCAGTTTTCAAAGTCATTGAGCACCATTTATGCATGAACATACGCACTGACGACAACATGGTGCAACCAGCTGTGTGCTTGCTATGGATGCGCCGAGACGACGGTTCAGGACTGGGCCACGGGCACTCTGGGGTGCAAGGCATAAGGGGTAGCTGGGCCAATATCACGTAGAATGAGATGGAGGCTTGGGAGCAACCAGAAGTTCGGCATCAATTGCTGACTTGCCGGTTCGAAGGGCGCCGGCGAGCAGCGTTAAACTGCTCTATGCCGAGTCATGACATGGAATTCTATAGAAACTTGAGGTGAAATAGCGACAACAATGTAAAACTCAGCTGAACCAGATATAGTGTTCAGGTGGCTTGGAATACCTAAGTACTATGGTTTACTTCACGTATATATTATAGCCCGTCTAGTGGGTACTGGGTAGTCAGACCCTGGATCCCATGGTCCCTCGCCTACAGAACTTCCCAGAGACCGACCCGGCCAAGTGGCAGTTCTTCGAAGCCATGTGTGTGATTAACCCAAATGTTGAGCTAACCGTCAAGGTGGATGTTTGAGTATGGGTCCGTATGGCCGCGGGAATAGACAGCTGCACATGTTGACTCGACAGGGCAACGGGTCTATTGCCTTAAAAGTGCCTAACCTTGGATAGTACCGACCTACCTGGCCTCTCTAGTGTCAGCGCAGCTGGCATAAGGTAGTTCGTCTCGTAGTCTACGGAATGTACGCCATGTGGGATCAGTTGGATGCTGCCACATATGGCTTCTGGGGTCCGTAATGGCTACTGTGCTGCCGTGTGATGCCTAGGCACAGAGGAAACTCGATGGGATAGGTCCACGGACCCGAAGTAAGTCAGCCCCCCTGCCGCCATCCAGCGGCTCGGCCAGGGTGACCAATACCATTCCTCCGTTGGAGCAGTAGGATCTGGTCTGGTCACATGATCATATCAGAGAGCTTGAGCAACACCTATAAGTACCAGCGAGACCCTCGTCACTAGTTGAAGGACCTCGAGACCTCTCTCTTTCGAAGCTTGGCAAAGCCATTTCCATCTTGAGCATACCTTTTGAGCTGCCGACCTAGCGTTTGCAACCCGAGTCCACCACTTACTTCGGCCATCTCGAGCCCGCCGGGTCCTTCATTGTCCTTTTGGCCGACAGCAAACCGTCCAAAGGAAATCATGGGGTCAAACTGGTTCTTGCACTGTGGCCCGGATGGCCGTCTTCGTATTCCTTGGTCAGGAAGAAACTACCCTCCAAACGGGGCAGAAGAACTCCTTTTATATGATTTTGACCAGAGACGACACCTTGGCGTGCAGGTTGCGACACCGGGAATCAGTAATGACTTTGTCATAACGGCTGTCGACAAATTCATCGATACTCTTCCTGCCGATGTCGTGGCGGTTGAGCTTTCCGAGGACGGCTCACTGATTGCAAGCCACACAGAAGCTGAAATGGATTGGTCGTGGACGCCCGTTTTATCCTCAGAGAACCGACTTTCCGCGGCGCGTGCCCACGATACGTCGCGGCCAACTCACTGAACTCGATCGCCTGGGCCTCTCAGTTGACTTGACCTCATACTCGCCACGGCCCGGCGAGACGAGGAAGGTGGTTTTCAAATATTACTGTATCCGTCAGCATGTCAACAGTCGGTGGTATGAGGCAAACTGCATTATGCGCATGCCCAAGCACCCAAACATTGTCCCGTTCGACTCCTTGGTCGTCGACAGGATTGACGGCGTCGACAGGGTGGTCGGGTTCACCACTCGTTATATTCCTGGCGGAACCTTGTATGAGAATAAGGAACGAGTCTTCAAGCTGAAGTACCTGGAGCAGCTGATCAATGTCAGTGCCCTGGGCCTTGCCCTTCGGATTCACGACACCTAGCTAATCTGTTGAGCAGGTCGTCGATCACCTCAACCTCCGGCTGGGCATCGTCCACGGCGACATATGCCCCTGGCACCTGCTCATTGATGCCGAAACAGACTGCATCCAACTCTTCGACTTCAACTGGGCGGCAAAGCTGGGCTGGGAGGGAGACGGGGAGGACGGATGGAGGTTTAGATACGATGCGGAGCGCAACGACGTCAAATTTGTGATGTTTACCGTGTACGAGCTCATCACGCGCGAGTTCTGCTTCGCGGAGGAATTTTACCCCCACGAGCTTGACGCTTCCAAGATCCAGCGCAAGCGGAAATGGACGAAGCACCCGGATACGAAGCTTGACAGGCCCGTAGAGGAGTACCGGCGGGTTCTGGACGAGTGGGTGGCTAGAAGGACCGAAGCCGACAAAGTGGTCGATCATTCCACCAAGGCGTCAGAGCCGCTCAGCTGGCCAAAGCTGATTGTAGACGCGGAGCCTTACAATGAAACAGGCTGGATACGGGCCTGTGAAACCGACCAGCTTCGCAAGCTCGGGAATGACGTTTTGGAGTGGCAGCGGCCGCCGGTGCGGTTTCTGCGGCTGGAGGAAGGCCAGCGCCTTCTTGCTACCGGAGAGATTGTTGAGGATAAGAGTGGGCATCGGGGGCCAGTGCGCCCGCCTTCAGTGGCAGGGCTCATTTATAACCCTAACCCTTGTAACTTAAAATAGTCGGGGTTAGGGGTAGGTGTGCGCCACACTGCCCACGGATGGCGGGCGCACTGCCCCCCGATGTCCACTCGAGGTTAAGTAGATCTACGGATATCCGTATCCGTACTTGGGACAGAATTCAATTGCTTGGACTTGTCATGTGTTCGGGATAATCAATTGAGCAGAAATTGAGTTATCACTTAGGAGAGAACACGAAAAGATCAAACATCGAAAGATAAGATGTCAGTAAAATGGAAGCAAGGTCCTGTAGATGCTGGAAAGAACAGGAGCGATGTTGTTTGCGGAAAGCTCGATTCACAATGCAGCGAATTCACATGCTAGGAGGCGGGTAAGCCATGCCTAATTGGGAATGGCCCCATGCCCAGTAAACGCCTGTGCTTGAAAATAATCGCAAATTTCCCTAAACGTTATCCACGTCAATCAACCCATCGCATCGTAATGAGGTCGGTTTCCCGAACCGCAAGATGGCAGCCGACGAAATATCTGGCGCTCCTGCGCTTGCGACACCTAATGCCACTGCGACAACCACTGGGTCCAGCGACAACAAGGGCAATAACCATCAGAACGGAGGGCGGCGCAACAACGGCAAGCGGGGCGGCAGAGGCCAGGATCGCGGAAACGACAAGCCGAGGCAGAAGCGCAAACACGCGGGCTTTGGGAGCGCAAAGTACGTTGTCACGGGAGTTTGGGTCTCTTTGTTTCTTGATATACAATACGGGCAGAGAACGCAAATTCCGACACTAACCAGGTCGCAGAGGAGATGTCCCCGACAAGCGCGAGCAGATCCAGAACAACCGCGATGCCAAACGTCGCCGGGTGATTGCCGAGGAAACAAATGGCAATAGCTACATGAGCATTGCATTTACCCCCGAAGAGATCGCTGCCGAGGAGCGCCGGCCAAAGCGCAAGGTAGCCGTGCTGATTGGATACGCCGGCACGGGCTACCACGGCATTCAAATCAACCATAAGGACAAAACGATCGAGGGAGAAATATTCGCTGCCTTTGTTGCAGCAGGGGCCATTTCAAAGGCGAACGCGGACGACCCCAAGAAATCCAGTTTGGTTCGCTGCGCAAGGACTGACAAGGGCGTCCACGCAGCCGGCAACGTCCTGTCACTCAAGTTGATCGTCGAGGACCCCGATATCGTCGACAAGATCAATGAGCATCTCCCGGAGCAGATCAGGGTTTGGGGGATCCAGCGTACCAGCAATGGCTTCAGCTGCTATCAGGCCTGCGACTCCAGGTGGTACGAGTATCTCATGCCCAGCTATTCCTTGCTCCCTCCACAGCCACACAGCTTCCTCGGGAAGAAAATTGCCGCATCGGCCAAGGAGAAAGGGGTCTATGACGAGTACATGAGCCGCCTGGATGATGTGAAGGACTTCTGGGAGGAGGTGGAGAAGAATGACATACAGCCCATTCTCGCGAAGTTGGATCCCGCCGTCAGAGCAGAGGTCTTGCGGAAGCTCCATGATACAGCGGATCAGGAGCTCAATGAAGAGGGGATACCGACAGAATCCGGTTCCGAAGATGCAGCACAGGCTGCTCAGGCGGGCGAGTCCAAGGCTGAAACCGGTGCAACTACCGAGGACAGCTCCATCAAGGAACCGAAGACGGAAAGGGAGCTAACACCTGTGGAATTGGCACTAAAGGATGTCAAGGCTGCGTATGTCGCTGCCAAGCGCCGATACCGAGTGACTGCACCTCGCATTGAGAGGCTCCAGCAGGCACTCAACCTTTACCTAGGAACGCGCAACTACCACAACTACACGGTGATGAAGTCGGCGAATGACCCATCTGCCAAGCGGCACATCAAGTCATTCGTGGTCAACCCTACACCGATCCAAATTCGCGATACCGAGTGGCTCTCGCTCAAAGTTCACGGCCAAAGCTTCATGATGCACCAGATCCGGAAGATGGTCGCCATGGCCGTGATGGTTGTCCGATGCGGCGCCCCGCTGGACCTCATCACCCAGAGTTATGGGCCGCGGCGGATCAGCATCCCCAAGGCGCCCGGTCTGGGGTTAATGCTCGAGCGCCCAATGTTTACTGAGTACAACAAGAAAGCGGCGGGGCTCGGCCGGGAGGCGATCGATTTTGCGAAATATGAGGACCAAATCACTAAGTTCAAGGATGAACACATCTATAAACGCATGTTTGAGGTTGAGGAAAAGGAGAACTCGTGAGTATCGGCAACACTTTTATTGTGGCTGTCGACGTCCCTAACACTGCTACAGATTCCACCTATTCTTCAACCAGGTCGACAACTTCCGCACCGACTACTTCCTGTGGGTGACCGCCGGAGGGCTTGAAGCATCGCACGAGCGCTCCGCCCGGACAGAGAAGGTGCCGAAGGCGTTGGAAGCCGAGCTTGGTGATGACGCGGATGGCGTAGAGGAGGTCGGTACATGACGGCGGCCTATCTCAAGGCCGTAATAGAAACTATGAATTCTGGTAACAACTGGCACCGACCACAGTTCATGCACGACACGTTGTCCTCATGTGTATGTCCGATCATGCCGGTGTCTCCCATCGCCATAGCCCTGGGCGCCTGAACTCCTACTCCGGGAAATCATATCCCTGCAGTCCCATAGAGCCTCAAAACATAAAACAGCTAACCACAAACTCACTTTCATCGAACCTAGACATCACACCCCCCCTTCTTCCTTCTTAACCTTAACATCCCCCACCCCTTGCCCTTGCACTTGCCCCTGCCCCTGCCCTTGCCCTCCCGCCGCTCCCGGAACCCGAACCCCCGGCACCAGCGGCAGCGGAGCACCGTCAATGGGACCCCTCTCCAGCGTCAAACACCCCGTGTCCCCAGCCGCCTGTGCCAGCAACCGCTGGCGCTCGCCGTCCCGCAGCGCGTTGAGCATGGCCAGCACTGTGTCAGCGTCGTGGCGCATCGTTGCTTCGGCTTGCTCGTCCCCTTCCCCTGGAGCTCGTAGGGGCCCAACCACCCATAGCTCGCGGAGTCGCCGGGTTAGGGAGAGGAGGTCTTCGGTTGATTTTATCTGTGATAAAAAGGGGAAGGTTAGAAACTGGTAAGGATGAGGGGTGGGGTTGGGGGTGGTCCGTGATCGGGAGAAGGGGTGAGGGTGGGGGGGGTGAGGTTGGTGGGTTGAAGGGGAATGGGGAGTTGGGAGAGAGGTGTGGGGTGGCGAGGGATTAAGTACCAGGCTGCTCATTGTGAATTCGAGCGCCATGCTGCTGTAGGCGGCCTGTCCTGTTGAGGCAGTGCTGTCGACTTTGGCTGCTGCGTGCGTCACCAGGTCGCGGAAGGCGGTCATGATTTCGGCGATGAGGATGTTTTTCCTTTCTGTCGAACGAGGGATGGTTGTCAGTTTACCAGGTAAGTTAGGCTTGTTTGGAGTCGCGGATGTGCGAAGAAAGAAGATGCCGCGGGTGAGCTTAGGATACACAATGAGGAAGGACTTGTTCCATTTCTGGTCATAGAACTTGAAGCGGGACTCACCTTGAAGATCCTCGGATGCGTTCTTATGGTCCCGGTCCATCCTGGCTCTGAATTTGATGGTGGAAGGAGCCAGTAGGCAGTTGAATGTACAGGTGCTGGGACTTTTAACATTCCGCAACGCTGGCGATGCTTTTTGACTTCAACTTCCTGAAGTTCATTGTATGTCAATCAATTGATGCAGTGCGGAATTTGAACTTGCAGGTGAGAAGACAGTGTGGAAATCCACAAGTCGAGCGTCCACACGGTCCCCACTTTACCAGGATTGGAGATGGGTTGGAATTTGGAAGGAGCCACTCTCGGGCCACTGCATTGCAGCCATTGCTCCAACTTCAACTGTTAAGAAACTTTAAGCCCACTTCCAACCACACAAACCATTCTTCCACTGCTTTTCGGGATTTCGACTCACTGCCCGCTTCGGACTACCGGTACATAGGTATTGTACAGTCGGACTCAGTACCCATTCACGTGCGATGTGAGTTTCTCCCATGTTTAACCACACTCAGGGCTCAGGCTATGTGTGCATAACTAACGTACTAACGGTAATGAACGACTGAGGCTATATACATGGACAACGGTACTACCTACTGACCTTGGTACTAGTACCAGCATCGTGCAGCCAAAACGCCTTCCCGTCCCCATCCGCCCGCGTACCCGTCTGGTTAGAAGGAAGATGCCTAGATGATCCCTTCGGCCCCTAACGGTCTACCTCAGATAACCCCACAACTTACACGAGGGCCATCCCCCCGACAACAGCCGCAACGCCGGCCAGTATGGCCTGCTGCGTTTGCTTCGGGGCCACGGCACCGCCCGATGACGACGAGGTAGTGGCGCTGCTTGAAGTCGTAGGCGGCAACCTCTCGCCCCCCGAAACAATCACCATTTGGGCGGTATGCTGGGGGGCATTGGCGAAGGTCGTCGTGGAGGACGTCCAGTCGCCAGTGCTGGTCGAGGGGGTGCCTGTGCTCGAATTCGACTGTGTCTCCCACGTCAAGATTTCCCTCGTTGACCACTGACAGCTTGCCCATGTCCCGCTGACTGTGCAGTCCGCCGAGCCGGTCCTACCCAGTATCGAGATCGGAGGTTAGTACTTGTCGCTCAACCATTTGTGCTCGGAAATGAGTACGGGTATGTAGGTATTTTGGTTGCGGACGTACATGAGGAAGGAGGTTGATCTGGTTATATCTTCGGTAACCGAGATGTCTACTGTCTGTTGCTTGATGTTGAACGTCATGGTGCTGGGGTTGACCGTCACACTCGCGTTATCGAGCAGATCGCAAGGAGGCCTCTTGGTTCGGCTAAGGGAATCATCCGGGCAGTTGATATAATAGATTGTCTGGCCGACCGAGTCCGAGCCCATTCTGTTCCAGCCTAAAACGGCGGCCTCGATTTTCGGTGCCGGGGTGGCCGTCGGAGTTTGGAAGACTAGGAGGTCGGCGGTTAAAGTTGAAGTTTGGGCAACGGCCGGGCCAACGGCACAGAGGAGTGCATAGAGGAAGTAGGAACCCATGTTGGTGCTCATTGTACGGTAAGCTAAGGTAAGAGGTTTGATGATCGGTGCGGTGTATGCAGACCGGGGTTGAAGTGAACTTTTTGGGTGGTATTTGGCTCACGACAATACAACTTAGGTCAGGCAGGATATCCAGTGCTGTCTGTAGATGCTACAGGGCATGGTATTTATGGACACCTTTATATCATGCCCGTCCCTGGGTTGACAGCCCTATATATCTTGGCGGTGATCCTCTTCTGGTCAGATGAGCCACAATCCTTCATTCTAGAAAATGAAAATGGAGGTAATGCTGCCTCGGGAGTTGGTTCATCCTCTTTGAACAGGTGGTCAGCGTGGCTCGCGTTCTGTTGGCTGCGGTCAGGCTGAGCGATTGCGATGCTGGTTTACTACCGAAGTAACCAACCAGCTCGCCTGATGGAGCGGGAGGGGCTGGGGCGTTGCCTCGGACTTGCGCTGTATGCTACTATGCTCTCGCATTCCAATCATCCTGTCATCTTTAGTTGGATCTCACTTTCCATTTAGGGGCGCTGCTTACCTCATACTCGCAATAGCGAATTCTCGGTTACATTAGGTTTGTTCAACTTTCCAACCGTTCTGGAAGTTCAGCTATCAGCAACTAACAGTTTCTGTCGCTCTATAACAGGAGCTTGGCTAAGAGTGATGAACTGAAAGATATCCTGTATAATCTCAATGGAGGATGTGGTTTTCCCTGGCAGATACTGAGCAGTAGATTGGGGTTTGGTTGCGTACGAGGATAACTAGGTACAGTACATACAATACAGCTGAGAGGTGAACCTACCTATCCTGATTGGCCTAGCTGCAGGGAGTTGCAAGGAGGTATTGTATATACCTTAGGCAGGAGCTGCAGCTTCAGCCTCAGCTGCACCTGTCGCGATCCGATCCCAACCCAAGCAATGCCAGTCATCGTACCTGCCTGAAATCTGAATAAGATCTGGCAAGCGGTAGCGAATGCTTCCCATGTCGGAAACAATGGATCGCATCGTAATAGACAGACTCGGTTTCACTCTTCTCCATGATCCGCCTGAGGCACCAACGGCAAAGTATACAAGCTACCTTACCCCTCTCCTACAGTCCTACTGATAGTGGTGGCACAAGACGTGTGACTGACTGTCTTCCCTCACAGCGTGATATTCGTCCACGGCCTTCATGGCCACCCGCGATTTAGGTGGGAATATACGAGCACTTCTCCCTCGGCCACCTCTTCGAGCCCGTCCGTACCACACACAAAGCGACGTCTCGTCCCCTCGCGCGTCCGCAACTTCCTTCGCCGTCCAAGCCCCGACACCACACAGACACCTGATCCGGAGAAAACGATCGTGTGCTGGCCGGTTGACCGCCTCCCTGAGGTGTTGCCGAGCTGCCGTATATGGACCTATGGTTACAACGCGGATGTCGCTGGTTTTTGGGGCAAGAACAACCAGAATAACGTCCTCAAGCATGCCAACGACCTCATGATCAGACTTGAAAGAACCCTGAAGGATGATGTAAGAGCCAAACATCGCCCCCGTGCCTAATTCCCACCAAATCTAAGATGAACTAAACTACCCTTATCCAGCGCCCGATCATTTTCGTCGCTCACAGCCTTGGTGGACTTTTGGTCAAGCGGGTATGTGGATCCTGCGTCCTTGGTTTACAGCATCTCTTGATTTTGCTTTGGTATTGACACGTCCCAGGCACTCTCGTCAATGGAATCCAGCTTAGACGACAGATTTCGCCAGTCTTTGAGACGGATATCTGCTGTTGTTTTCTGCGGGTGCCATCACAGAGGATCCGATGCAGCATCCTGGGGTCTCCTGGCATCGAAACTGATTGCCCTTGCCCTGGCGGACTCGAATTCGAAGCTTCTGTCTGATTTAGAAGTCGACTCTGCCATTCTTGATCTCATCCATGACGATTTCCTGAAGACGTTGTCCCGAGCTCCATCTCCTATCCGAATACACTCCTTTCAAGAAAGTCGCCCCCTCACAGGTATCAAAGGACTAAATAGCAAGGTAGATGCGATAAAGATAATCATCTTGCAGTACTATGAGCTAACTGAACAGATTGTCGATACTTATTCATCGAAAGTTGGGTGGCCGGAAGAGATATGTGAAACAATAGACGCGGATCATCGTGAGATGGTCAGGGAACCTGGCGTCAAAGACATTTCGAACGTTTTGCGGGACCTAGAAAACGGAACCAAGAAGAAGGCCGAGCCCATACGTCTGTTACCATGCTAGCGGTCTTGATAACAGCGAACGCTGACCATCTATCAAGCATACATCGGGGCGGCCCAGGGTGCGGAGTCCTGTGAGGACGCTTATGAGCCATACGACCATGTCGACGACTTTTTTCTCTTCGATTACCGATCCATCGTGGATCATGTCCCGCAGCGCTTTCCGGATTCATGTTCTTGGATTCTTCAAGAAGCAGCCTTCTTGCAGTGGTCTCGCCGAAACGGTGGGGGGCTGTTCTGGCTGCATGGCTATCCTGGGCAAGGCAAGTCGGTACTTGCCAAGTATCTTGTCGAGGAGGTTCTCCCTCAGATGGACAACCCTGGGTTTGGCAACGCTGGTAAACCCATCATTGCGTTCTTCTTTTGCTCCTATAGCAGCTCAGAAGCCTAAACGTTAACAGGTCTACTGCGCTCGCTAATTCATCAACTTCTCTCTCAACTCCCCCACACAGCACGGCTTCGAGGAACGATGAGAATGCGCCATACAATGCTCAAACATCCCCCAAAACCCGAAGAGGCCTTGTCTCACCTCTGGTCCATCTACCAAGATCTAGTCACTCAAGAATCTTTGCGATCTGAGAAAATCCTCGGACTGGACTCAATACAACGAAGAGTCACTAGATACCTCTACCTGGTCATAGATGCACTTGACGAGCTGGACGAGAGCGACCGGACTCTCTTTTTAGAGCGTTTCTGCGCAGTACTCCGAGTCGGCCGACGATCATCTAGCTATCTACCTAAGATTATTATCACCAGCCGGGACGATCCTGACATTGCAACATATATGCGGCAAAGTGGTGCCTGTTCCCTCAATCTTGACACTGCACAAGGAAACGAGGCCGACCACGCTAAATTTGTCAAGGAGACCGTCTGCACTTATGGCGAGGACAACCATTTCGGAGACGCCCTGACTCAAACCATCGTTTCGGAGCTGTTGGTAAGAGCGAATGGCATGTTTCTTTGGGCGTCGCTTGCCTGGGCCTATTTTATCGACGGCGTGGGTATCTGGACAGAGATCATGCTAAGAGAACGACTACAAGTCCTGCAACTCCTGCCACCAGGCATGGAGGCGCTTTATCAACGAATACTAGACAAGGTCGAACCCAAATATCGGCATGACTTGCTGCACTCGTTACAACTCATTGTTTCGGCTACTAGGCCGCTCTACGTCAACGAGATTGCCATTGCACTAGCATTGAGAGACAGGCCACAGAGATTGTGCGATATCGACGCTCGCCTCAACATGCACGCTTTTTTCCGGCGCGCCTGTCCCCATCTCATCAGGGTTGACGATACTGGGACGATATCTCTAGTCCACTTGTCCTGCAAAGACTACCTGACTAGCGTTCGAATGGTCAACAACAAACTGAACACTTTCCACATAGACATGGCTGCTGCCAACTTCGATTTTGGTCTTGACTGTCTCTTGTATGTTAGCCTCGATGACTTTGCTAACTCCGAGCTCGGCCAAGCCTGTGCCCAAAACAAATTCCTGCGGTACGCTTATCTCCACTGGTATCAACACCTCAAGGACCGTGGCGATCGAGTCCAGGAAATTTGGTGGTACTTCGCACGGCTGTTCGACCATCATATGAGATGTTTCAGGTGGTATGACAACAGAGACATCGTCTTGGATCTGTGGGATCACGGGCTGGACTGTCTCTTCGAACCAGCGGCCACACCCCCTGTCCGGTTGGACCTCAATGTGACTAATGAACGCGGCGATCACTTCATACGCATTGTTGTCGCTGAGATACGAAGATTTCCATTGAACCGTGTGCAGTTTCTGACTGGTCTCGGCCTGGACATCAACGGCAGAACGCGGTTCGGGCAAACTCTGTTGCATAGATGCATTCAAGAGTGGTAAGACGAGCAAGGTACCTTGCTCGGACCAAGAAGTGGACATCCGGGAAAAGAGATCCGCGGATCGTCCGTCTCGGAGACGACTCTTTATGAGCTCCTCTCATTTCCTGGCATCGATCCAAATGCGATGGACGTCTTTGGATATACACCACTGAGTCTTGCCATTCACGAGGGCCTAGACAAGGCCGTGACAATTATCCTGAGCTCTCCTGAACTGGGCTTCACCGAGGGCGCGGCAGCCCTCCATATTGCTGCGAAGGCAGGCGTCTTGCCGGCCGTGGAAGCCCTGCTTGATCGATGGGGTCTCCATCCACGAAAAAACGAAAGATGGAGAAACGGCACTGCATCTTGCCGCGCGCAAAGGCCATTTCCGTGTGCTCAAACTCTTGGCATCCCAAAGTCCGGTTCATGTCCTGAATGCGAAGGATAAGAATGGATGGACCGTCGCGCACCGTGCCATTAGTTCTGGGAACGACGAGATGTTTCTTTGGCTCACAAAGCACCCGCTGATTGACCTTGGCCTACGGGACAAACACGGACGTCGACCTGTCGCCTTTGCCGCAGCGTATGGCACATTGGCGATGTTTGAGGGGCTGCTCGGCCGCCGACCCCATGATGTCTCACACACAGATTCATTCGGAAACACGCTCTTGCACATGGCAGCTTCCGGAGGCAACACTCAAAACCTTTCGTATCTTCGTGGACTTGTGGTGCAAGGGCGCATAGCTCATCCAGGCCCAAACAGCTGGGGCCGAACAGTATCTGACCTCCAACCAACCCAAGGGACGGCCGCTGACTTGCGTGTGCAACGTGTCGAAACCTTTCCAAGCCCTTCAAGATGGGGTGAAGGAGCATTGGTGGGACCGTGGGAATTCTAGCACCGCCCGAGGCGTAGGCGAGGCTCAGTAGCCAGCAAGGATAACCCAGCAAACCGGTCGTCCATCACCTCGACGAACTAGGGCGGAGATTCAACACCATTCACGCAATTGACAACCCATGATGCCAGAGGAGTAAGAGGAATCGGAGACTCTATATATTTGCGGAAGACACGTCTTTCCAGCTACATCAGCTTTGACACTAGCGCGCCATCTTCTCAACAGACGGAGGGGCAGCAATGGAGGGAGGTTTGCTACGAGATACAGAGTAACCTGTGTATACAGGAAGGGGACCTACATAACAAGCTCCAGGTATGTCCTATTCACATGATACTAGGAGGGCGTTCTATTGACACGATTCGAAATAGTACATAGTTCTCGTAAATCCTCGTCGTTACACACTTCCTATAGCTGCAAGCCCATCTTCCGCAGCCTCGCCCCAAACCTGTAGAGTAACAGAGGCACAGGGATCATAATAACGCATAGGAACCCCAGGAGGGAATTGCCCCAACCGAGACCCAAGTTTCCATACATGGACGGGCCAGCCAGGGGTAATAGCATACCGACCAAACTCCGGAAGACCGTGTTAGCCGCAATGGCCGACGCTGCATACATGGGGTAGCAGTCGACCAGATAGGTCGTGAGTGGAAGGAAAAGGCCAATGATGCCAAAGGCAAAAGGGAAGAGGCCAAGGACAGGCACGATCCAATGCGTTGTGTAGTATGTCGACCAGCCATACCAGAAGAAGGTCACGGGGAGGAAGAAGCTGAAATAGATGCTCAATGGCAACCGCATCTCGGGTTCGAAGACACCGTCGTTTGCCTTCGTCCTCCGCACTACCCCCTTGTCCGAAGTGGCGGTAACCACGGCCCAACCTGCCAGGTTCCCCAGGCCGAGACAGATATAGACCAGACCGGTGATGCCGAGACTCCAGCCGTACGTCTGTTGAAAGACAACGGGGATGGTCGTGAAGAGCAAGTACAGTGTGCCATATGTAAAGGCAATGTACAGAGAGATCAGGAACACGAGTGGCGACAAGAAGAGCATTTTGGTCGGGCGTACGAGGCCGTTCCAAAGGGTTTGGCGCTGGCTCAGGAGTTGGGCTCCCGGGGTTTCGTAGCAGCTTCGCAAGTCATCGCGGCGAAGTTCTTTCTTGAGACGCTCCACCTTGCGGCCGATGAGGATTCGCGGGTTGGTTTCCTGATTGAAGACCTCGGTCAACGCGCAGACGACGACAGAAACGATCAAGACGATCCAGAAACCCCACCGCCAGCCGATGCTTTGGGAGACGAAACTTCCCACGATGGGGCCGATAGTAGGACCTGGAGGCTGCGTGAGCAGGAGAACACACCGAGTACGGCATACTGTTGCCCATTCCAGAACTTACCGATCAGGGGCCCGAGGGTGTACATGCCCATAGCAAAGCCCCTCTCGTCCGTCCGGAACAGGTCGGCGATGATGCCAGCCCCAAGCGTCTGCATATCCCCACGTGATTAGCACATACCCCTTTCTCCAGTCCACAACACCCCAGGGACCAAGGATGCCAGGGCAAACTCACCAAACACCCAGCCCCACCAATGCCACTAAAGAACCTAAACACAATGAGCGACCCAATCGACGGCGCCAGCGCACAGCCAACCTGCCAGACGCAGAAAAACGCATTCGCCGCCGACAGCACGGGGCGGCGGCCGTACAGTTCACTCAGTGGCGCCAGAAACAACGGCCCAATGACATAACCCAACAGGTATATGCTGACAGTCATGGTGCCGACAATGCTGTTGGTGTTGCCGAACTCGGCGTTGAGCTTTCCGATCCCCGGCGCCAGGATGGTGGACGCAAAGGGCGTCAGGAGGGTGATGACCGACAGCAGACTGACGATGAGCCACTTTTTGCGGGACGGGAAGTTGAGTGGCATGAGCGGGTCATCTTGGCCTTCCCATCCGATGACTCCGGTGGAAAGGTCGGTGGTGGGGATGGGCGCGAACGGGATGCGCTCCCGGGGGGGTTTCTTGTGACGCCCGCTGACGATGCTTACTACGCGGGAGATTTTGCTTTTGACGCTACCCCGGGTTTCGATGCGCTTTAGTTCCTCGGTGTTGTGGGTCTGTGGTGGGAAGTTAGCGGGATGCCTACTTTAGGGGCTTAGGTACGTAGGTGCTGATGTCGTGGTCAGGGACGATGATGATGCCAAGATGACTCACCTTGCCCAACTCAACGTCCAACTCATGGCCGGGAGTTGCACGCTCGGCTTCGATGTGGTCAATATCTGGGTGGCCGCGCCGGTTGCCATCCGGGGCGGTTATCGGCTTGAACTCGCTGGGTCGGTGGCCCTCATCATCCAGTGTCACGGCCGAGGAGTCGAAATCTGAGATTGAACCTGCATGCTCAACCTTTTTGAGCCCCGCGGCCCCTGCCGGGTCCGTGATTTGGCTGTCTCGACTCCGTGGTCTGTCCTTTTCTTCCATTTTTGTTTATGAGAATGGCTGCGCGTTGAGCCAGTTTCTGCAACTGATCATCCCTGTGACCGTTGAAGGCCGTGGAGGGTTAATGAAGTGTTGAGCGAAAGATTTATTCGGGAGGTGATGGCAGTTGTCGAAGCTCGCGACGCGAAGCTCGTAATGAAGGACGGAAGCTAACAGACGGGCCTACCAAGCATGGTAAGGCAGCGTAGGATGGGCCGGGGTCCGGGATCAAGCACGCAACATCCCCGGGCCCCATCTAAGCCGTTATTGCCGGCCGGAGATAAGTTGATTACTGATGTTGACTCCGGGCGGGACTCATCATTCACAAAAAGCCCGAACAGATTTCAAGAAGCTTTGCGATTCCATTTGTTGACCGTGGGTCAACACAGCACTGACAGCCTGAGCCCACTGCAACCATAGCAACCCGCGGCCGTTTCATCTTTCTCTTACACCGAGGGCCCGTTCCGCTTTCATCTACGGGGTACTGTCGACAATCGGGGATACTTATGTTGAAATTGTGCATTTGATTCTGTCGGTTCGCTCATTAGGGCCGCATTAGGTATGAATTCACCGCGAAAGCCCGGGGATAATCTGGGCTTAAGGGGTTGCTCCACAGACTCTCCCGGGTCCAGCCTCCTAGTCAAAAGTTTATAAGGTAAACATTGCATTCCACCTCCCCACACTGAGACAATGGGCTAGATCACAGAAGATCCCAACCCCGCAGGACAATGTGGGTTGTTTCAACGTCATCTCTTTTATCCCCTCTATCAGCATATCGGTCAATGGCATCATCCGAGACCCCTCCTACAGGTCCAGGGAAGGAATATGATTCCAGTGTACTCCGTACATTATCCCTGGATTGCATTCAAAGTGCAAAGTCGCAGTGTAAACGAGTGTTACCTGTAAGATCGAATTCAGTTTTGGCCCCCAATGCCATGTTGCTCAGTCGGCCTGTGAATCACTCTTCCAGAAGTTCCCGTTGTTGAATGCCTCGCTATTATCATGTTGTGCCGAGTTCCGAGGCCATGGCTAAGCTTTTCCCACGCTCTTCCCTTTGCGGTTAATGATCAATCTCTGTCTGACAAATCCCTGCTTGGGTGCCCTCAATCCTTCGGCGTTACCAGACAGCCTACGATGTGCATCAAGGTACCAACCCAAACAAGTGAGCATGGCGACGCTTGATGCAACTTCTTCAAGGACACTGTTTAGCTTATAGTGATTCTGTCACTCGCCAATCCTCTCCGAACCAGCTGAAGACATTCACGGCAGCAGTCGAAGCTGAACCTTGCTGAACGAAGTCAGTAGGGTAGTAGTACAGAAAGCAAACGTATCTGCATTCTGCAAACGACTAAAACTTGCTGACTGCAGGTGCACAAAGCTCCCTATATTTGAACAGGTAAAGAATTCTGCCATACATCATGTACAATATGTACTGTACATATGTACATATGTACAACAGACAACCCCATAGTCATAACTCATACCCTCCATCAGTTCGCACCCCTCGCCGCACCTTCAGGCTCAGGATCATACGCAACAACCTCAATCTCAAACCTCATGCCCGGCAACGCCAACTTCGCAACCCCGACACCGGTCAGTATGGGCCGGTGATCGGGACCCAACCATTTCTGCATGCACCCAGCCCAGGCCGTCATGGCTGCCTCGCTAAGATCGGTCGTGTACAGGTTGACGCGGTATACCTGGCTCCACCCCTTGCCCCCCGCGCTGCGCAGGCACGCGTCCACGTTGGCAAAGGCCTGCTCGAGCTCGGCGGTGATGTCGCTGGGGATTGTGCCGGTCTTGGGGTCCCAGCCGCCTGTTGAGGGGGGAGGGGGGTGGTGGTTAGTCATTTAATACGTATATAGATAGGTGGTTAAGGTAGGATGCAAGGGAAGTTTAGCAGTGTAGGGCTGCTAGGGGGTTGGCGGGCCTTTCTCAGGGGTAGTTAGGGGGCTCGGGGCTCGGAAGCAGTACCCTGACCTGAACACTCGATGCGGTCGCCGATCCGCACTGCTTGGCTGTAGTGCGACTGGTTGGAGAGGGTGAGGGTGAAGTCGGAGTAGTTGAAGTATTTCAGGTTTGACATGGTGCTAAGTATTTGAGCTCGATGGTCTTGGCGATAGAGAGATTAGGTATGTGGTGAGGTGCCAACTGGGGCTAGTTGTTGCTGTTTGTGTTGAGTACGCCGCGCAGAGCAGACGGACCTGGGAGAGAGCAAGTCAAGGTACAGGTAAGCAGCTTATATAGGACGACGACACCGTTGAAACTTGAAACCGATCCCCGTTCGTAGTGTAGATATTTGATGTTTACTCATCATGTCTCGAACATTCCAAGTTGCCAAGTCTTTAGTATCTGGAGCCAAGCTTCCTTCTGTGCATCGCAACCCCTTACTTTGAAGGGGATGAACTACGATGAGGGGTTTGTTGCTTGGAAGCAGTTTACTGTTTCCCAGCCGGCCCGTTTCGGATTCTGCGATGGCACTGCTAGGCACCTTGCCCATTCGTTGTTGCCGATATCAAGGCATCGGGGACCCCTGAATTGCCTCTCCACGGCCCGAGCCAACTCCGACGTCGACCAGGGAAGAGCATGATGGAATGCCAGCATGTTGTGAAGCGGAATCTTTGGCATACGTCTGTTTCCATGAGGTAGGTGAGCCAAGAAAAGGGTTTCTCAGGTCGCTTGTCTGTGATGGGAATAGGGAATACAAGCCCAACTCGCTCACTCACTGAGCGCCTTGCATTTATTCACGAGCTGATATTCTCACCCAAGTGAAGGGCTTACCTATACTTGAGCTTGCCGCTGTAGCGCTAAACACAAGTGTACCTATGTATGCTCGCTGCCGACATATCCCGCCAAAGACGACGTCGCCTGTGCATATTTACATACCGCAGACAAGCAACTGTTTTTGCAGTCTGGTAGCAAACACAGACCTCAGGAAGCGTAACGCAGGCCTCAGCGGAAGGGCAGGCAGGCCGTCAGTGCTCTCTTTGATCCTCACAGCAAGTCGTATTGACTCGCTCGGATCCGCCCAAGACATCGTAGCCAGATGTTCCGCAACAAGTGAGGCAGAACGCTCAGAGACCAATGATGACTCGGGCAGTACTTGGCTCTCATCATCCGGCCGCCCCATATGCGCCTTTGTGCTTTTATCTATCCAACGGCGACCATCAGATGCAGGGGAAGCATTTGGTCTGTCAACCATCAGTGATTTGGTCATGGCCTCTGGGGATGAAACGTGCTGCCATGCCGCTATTTCTTCTTCCTCGACGTAGCGGCAACCAGCCTCTTCTTGACATCCTTTGGGATCTTCTCCTTCCTCTTCTCCCTCCTAGCCTCCTTGACGGCCTGTTTGTGCTGCCGCTTCTCCTCCTTGTCTATATGCTTCTTCCCTCGTGGAGGCCCCTTCTCAAACCGGCCTTCGTCCCCAGTGCCTTCACTCCCAGTATCTATGGAGGCGCCTTCTTCAGACCCATCATCGGAGCTACCGGCCTCATCAGCTGCCTCATCGTCTGTCGTCTTCTTGGCAGCAGGAAGCACCGCACTCCTGGCAACCATATTCCGGTAAACATCGGCGTCCATGAGCTGGTCTGCTTTCTCAACATCGTATACTTCCTGCAGGGTTTGAGGGATCCATTGATTGCGGAAGACCTCGGTATCGATTTCGGCCGCCGCCGCCGCCTCGTCAGTTTCCTCCACGGCTTGCCGCGTCTCATAGAGGTGCTCGATGGCCTCTGATAGCGCAGGCTCTTCATTAGGGCCCTCAGGGGAGGTTATGAAGTTAAAGATGGTGCGGTCCGGCAGCGTGTCCACGCCTTGGCGCCGGAAGAAATCGCCAACATTTTTGATGTCCATTCTGAGGAAATTGAGCGCTTGCGGGTGGTTGTGCTCAACCGATTGGGATACGTCGATAATATACAATGTCTTGTCGTTGTAGAGAATGTTGTACTCGCTCAAATCAGCATGTACCAGCCCGCAGACCTGGTAGAGGCGGCGCATGATCCCGAGTAGCTGGATGTAGAGACTCCGCCACTGCTCGTCAACATCTTCACCCGTCAGACGCGCATCCCTCAGACGCGGGTACGCATACCCGCGCTTGTCTCCCAAAAAGCCCATGACCAGGACGTGCAGCTTGAGCACAAGCGGCTGCGGGCAAGGGATTCCTGCGGCGTGCAACCGCTTGAGATTCCTATACTCCTTCTCCGCCCACAGCTGCACCATCTTCCGATTGTTCCTCTTGTCCGGCCCCGACTTGAAGCGATGCTCCCCAGTGATGTACCGTTCGCGATCCTTGAACACGAGAATCGAGGTCTTGTAGATCTTGATGGCTCGCTGAATGGGTTCCTGTCCGTCGTCCTCGGGCTCCAGCACGGCGCCGTATACGTTGGCCTCCTTGCCCGTACTGACGGCGCCGTGGATCTCGCTGACGACGCCACGGTTGATCATCTGCAGCAGGATCATGCGGGTCCTCTGATCGAGCACCAGCTCGGCCGTGGCCCGATCGGACTTGTCCGTCTCCCGGTCCCCGCCCTCTTTGACATTGTCGAGGCGTATTTTTGCGGCATGCGCGGCCAAGGCGTCGGTCGCATCGTCGAGCTTGGAAACGGTGTTCAGCTTTGGCTTTTCAGCGGTTCGGGTCGAGTGCGACTGCGGATTTGCATTGAGCGTTTCCTCTGCCCACTCAAGGTCGTCCAGGTCTGAGTCGGAGAGATGGCCATCTTCAGGCGCGGCGTAGGCGCTATTGTTGTCCTCCATGTCGTCGAGCAGGGACGGGTGCGACAGATGTGCTCAATGTTGTTTTGTAGGTGGGCGGGGCGAAGGCGGGAGGCGTGGTGGATGAAATTTTGGGTGGTCTGTATGTTGCCTTTATCTAATCAGTCGGCGGGGTAGCTCCTAAGCCTCCTAGACGGCGGTGATGCAATATCCGTGCCCGGCCCCACTTTGTTTATCCGCGCTTTGGCGGGTCCAACGCGAGTGTTAAGGAATAGTGGGGCGTGACAGGGGTAGCTAAGGCACCCTCGAGGTACGGATACTGTGCACCTTAACTTCCGCCTGTGCTTCACCTGAACCTCCAGATCTCAATCTGCTCTGTTCATGGTCCGGCCCGTCCCAAAATAGTCCACGAAAATGCCGTGGCATCCTTTACACGTCCTGCATTTTGAATTCAACTCTCGAACGCCGCAATTCCGAGCTTAGAGTCATCCTCCGATTTCCCACCATTTTTCTCCAAAAGGCCCGAGTCCAAACATGGCCGTGTCTCGTCCAGCCTCGGCGGCCGAGTTCCATTCCCGCCCGGTCTCGGTGCAGGATCCCATATCACCCGAGTTCGACGTCGACGATGTGCCTGTCGAGGTCCTCGTTAAGCACCTTCTGGCGGCGAAGCAGTCTCTGTCATCAATGGCGCTGGTCCTCCGCGCGAATGACTTGGCTACACACGCCCGCCAGATGTTCGAAGAATCGGTCATCCTGAGCGCGCAGACGGGCTTTTTACGTCAGGGGGTTGAGGAGGAGGTGCGAATACTAAAGCAGGTCCGGCGCAGTATGGGGCGCGCGTACGACAGCGGCCGTCGCGAGTTCAAGCATCTGATTCGCACCCTGGACAGCGCCAACGGCCGCCTCGAACAGACCATGGGCATGCTGCGGGCGACGCGCGTGGAGAGCGTATTCCGCCCCCCGGGGGAGGAGGAGAAGTGTTTGATGGATTTTGTCGACGAGAAGAGTGTGGACACGATGCGGGATGCTCTGAAGGGGAGTATTGCCGAGCTGCAGGTAAGTATTTCGCTGCCTGTGCTTGCTGTGTCACGGAGTACGCCTTGACAGAATCCGCTTTCTCATCAGCTGGTGTCTTACAGGCTGCACAAACCTCGTTCGACGGCGACCTCCTCCGCTTCGACAACGACCTGCGCCTGCTCGGCAAGGCCATGTCTGCGGTACCGTCCCCTGGTTCGCCATCAGCCTCGGCTGCCTACCAACCAATACCACACCTGCTAGCCTCCCTAACCGAGCACTCGCACGCCATGGCCGAGCATCTCACCTCTCTGAACACCCACTTTGACATGTGCGTCAAGGCGGTCCGCGCAACCGAGGGCGGCGCAGCACTGGCCCGGCGGCGCGCTGCCGAAGTGACCGACGACGGCGACAACCCGGTCTCGATATCGGGCGTCATCACGGAGCAGGAATCGCACATGGCCGACCTCGAGCCGATGGACCCGCAGGAGCGGGCCGAGATTGTGCAGGTGGTGGTGCAGGACGCGCCCGAGGTGGACGAGGTCGTGGCCGAGATCCAGACGGTGCTGCAGCAGATGGAGCTCGAGTTCGGCGCGCTCAAAAAGCAGGCCGACGGCATCCGCGCCGACTACGTCGCGACGCTGTCTGCGTTTCAGGTGCTCGAGGACGTCGGGTCGCGGCTGCAGAGCTATGTGGCGGCTGAGGGCGAGTTTACCCAGCGCTGGGAGGACGAGAGGGGCATCATTTTTGACAGGCTCGAGGAGATGGAGGAGTTGCGGCGCTTCTACGAGGGGTATGCACGCGCTTACGGCAGTCTTTTGCTTGAGGTTGAGAGGAGACGCGGGGTTGAGGAGAAGATACAGAGCGTGCTGCGCAAGGCGAAGGAGAATGTGGATAACTTGCTCCTGGCGGACATGAAGCAGCGGGAGCATTTTAGGCAGGAGGTTGGAGAGTTTTTGCCGACAGACCTCTGGGTGGGCATGAACAAACCGCCGAGGCAGTGGGTGCTGGTGCCTGTCGAGGAGCGCCACGTGGACGGCGAGGAAGGGAAGCCGGAACCGGACACGCCGACACCGGCGAGAGCGACGGTAGCCAAGGGCAAGGAGCCTGTTCGGTAGGGTGTCATATCATGTGCCTGGGTCGTTCGATGGAGTGTACGGTTATTTCGGTTGGATGTGTTGGCTTTGACAGTTAAGGGCGTCTTCAGCATACACATGGAACTCGGATGGTTTCGGAGTTTGGCTGGGAATGTGGTATCGGCTTTGTATCAAATTATGTTGTATCAAATCTTGTTGAAGTACTTGGGTGGACTGGGGAAATGTTGTAGAAGCAATATTTCCAAGTCAGGTGTCAGTGTAGGCCTACGGGCTGAAGTACAATCGACCCTCCGGTTCTGAGTCGGATCGGCGTGCCCCACTTCCAGCATCAGGGCCGGACCCGGGCCACCGCCGAGAAGTGGAGCCCCGGCCTTGCCGGCACATGGCGTGCCGATACTGACCCTTGCCGAACTAGGTGGTTTATGTATTATCGACCGCGGCGCCCGTTTGTGCACCGTTGCAACACCATACATTCGCAACATTAGCCCGAACACGCGTAGGTAGTACCCTAGTACGTTATACCGATGCTGAGTTCGGTCTAAAAAAGGGGGGGTCACATCCGCTTTCTCTAAAGTGTACAGAACCAATAATGTCAATCTAACAGCTCGCCAAGCCCTGAATCATGGCATCTCTAGTCCTCTCCATGACTCGATCGACCTGCGTAGCTTCATAGAAAGCCTCATTATAACACACACTGAACGTCATCCTTCCCCTGAAGGTCCACAGGTACATCTGGAAATCACCAGTCATCATGGTTGAGCTGATCCAGAACTTGTCAGTCTCCCAGTCTCCATATCTGTGCTGCAGGTAGTCGTCGACGATGCCCATGCTGGACAGGGACGGGGTGCTACTGGATGGCATGTTGCCGCTTTCAAGGATCTGTCGTGACATGGCCATGTAGGGGTTCAAGTAGTTGAAATCGTTGTCGGCAAAAGCAAAAGGTGCCTTGTATTGTCGGTGCAATGACCGGCTCAGAGCATCGAACGTGTTGTCCTTGCTGAGGTCCGATGAAAAGGGCAGAGCGGTCTGCAGAGAACAGATAGAGTGCTTCTGTGGAATGAAGGATGATGGGAAATAACGGCGCAGGTCGAGTGTCGTGACTGAGACATAAGAGGTTCCCTCTTCTGATGCCTCGGTTTGGATTTTCTGGTGAGACTCGGCGTTAGCATTGACCAGGTAGGGTTGATGAGGCCTAATCAGAGCCAGAAACAAATAAGTAGCTGACTTACCTGTGTCGTCATGGCCAGAGCTGCGTGCCAGGCCGAAGTCACGCTGACTCCCTTCTTCTTGGACCCCTGGATAATGGCAGATGTTGTCTCCTCGTCCAACTCAAGATCCCTGTGGACCGGTCTGCGAGGCTGGGCTTCAAAGTCTACACCTGGCAGCCGGATTGGCTTCTCCTGCTGAAGCACGCGTGCAAAGATGGACTCAGCATCGCGAATGTTCTTGTCGTTTGGCATGGGAGCAACTCCCAGCCACTCATCATAGGGCTTTGACAGGTTTGGCGGAGCTGTGTTGGCCGCCCTGTCGGATGCTGGGGTTGATGATGGCTTTGACAGCGCCGTGAAGAGTGCGTGGTACAGGTACAGCATCCCCCTGCCGTCAATAAGTGTATGTGGCGATTGCAGTAGAAGCTGACTTGTGCTGCGGATGTAGTGGAGGGTGATGTGGTGCTGGCTTCTGAACGCAGAAAATAGCTCCTTGGTGGTTGTGTCGTCGTGAACTCGGTATGACCGCTGCAGCCATTCCTCGGCCGTGACATCCTCTCGGACGACAATCTCCCGGGATACAGGGTCCACCACGGCCCCCAAGCATGGGAAATCACTTCGTGTGGCGTCCCATGCCTTTCTGAGAGCTTCCTCAACGTTCACATTATCGGGTTGTGAGGTGATGGTCACACTGCATCCGACCATCCAGTGCACCGGGTAACCTTCAGGAGTGGCCAGGCTCAAATAGAAAGACTCCATAGAGCCCACTTTGCGGCGATATACGCCGTCGTGTTTCGTCCATGCGAATGGAGAGTCGACTTTGGATGCGGAACCGTCGGTCTCAGCTGTATTAAGCCCGCCGCTAGGGGACACCGACTCCTGGTCAATGGTCTTCATGGTCGCCGTCTTCTGGAGATGCAACAATTGAGTTGAATCGAAGACTGAAATGTCTGTATGTCCGGGTAATCCTAGCCTAATAGACTGCCAAAATGAGGAAACGAGACCACGCCTGATGCAAGTCGATATATGTCATAAGTCGGGCTGCACGGGTTGGATTGCATGAACGTCTTGCCTCAAGTTGGTAAGAGTGAAACCTGCACCTGCGGCTGTGATAAAGTTTCCGAACGCACAATACCTTGCCGAATTGCAAATGAGAATGCTCCGAAAGGCGCCAAGGAACAGCCGAATCAGACTCTATTGTCAGCTTGATACTGTACACACCAGGTACCCTGCTGACAGGTCCGAGTAAAAGGCGAAATCCATTCACAGTCTCTTCGCAACATCATCATTGCTCGCCACACATGGCCTATTATCATGATCAAGAACAACTGATCTCACAAACACGAGTTCGAAGTATCTACAAACAAAGACACATCTCGCAAGAGATAGGGGCCAATCCGAGTGTTGGGATCCTGAGCGCTCAACTAAAGAGGTACTTTAGAATTTAGATGTCTCAGGGGCTATGACAAGTTTATTACAGAACTCTAACTCTCCGCTAAACAGAGAGAAACCCCATCCGAACTCTCTTTTCTGCTGGACAGCCCTAACTCTGCCTCGTCTTACATGTCAACAGAAGCCAGGATTCCTTACAACCTATCCCTAGTTCCAGTCCTTACAAACCCAAGTTCAAAACCGCTGCTATTACCTCGAGGGTTGCCCCTAGAATTTAGGCAAGATTAGTAGTATAGTAGTAGAAGTGATTTATTTCATTGATAAATATGTGAATCGCATTTGTTACTCCTAACTCCCCATGAACAACAGGTGCCTGTCTAATAATCCAAGAAACACTGAAGGAGTAGCGGATGACTTCAGGCACTTCCGACGCGGACTACAAGCTTCTGCCCCCTCACCTGGCCGTTCTTAATCATATCAAGCCCCTGAATAATGCCCTGCCATTTCCCGGGAATTTCCCGAGCTGGATGACACTTGAGCCGTCCCTCGTCAACCAGAGTCTGGACCTCCTTTGCCCACCGAGCGCCCAGATCAAACTTGGCTTGGTCGGCTTCACGATAGTAAGGCCCATCGAGCTTCACCTCGCGACCCATGACAACATAAGTCATGGGCATATCCATCTTGACCGCCTTTCGAGTCCTCCATTCATTGGGGGCATGTTCGAGAGAGGCATAGCGTGCACCGGCCCGACCAAGAGCCGTGAAACAGCATTTGACCGACTCTGGGGTCGTGATGCAGTCAATGGCTGCCCTAATGGAACCTTTTGTCGCATCGCGGATTGTCTCTCCGCATGTTGGGGAGGAGTAAGGGAATGTCAGGGTGGCGCCGTATTTTCGAACGAGCGCCGACGAGGATGGCGAGCACGTCGCGATGGGGTTGTAGCCCGAGCTTTTTCACCATCATTAGCACATTCCGTGGAACCGAGTTCAAGTTTAGTCGCCTACCTTGACAGCAACTGGCAGGCCATAGTCCCCGTAGCCGTAGCACCACCGTACACCAACACAGGCACCCTCGTCCCATCAGGTCTAGGCGCAGCCGGCTTCGACGGCGTGCCCGTGAGCAACAGCGAGTCTTCCATGGCCAGCGCCACCGTCGCCCATCCAACACCCCCAAGCGCGGCGCCCTCGAGATCGCTCCACGAGTCGGGAACGCGGACAAGGAGGCGTTCGTCTTGAATCAGATACTCGGAAAACGCTCCCGAGCTAGGGTTCCCGGGATTGGAGCCGTGCATTGGACCGCATACACGTGTGCCAATGCACGCGCTGCTGTCGACGGCAGAGCCGGCGGCAGCGATGACGCCCATGAAGTCGCAGCCCATCACGGCGTTGGGCACGGGATGATAGTCGGGCATCTTGTAGTCGGTTGGGTTGAGCGCAACGGCTAGAACGCGGACGAGGACTTCGTGAGGTTCTGTAATTTGGGGCATGGGCTGAGAGTGAGAGACGACGGGCGGGCTCCCGCCCTCTGGGGCTTGGATGAGAGCCGTGATGGTTGAAGGTTTGGCCATCTTCAGGTTGTGTTTGCAAAGAAACTGAATCACTATCTTGTCGACTGCTGGTGCAGGTCACTGAAGACTTTTTCCGTATGCTCTGAACTTTTTGCTTCTACCTTTTTAGTGGGATAAACTACTTAAGCGCCTGGCGTATGCCGTATACTATGATGATGGGACAAGACATCGCATCTTGTCTAACGGCGACCCTGAAATGCACTAGGCCCTCGCGGCTGCCGGTATGATCGAATTTCTGGAAGGATTACTAGTTCTGTACAGAAGAGCGGGCCGTTCATATGCAGGTCATCAACTGTCCGATTGTCTCAGCCTCCGAGAAAACCGCCCGACTCCGACTTCCGACTCGGAGTGGGGCCGAGGTGGGTCCGAAGTGGGGCAGGATCCGTATCACTGACCATTGCTGGGCTGAGCATGCGTTAGGGCTGACTTCCAGGTTGGCAGCATAATGCATGCAACGTCCAGGAATCCCATGGTGGCGGGTAATAGTGTGGTATGATGTGGCAAGCACGGAATGCATGTGGGAGCCCTGCATAGAGCGACATGAAGGAAGTATCACTCACCCCTGGGTCTAGATTCGGCGACCATTTACCATGACGAGCCCACTCGTTGATGGTTCGTTGTCTTAGTCAGCGCTTCTGAGATGGACTGGCTCGGACTCTTTCTCAAGCCTTGATATATGCTTCCATTTGCGTGAACCAGTACTACTAGTACTGTAACTTCTCCTCGGCATTCTAGGAGAGGAAGCAAGAACCTAGCATCTTCAAACAGTTTAGCCATACTCTAGTCATGGCTTCACCTATTCCCACAGCTGGATTCGCCAGGGAGTTTGCGGGCAACTTTAGTGATCTTGCCGCCGATTTTGCAAGCAATGTGGTCAACGTCATCTCTCCCTACGTCCCTGACGCCATCAAGTCCAACATGCCCACGGTCATGCCATCGCCAATTCCTTCGGAGATGAGCTATGGCTGGAAATGGGTGGTATACTCGTCTCTGCTCGCAGTGGGCATTCATGTCTTTGACTGGGGCTCCAGGGTGCGCCGCAACAGCAAGCTTCGCGAATTTGGTGCCCCTGCCCCCATGGTGCCTTTCATTGCACCATTCGGTCAGTGTTTTGTTTTCTCCAAAATGGGGAATTATCGGGTTTCCAAGCCACTGACTAGCCATGACAATAGGAATTGATCTTGCCATATACTCCTTGTACAGGTTCTTTCATTTCACCTTCTTCGAACTCGTCAACTCTTGGCTAGAATCTGTACCTGGACGCACCGTCGAGATGCGCATGTTTGCTACCGGCCTGCTCTTCACGGACGAGCCCGCAAACATCAAGGCTATTATGTCTACGGAGGTACAGAACTCGAAGTCGCCCAGCAGCGCCGCGTATTGTTCCATTAACACGCAAGCCTTAGTGGTCCAGTTTTGGTAGAGGCGATGTCACCCAGCGTATCTGGGGTGATATGCTTGGGCAGACACAGATCTTTGTCGGTAAGTTCATAACATCACCCCCTGAAGTTGTCTTTTTTCTTAGAATGCTAACTTTGACCAAGTTGATGGCGAGGATTGGCACAAGAGCAAAGATCGTATCAAGAACCATGTTAGTACAGACATGATTAACGAGAATTATTTTGCGGGACGGGGGCCGGGGCTGACAATGTTGGCACACAGGTAATGAAGTCACGCCCCACCGATCTTGAGATCACTGAGAAGCATGCCCAGATCTTGTTCAAGCGCTTCAATGCCGGCAAGCCCATCGAGGTCTACGACGTTGCCGATCGCTATCAACTGGATGTCGTGAGCGAGGTGTTCTTTGGCGAGTCAGCCAACTCCCTGAACGGACACCACCCGTTTAGGGAACCTATGGAGACACTGCATCCCATCAACACGGCACGCATGCTGTTTGGTAAAAACGCATACTACGTCAAGGACAAGTATTTCGCGCCAAAGGCGCTCAGGGAACTGAACGCCTACACCACGGGCGTCGCTGAGAGGGCATATGCCAGAGATCTTTCGAAGAAATCGCCCGAGGATTACAACATGTTGGAGGATCTCGTCAGCCAGAAGAAGAGTCTCGAGGTAAGACAAATCAGCTCCATCATGCCCGGTCAATGACCGATGCTTACTATTGCTCGTGCACAGGATATGAAGGACTCGATGATGACCATCATGCTTGGCGGAAAGGTTTATCTCTCCTCTCCGAAAGCTTACCACACCAGAACTCAACTGATCAGAGCAGGATCCTTCGGCCATTCTCATCTCATGGGCTATCTTTCTTATGGCCAAGTATCCCAGCGTCATGAAGAAGATGCAAGCCGAGGTTGCGAGAGTGTGAGTAAGGGCTGATCAAGTGGAAAAGGAGAAAGAGAAAAACATTTCCCAATGCAAGATTGGCTGACGTACTTTGGATGCCAGATGCGGCGATAAACTGCCCACGGCCTCCGACCTTAAGGAGATGATGTACATTCGCCACGTCATTAACGAAACCTTTCGGCTGTATCACCCTCGTAAGCGCCTTTCTAGTGGAAACGGAAGCAACTGCGAAGCTAACTTGGAAATAGTCGGCATGAATGTCAGAATGGCGCTGAAAGACGCTACCCTGCCTGTTGGAGGCGGCAAGAGCGGAAAGGAACCCCTTGCAGTACCCAAGGACACCACCATCAGTAAGGCGACCCAGCCAGGCCCGGTGAAGACGCGTTTTCCATTTTTCAGTGCTGACAGGTAACAGTCTACTCTCTTGGCGGCCTCCAACGCCGTAAAGACATTTACGGCGAAGACGCTCTTGAGTTCCGCCCCGAGCGCTGGGAGGGAGCCAAGATCAACCGCTGGCATTTCATTCCATACAACCAGTGAGTCCTCCAACCTGAACCTTTCCACCCGTGACTTGAGAAAAGAATACCAGTATGCTAATAGTACGATTTCGTGGGAAGCGGTCCGCGCCACTGCTTGGGCCAGAACTTTGGACAGCAGCAGATGGAGTACATTCTTGCCAGAATCTGCCAGGAGTACCACGAGATCCGGGTGGCCAAGGGCCAGCGTGAGCAGCAGATCCGCATTGAGCTCAACTTGAAGATGGCGCATCCCTGCATGTGCGAGTTTGTACCAAAGTCGAAGGGGGGTTAGGGCCAGTAGTAGTACTAGTAGGCAACGGGAGTTGTCATGCAGCCGAGAATTCATGTCTAATGAAACCATCGAGCCAAATACAGTGGGTTGGGGGACAAGGGAAGCACCAGCACTTCCTTCCGTACATGATGTATTCAACGTAGAACACTGCAAAGTTCCCCCTGTAAGCATGTCTTAGGGTCGGGAGAGGGCACCATGACCTACATGTAGGGCCTCGTCGGAAGCTGTTAGGCCTGAACCACCAGCTCAGACTTGCATATAATGCGTTTCACCGCCAGTGACTCTGCCTCAACATCAGTCTAAAGCCAAATTGCATTGAAGAGACTTCCAGTGGCACTGAAACAAGCATTGATCCCCTCTCCTCGGCGGCCTGAAGGAAAACTCAACATCAGGCGGCACTTGAAGCATCTATGAAAAGACAGAAATCGAGAGAAGCAATTGTAGATCGTGATTGATTCTTCTTATGCCCGCATGGCAAAAGACATGTGGGTTCATGCCCATAGTGGTTGGAGATGTTTGCTAAACACCCAGACTGTCTCTCGGCACATGACGCCTTGCTCTTTCCCTTGCGAGATGCCACGAGAATTTGGCAAGTCCCGGCCCACCTTTCAAGTGAGTAAGATACCCTAAGGTGCCCAGCGCAAGCTCAATCTGCGGCACGTAGGGGTGAAGCGAAGCTTACGTAACGCATATTAGTCAGCGCAACCACCTTACTCATTTGGGAAATTCTCAACTTTTAGCTCAAATCGCTCGTAGGCTCAAATCGCTCAAATCCAAGGTCCTTTCAAAAGAGCGCTCAAATTCGAATCGCTCTGGCTTACATAAGACAGATTAGTCAGCGCAACCACGCAACTTAACTGTAGCTCAATTACTCAAGTAGACTCAAATCGTTCA